CTCACTTCAAGCTCAACACGGGCGCCCTAATTCCCGCCGTCGGTCTCGGTACGTGCGTATGTCTGTGGACTGTCGTGGTACGGTACAGTACTTGCTAACACTGGGGTTTCATTGTGTAGGAACCTGGAAATCCGAGCCCGGAGAGGTGGCTAAGGCGGTGGCTTTCGCCCTCGAGAATGGATACCGTCACATTGACGCAGCATTGTGAGTCTTGTTGTCTCCCGCTGTCAAGTTTTCCCCCGCTAACATGCTCCAGGATTTACGGTGAGCTCAACTACATTGATGGGCCATTCCACCCCTTCCATGACTAGACTAATGCCTATAACGTAGGCAACGAGAACGAAGTCGGTCAGGGTATCAGAGACAGCGGCGTGCCCCGTGAGGAGATCTTCATCACCAGCAAGCTCTGGAACACCCACCACCCCAACGTCAAGGAGGGTCTGCAGAAGACTCTGGACGCACTGGGCACCGACTACCTCGATCTCTACGTAGGTCTTGTCCAACACGTGACACTCGCGTGATACCTTGTATAGTATCAGGGCTGACCCACGTTGCTATCAGCTGGTGCACTGGCCTGTTCGGCTTGTTCCGGTCAGTCCTCCTGGTCCCTATCCCTAGCCTCTCCATGGGCTAACCTCATTCGCGTACAGAACGAAACCAGCGAGCTTCTTCCAGTGAACCCAGACGGTACCCGCTCGGTGGACCGGTCTTGGGACCAGAACGAGACCTGGCGCCAGATGGAGGAGGTGTATCGATCCGGCAAGGTCAAGGCCATCGGTGTGGCCAACTGGTCCATCCCCTACCTCGAGGAGCTGCGCAAGAAGTGGACGGTCGTGCCGGCTATCAACCAAGTCGAGCTGCACCCGTTCCTGCCGCAGCATGAACTCCGCGAGTACTGCGAGAAGCTTGGCATTCTTCTGGAGGCGTACTCGCCTCTGGGCTCCACTGGTGAGTTTCGCACCGCCAGAGCGCATAGTCAATCAAAAGTCGCTAACATGTGTGGTCAGGTGCCCCTATCATGTCCGACCCCGAGATTCAGCAGATCGCGGACAAGAACGGCGTCTCGGCCGCCACGATCCTCATCAGCTACCACGTCAACAAGGGCGTGGTGGTGCTGCCCAAGTCGGTGACTGAGAAGCGTATCACCAGCAACCGTGAGGTCATTGCGCTCTCTGAGGAGGATTTGGCCGTGCTCGATGGGCTAGCGGCCAAGGGCAAGGCCCAGCGGCTGAACACGCCGCTGTGGGGGTTCGACCTGGGCTTTGCGGACTGGTACGGTCCGGTCAAGGCGCAGTGATGCCGTTGGTGAGATCATGCCGTATAGATTTATGAGTTAGAAAGCGAGTCTTTGGTGATAGGCTGTACAGAACTAAAATGAGATATTCTTGTTGCCCATTCACAAAATATATTACTTATAATAAAAGACCTGAGTCCGTAGTTTGCCTGTTCGCACTTGGCGAAGCGCCGTACCTCTCTACCTCGTATATATATATAAATTGGAGGGTCTCACATTCTCCAAATGCATAAATTCCATTTGATCAGAATATAGGTCTCGTGCGGATGTTTAGCTCGGGGGAATCCGGAGACAATTTGGCACAGGTTGAAATTATGCCCCGACCGGGTGTGTTATTGATAACGGTTAGGTATATGCACATGATATAAAGACTGGTAAGTCCGAATTTTGATGGTAATACCTTCCGCCCTTGAGATCATGAGCTCGTTTCAGGGTAGCTCAATCAAGGGACTTTTTAAAACTTGGGTACAGGAACCCTTTGCGGCAGCTCGTTGCTGTATCATGGACACGACATAACCTGCGCTATTTCAGCCTTACCCGCAGTGAGATTGAACTACATAGTGAATCCTGAAGCAATTTTGAGTGTTTCGAATGGAACTTGGTCTATGACATGAGATATGTCTAGACTAGCTTCGGACACACACTCTTCTCAAAGACTTCTACTTTACAATATTGCACTGGGAGAAATAATATCAAGACATCTGACATTGACTAACAACGCATTGCAGGAAAAGTTCGTAATCATGAGAATAATCCATACTTATGTACACACAACCCAAAAAAGCACACTAGTCTAAGTCTAAGCCTTGTACGGCGCGGGGGAGACCCCCTCCATCAGCGCCTTAATGCGCATCGCCATGAGCTTCGAATGGAAGCGGGTGTAGGGTAGGTAGCCGACCATGAGCCAGAGGTTGGGCACCCCGGTCTCCCGGTAGGCAGTCTTGAACTCGCCCTCCTCGTCGATGCCCCAGATGGGCCCGCACTGGCTGGCGATCTTGTCGCCCAGCGTGGCCCGCACGGAGTCGATGGTGTTGGAAAAGCCGGTGGCGAAGACGACCAGGTCGAACTCGCGCTCGCGGCCGTCGCTGAGGATTACCTTGTCCTCCGTGAAGCGCTCGATGTAGCCCGGCTCCACCTTGATCTTGCCATTGATGATGTGCTCGCACGCACCCGCGTCGAAGTAGAAGCCTCCATTGCGCGTCTGGCCCAGCGTGGAGCCGCCGGTGCCGCGCTGACCGCGCCAGGTGCGCAACCCCCGCGCCTGCAGCGCATCCAGCAGCGGACGGTCGAGGTCCTCCAGCACCTTGGCGTTGCGGCGGGCCAGCTCCTCTGCGGGGCCCGTGGGGGTCGCGAAGAAAAAGCGGTCCTGTTCCTCCTGGTTGGGGCGGTTGCCCTCGGCATCGGGGCCGTAGTTGCCGATTGCGCGGGGCACGGAGTGGGTGAGGGACATGATGTAGGTGGGGGACCGCTGTAGGAGGGTGACATCGATGCCACGGCGCGAGCAGTCAAAGGCTGTGTCGAATCCGGAGGAGGAGGTGCCTACCACACAGACCTTCTTCCCGACAAAATCCCGTGCGCTGTCGTGCGCGGTCGAGTGGCGGATAACGCCCTTAAAGTCAGCCATACCGGGGACCTGGGGGGTCATAGGTACGCCGCACAGTGAGGTGGCCATGATGACCTGCTTGGGGTGCAGTTCGCGAGTCTCCCAGCCTTCCTTATTGATTGTAACCGTCCACCGGTTCTGATTGTCTTGCTCAGCCTTGACTACCTCCGACTTGGTCCAGACGTTCAGCTCCAGCGCCTCGGCGTACCACTGCATGTACATGCCTTGTTTCTGGGCGGGAGTGTACGTGGGCCAGAGCTTAGGGTAGGGGAAGTAGGGCAGGTCGTCAGCCCAGTGAGGGAAGTGCAGCGAGAGGTACTCATAGCGCTTCTTCCAGACGTCTCCGATTTCGTCGCCGCGCTCGATGATCAGACTGTCCATGCCCAGTGCCTTGCATCGGGCGGCCAGCGCGAGACCACTGTTGTGGGGTAAGGGCGTCAGCACTTGCATTGTAGGGATGGAGAAGGGAATTGCTCACTTCTGTCCACCACCAATAATCAGAACCTCCGGAGTGGCAGCCTTTACTTCTGCGGCCCGCTGCTTCTCCCAGCTAATAGGGCCGGTCATATGCCCGTCGGCCGGGGGCACTTCTGGGAACTGCTTTAATTTCTCGGTCACAGTGTGCATGGTGTAGATCTTCCACCCCTCCTTTGTGAGAACGGCATTGATCACTGCTGAAGCATTCACATCTTCAGTCTCAAATGACACAACAAACTGTAGCTGGGCAAAATCGGGGTACGGGCGCGCAACCGCGGGAGCGGGACTAAGGAACTTGAAGTTGGTGGCTTTCGTGGTTGGGAAAAGGTCCTGGGCAGCCTTCAGGATGGCGGGGTGGAAGTTGAACGTGCGGTAGTCCCAGGTGAAGGACAGCTTGTCGCGCCAGACACCTGTATTGAGGGAAAGTCATGTCAGTTGGTTGCATGCATGCATGCCGTATGTGAGCACAAAGTAAGACCTACCATATGGGAGGAAGAGATCGGTGAATGCTTGCGCATCGCCAGCTCCCATGCTCTCGGAAAGGCGGGCGACAATCGCCCTTGCCTCCTTCTGAGCGTCGCAGTCGCAGGGGATCTCAACTCCCAGAACGTCTGAGGTGGGAAGAGGGTGGTTGTACTTAAATTCGTACATGTAGTTGTCGTCGACAGGAGGCTTGGAGGAGGGAGTATCCAGCTCGCTGACCACGACCTGGGCCTTGAGGTCGGTCAGGCTGACCTGGTTTACTTGGTTGTCCAGGCTCGACTCTTGAACTTTGAGAACCATTTTGCTTGTTGAACAAAGGGAACAATTGAAACAATAATTCAAAGCAAGTCTAATCAGCAAGGACGTGATGTTTGTTTGTCGAGCTCAATTTTTTGCTTCTCCAGTCGCGTCTTCTATACCTTTTTCAAAGAGACTCGTCTCTCGGGTAGATCGGGCCATTTCCATCTTGCGACCGGAGATACAGCAATCGGGAATCGATGATCGGAGATAATCTCTCGTATCTTGCCGGTGTCACATGACCGGGGATATTTCTCGCCTCTCCGATCCCCCCCTCGGCTTCCGCGTCGTCGACAACACCCCGCTGTCATTTCTTCCATGCAACCCGATTCATATGGCATGATGACCAACAACCCAGGATCGGACCGCTCCCAACCATTGGGAAGAGTCAACCATGAGGCCGATGACGATCCCAGGCCGACCAAAAAGCAGCGAAGACAGCGCCCATCCCTCAGCTGTGCAGGTCAGTGCTGCTTTCCTCGTAGAATGTGACGGTCAAACGTATAGAAAGGTTTCCAATAACCCTTGCAGAATGTCGCCGGCTGAAGATGAAATGTGATCGGCAGTGTCAGTAACTTGAGTTTGACGTATGGAGACCGTGCCCACCGGCTGAAAGAAGGAACATTGCAGTGCCGTGCTCAAACTGTGTCCGCCGACGCCGGACCTCATTCTGTAACCCAGGTGCAGCCGACACTACACCATCCCGGTTTGTTCACGGTCCATGTGCTGATGCATGCCTGCATAATACTAATTAGATGCTATGGCAGAGGATCTGATACATTCAGAAAGCAGCGCAAGGGTCCTGCACAAGCTGAACATCCCCCTCCCCAGGAAGACAATGCACCCCGTTCACCCGACACCCCTAGCTTGGCTCATCCATCCATACACACCTGGGACACGCCATCTCAACATGATACTTCACAACATCACGGTCAGGCCCAAAACACTACCGCAGAGCAGGCATCCGCCGACCATTCAGGCCGCAACTCACAGCAACCACCGCATAACGGCAACAGACGGGATGACTTTGAACAACTCGCCCTTCTAGCCCACGCGCTACAGTCCGACCCTTTGCAAGAATCCTCTTCAGCTGCTTCAGGCCGAATTAATCTATCTGGGCCCAGCGATCGAAGGAACAGTGGCTACCAGAATCCCGTCCCACAACCCCTTGGCGTGGCCGAACCGAACGGCTCCTACGGCACGTTGATGTTGGGTAAAGGAGGTCGGTCCAAGTACCTGGGCCCGACGGCCGGCAGTGAATGGTTGAAAGAGGTAGGTTATCTCTGCTGGAGCCTCGTTCACAGCCATTGAGATATGTATACACGTAGTCGGAAACCCAAGACGCATCGGACAGCCTCCCGGTGACTCGCGCTCCTTCCCCCAAGATCCAAGATTCGGTTCCAACCCAGCCTTGTCGCTTGACTCCCGGTACCACTCCCATCGCCTTTCCGTTCAATGCGGCAGCCTCTCACGTCAGCACTCGGGAGCTGCTTTCCCGCCTCCCAGCAAAGGAGGAGGCGGAGACATTGGTGGGATCGTACTATCGCTATTGTGCTTGGCAGTGAGTGTGATTGACGGGCTTTATGAGGTAACTCTGACAACGATTCAGCCATGATGTTGCTCCCAAGGCCAGTTTCCAGAAGACATTCGACCGCGTCTATAAGTTTGCGGAGGGGGCGTCCGTGTCTCCACGGGTCAATCCGCAGGAGATTGCGCTGGTGTTCATCGTTCTGGCTCAAGGCACCTTGTTCAACATTGAAATGCCTAACTATGATCCATCGGCTGAGGACTGGCTGCATCTCTCGGAGTTGGCTTTGGTAAAAGGGCGCTTCCTGTCCAACAACATGGTCGCCGGACTGCAAACTTTAGTGAGTCTTGAGCTTGTCCCTAACACTTCACCGCTAACAATCAGCAGCATCTGATGGCGCATCTGCATTTGTACGTTACTGAGAGGCTCCGCAGTTTGACCCCAATCGCTGACGTTGGTCTAGACATTTAGATAAAGGGGGTCGAGGTGACAATGCCTGGCCGCTCTGGGGTCTGGTCATGCGGTTAGTTCAAGCGGTAAGCACGACTGTCCCAGTGAAGTTCACCACTGATGGAGATTTGGTTTTTGTCTAGATGGGTATGCATCGGGACGGTGCCCGCTGGAATCTTCCGCAGGATGTGATTGAAGAAAGACGCAAGGTGTTCTGGGAGCTGAACGCCGCCGACACCTTCCAAGCACATTGCTTCTCAAGGCCGTATGGATCCCCGGTCAGGCTTTGCGACATGTCTAATTTCAGGCAGATGCGCTATCAATCCGGAGCATTGCGACGTCGCATTTCCTTCCGAGCCGGCGAACACAACCGGCGAAAAGAGCTACTCGATCCTTCGATTTGAGCTGTCCCAGATTTCGTCCGAGTGTGTTTTCCCCATGTCATTCCGGAGATGCGTAACGGCTGATTAGACCGCAGAATTCTCCATATGGCGATGAAGGTGCACAAACCACCCTACTCTGCTGTCACCGACCTAGACATTAGACTGTATGTACCCCCCAAGTCACAATCTTCTTTGCAAACTGACGCCCTGTAGCGGCGAATTCGAGCGCAATCTGCCGTTCTCCCTTCGGTGTCGAGCCGCGTTCCTGTCAATGCCCTCTCGCTACCCTCACGTCGACGCGGCAACGGAGGCATCGCCCGAACCATCCCGCAGGTCGATGACCATTTCTTTTCAGGTTCGGCTCTTCTCTGTGCCAAGCCAATTCGATTCTCTGACAGAATACTTGGTAGCAAATGAATCTAGCGCTCAACATTTCAGAGACGATCATCAACCTCCATCGACCATATTATGCGAAAGCACTGTACGATATCAACGACCGGATGAAATCCGTATACGCCCCTTCGTTCTTGACGGTCATAGAGCGTTGCGCCGTGAGCCCTTCCGTCTTCGATGCCCCTCTCACAAGCAATAGTCTCGAGCTGACGCATACAGATCATTATCGCAATCGTCGACGACATTCACACCCGCTTCCCGGCGGTCAGCACCAGGCAATGGAACTTCTGGGTATGCACATCCATCCGAGTTTTGCCGTGCCAGAAGAACTTTTCTCACAACCGCTTTTCTATTCTAGTATCACGTCTTCGGCTCCGCCCTCTGCCTGGGAACCCTCGTGCTGCGCGACCCCAGAAATCCCATGGCCACCTTCGCCCTAACCCAATTAGACGCCGCGATCAACCTCTTCACCTCCTTGATCCAACACGGCGCCAACACCCCCCGCTACGGTCGGAATCTGCAGTGGCTAATGAAGCTCCGCGCGCGGGCGTCGGCCAAAATCGCGTCCGCGTCGGCGCAGCCAGAGGCTCCGAATGATGCGGTCCGGCGGGAGGACCGGGAGGACAGCGAGGACGTCGAGCTGCTGGGCTGGCGGACGCGACTGATCGAGCGGGCGGGTCAGGGCCGCCAGACGATCCGGACGACGATCCAGCTGGCGGATGAGACGCCCACCGATTCGCCGCATGGTATTGACGTAGGCTCTAATCCGTCGCCAAATGACCTTCACCATCCTTTTGGCATGCTGCAGGGTGATAGTTCGATGATTATGCCGGGCTCGTCGTTGCCGATGGTGACGCCGGGTTCGACTAATGAGCTGGTGGGATATTCCTTTCCATTATCCGTTGTCTGCGGTCTGCGAAGGCTAACGTGTATTGTATCAATGTAGTTGCAGGACTTCTGGGATCCGATGCTTCTGCAGGATTTATTGGGGAGTATACCGCTGGGCTAGTTGGGTCGTGCCAGGCCCTACGGGGTGCACTGGTTTGTATTATGTAGCTGCTACTGACCTGCATATGCCTCTTGGGTGAATTAGCATCCTCCGGATAGGGTGAGGTGCACTTTTCCCAACTCTCTCGCTTACTCTTCCACGTCGTAATCAAATAGCGAATATGTAAATAGACGTGTATAGCTTATTAATCACTCAATCTGTGTTTTTTGTTTCTGGAACTGTGTAGAAAACACCTGTATGAATCAAGCTGAATTCAAATGTATCGATGGAAGAGAAGACGAGGTAGCACTTACTTCGTACGATAGATTGATAGATAGGGGAATGGTGAGTGGCATGTGAGGTCAAAGAGGAAAGGCTTCAGATTTGAATATCAACAACTATGAAACTTTGGATATTCCCGTGGTTCTCCCTCTGATGTCGGAACTGTCTCGCTCGGGCCTTTTAGCGGCATGGAAGAAATTTCCTGGACACGTACAACCAAGCCCAACCTTCAATAAAGCGATCTCGTTTTGAGATGTTTTAACTCTAGTGCTAGAACTAGGGCTAGAGACATCAACTCTATGGGATCGACTCCCAGAGTTCTAAGTGCCTCGAACAGAATGGAAATATCGTGCACATATTTTTAATTCGTAACCCACAGGTCTATACGTCTACCACTCCTAAGAAAGAAACGAACATGCGAAATGCTATCCCAATAAACCCAATCCACTACAATCCTTTCGCAGAAATCACGCCTTCTTACCCGCATCCAAAATCGCCAACCCCTCATCATCGAAGTACACGGGCACGCTGTGGCGGAACGAGAACTGCAGCGCCGTGGCAATCTTGGCGGCCTCGTACGCATCCTCGGGTGCGCAGGTCAACGGTGCGCCATCGAGGCAGGCCGTAGCGAACTCCTCTAGATCCTTGAGGAAGGACTTGTCGTACAGCACGAAGGCGTCCGGGGTGGTGGCGGTGCGCACGCCGTGGGCGTCGCGCACCTCGACACGGTTGATGGTGGAGTTGGCGTTGATCACCGAGTGCGCCATGGTGCCGCACACGCGCGTCATCCCCTCGAACCCGTTGGTGAGTGTCCGGCCCAGGTGGAAGGTCAGGATCTTGCCGTTCGCGAACTCTACCATTCCCCAACCGTTGTCGGCGTCGCCGTACTGGGATAGCTCGCTGTAGACAGCTTGTTGGCCGACGGCGACGACCCGGTTGACTTGCTTCTTGGGGTTGGTGAGGCCGGACTTTACGTCCAGATAGTAGCGGCCAATGTCGATCTGGAGGAATAGGGTTAGTATGGGGTGTAAAAAGGGGATCTTGGGGGGAGGGGACGGACATCGTGAACACCCATGTCGACGAAGATGCCTCCGGATTGCTCGGAGAAGCGCACGAAGAAGCCTGAGACACGGTGGGTTAGTCAATGGGCTTACTGGAATACGGGTATTGGAGCTTGGGGCAGCTCACCTGTAGGATCCTGCTGGTCGAGGCAAGAGCTCTCGACTGCGTGAACGTCTCCGAGTGCGCCATCCTGGACCATCTGCTTCACCTGACGGTACGACTCATCATCTAGCGCGGGTCAGCTCAGCCTTAGACACTAGTTGCCACAGCACAGGAGGCTAGAGTCCACTCACATCGTCTACAGAAGGGAACCAGGAATTTAAGGTGAGGCTTAGAAGCAGCCTTGGCGAGGACCTCCTCGGTGGTGATCACATCGACCGAGATCGGCTTCTCGCACATGACATGCTGGACAAGTGTGTCAGTCTCTACTCCAGTTTGCAATGGACACAGAGTATTAGAACTCACCAGACCCAGATCGAGACCCTTGATAATCAAAGGCGCGTGGGTAGCGGTCGCCGTCGAAATCAGGACGGCCTCGGCATCGCTATTCTTCATGCAGTCCTCTGGATCGGCGAAGAACTTCACGGAGGCGGGCAGATTGGCCGCCGCCCATTCGTCAGCCCCGGGTTTCGTGTCGCAGGCGGCGACGAGCTCGATGCGAGGCTGCTTAAAAGCCAGGATTTCGGCGCGGATGGCTCCCAGACGGCCAAGGCCGATAAGGGCGAGCTTGAGGCGAGGTTGAGAGGTCATGTTGATGGTTGTGTGTGTTGTGGTTTGTCTGGAGGAGGGAGTGATGGATTGTGTGGGAGAACTTGCATCTTATCTTCATTTCCGGACACTGCTTCCCCAGACGTGCTGCGGGGAGCCCTAACCCAGGGTCCGATGTTGATGTTACTATACGCGGGGTGGACGGCAGATGTCCGATCTCCGATCTCGTAGCCGATGGTTTGGTCCGATGTCGGGTGCGCTGCCGGTACCCTAGCTTAAGTCCGACTCTTATTTGGGCCGATCGGACAAGACCGGCTAACAAGCACAACAGCCTGTGAGTAAAGTGCACATCAATTTGCTGGCTGTATCTCAATTCACAGCCAGTGTAGAAGTATATTCGGTAAGAAGCGACAACAATCTTACATGTTGATCTGTTGACTTGATTGTACACAGATCACAGGGCTCTTTCAATGGTTCTCAAGTTACTTAGCATTTAACTACTTGTTCATGTACCCCAAGTGCTCAATCAATATAACAAAACATGCAATCTATACAAAGGTATATTGTCGGCCGTAAACTCGCTAATAGTGTCGGAATACTTAGAATCCGTGTTGAAGTTCTCTGGATAATACCAAGGTTCATGCACTTTACATGCTCACGGGGTCTATATCCAGTGTTATATATAAGTTACCAGAACCAGAAATCACATCGACAAGGAAAAATAGAATAAGATAATAGAGTAAACAGCTAACTGGTAATCTACCCAAGCATTGTATGCCATATACAGAGTGAACATGTCAAACATTACTCTCAATTGTCACTGCACCTTATCCAGTATACACGTGTATCATATACAGCCCCGAGCCCAATCCAGCAAGACACCCAACCCAACATATAGCATCAACCTCAACCCCAAACACCTCCCCATCCACCCCCAACTCATCTACCTCGTAACACCTCCGAATTAACACCTCTAGAAGAAAGCAATCGGATTCCCCCCCGCCCCCGCCGAGCCAACCTCTTGCTCTACATCCCAATGCTCGACCATACACGTCCCGATCATCCGAATAATATCCACAAGCGCCGACTCCCCTCCCTTCGTATCGTTGTCCTTCGAGTTTGGAATCACCCGCGTATGCGCCACCCCAAAGGCATTGCCCGCCACATCCCACCCGACGAACGCCCGCTGCAGCTGCGAGGTGACGTCCGGCACGAGATTCGTCAGCTCCGCTGCCGTCGCGCCGACACCCGTGCCGGACACGAGTGGCGAGTGATTGATGTATTTCCCTGCGACGTAGTGCGTGAGGGCTTCGCTGAGGCGGTGTTCGGTGTACATCAGATTGGTGAAGTCGGCCCACGCGGCGAGTTGCTCGGCGGGTGTCGCGGTTGGGGTGGTGGTGTTGGGGCAGTTGAGTTGGGCGAATTCGTCAGGGTTTGTGGACGGTGTGGTGGGTGTTGCGTGTGTGCTGGTGAGGAGGAGGGGGAGAAGGAGAGCGGTGGTTAGGGATTGGAAATGCATTATGCTGGAGTGCTGGGGTGGATGTGAGGTGGTTGGAGAAGTCAAGAACGCGGGGGGGATGTTGTCTTATGTATCGTGGTGGTTGGAAGGAATGTTGATTGGAATGTGTCGGTTGTTGGGTTCGGGGCTCCTCAAGTATGGGGCTGAGTCTAGACCCCTTGAAGATGATGGAGGCAATGCGATGAGTGGTGTACGATGTTTGCATGTTGAGACTGTAGAAACGTTGGTTATTAGAACGGATCGTGAGACCTGAAGTTGGAACGGAAAGTGTACAAATGCTGATCACTTAAAATAGATCCCCGGATATTGATGTGATCCGATGTCACCGGTCATTGGCAACGAGAAAACTTCATTACATTCACTCATGCATGTCTATAGTCTATCAATATGGACCCATTAAATCGGCTCATCCCGGGGCTCGATCAACACCTCATTCACAGAAACATGTGCCGGCTGGCGCAGCGCATACACAATCGAATTGGCGATATCCTCCGGAGCCAGAACCTCCGCCCCCGACGGCTCGCCATACTTCTTGAGCGCTTCCGTGTCCGTACTCATCCCCAACAGATCCGTGGCAACATTGCCAGGCTGCACACTCGTGACACGCAATCCCGTCCCGGCAGTCTCCAAACGTAAAGACTGCAACGTAGCCTCGACGAAGAACTTGCTGGCCGAGTACACGCCCAGGCCGGGGAACACCTTGCGGCCGGCATCAGAAGAGATAGCCACGATGTGGCCGGCGCCGCGGGACAGCATGCCCGGGACGGTAGCCGACAGGCAGTGCAAGAGACCCTTGCAGTTCACGTCTACCGTTCGCTCCCATTCATCCGTCTGCACATTAGCCATCATGGTGAAATACATGACACCCGCACAGGAGACAAGAATGTCGACGGGGCCAAGCTCCTGGGTGGTGTCGTGGAACAGAGCGTCCACCTGTGCCTTGTTCGTGACATCCGTCTTTTTCGCGATAATCTTGCCTCCGTGGGTTGCAAGCTGCTTCTGCAACGATTCGAGAGCTTCCACACGACGAGCGGCAAGCGCAACATGGCAACCTTCGCGTGCAAGAGCGGTAGCCACTGCGGCACCAATGCCGGATGACGCACCGGTGACAACAGCTACACGGCCGCTAAGCGGACCTTTGGCCAGCTTCGCGGTTCCGTTTAGCGCCTGCTGGCGCACAGGAGGCTTTGACAGCCATCCTCTGGCAAACCAGTGACGGGTGTAGGTCTCGAGCAGCGCCTTGTCCACCTTCGGCCGTTCCACGCATGTCCGGAACGGTCGAGTGGCCGCATTATCCAGAACGACAATGTCCCGCAGGAACTCCACGGTAGGCATACCACTGCGGAGAATATCCACGGTGAACCCACCGTCACCACCCTTGACGTTACTGCGCTTCTCGTTCCATAAAGTAACCCATTCATCCCAGCCAAGCGGCTTGGTGGGGTATCCCAGCTCATTCAGAGCAGCGAACACATCGCGCGTGTCGACGGGCTTGGGGTCACCTAGATGGAAGATCGTCTGCTCAGCATGGGTCTGAGTGGCCAGATGGACGATGGCCTTGCTAACGAAGTCCACCGGAGTCATCTCTGCGCGCCAGCCTTGAACTTCAGGGGCGTAGCCCAGCTTGATTGATTCCACAATCAAGGCGGAGAGAAGGTCCCATGCGTTGGCAGCGCCGGTAGCACTATGTCCACTAATCGTGCCGGCACGGTGGACCTTGACGGGCAGACCGCGGCGGCTGGCCTCGAGCACGAGCTGCTCCGCGACCCACTTAGTCTGTCCGTATCCGTCGAGCAGCTTCGTCGGAACATCCTCCACATCCAACAACGTATCCTCCGGCCAGCCTTTCTCGCCCGAGGCGGGCAGGACCCCGTTCGTGGAGACGTACTGCACTGTGGCGCCACTCTTGCTCGCCAAACGGAGGATCTCCCGCGTGCCACCCACGTTGGGCCCACGCAGGGCGGCATAGGGGTACACTAGGTTAACGGTAGCCGCAGCATGCACAATCACCTGGACACGAGCAGCCAGCTCCTCGAACACCTTGGTCGAAAGACCGAACCGTGTGCGAGAAAGGTTTCCCGGCAAAATCTCCACACGCTCCATCACGGAATCACGCCACAAGCCGAGATCAAGAAGATTCCGACGAATGCGTGCCACGCCGCCGGGCTGATCATCATTTGCGGGCTCGTTGAACCGCACCAGACAAATGATCTGTGCGGAGGTGTTCTCCAGCAAATCGTGCAGCAGAAAAGCACCAAGGAAACCAGTCACACCCGTCAAAAGGACGGTGTTGGCTTCGTCAATGGAGCAAATCGTGGCAGGCTGCGCGGGTCGGATGTCATCGTCGAGAGTAGCGTCCGCACGCAGAACAGCGGGAAGATCGGCTTGCACTGCGGCCGTGTGTCCATCGCGGATCGCACGGACCGTCTCCAAGTGGCCAGCCAGGGTTGTGCTCTCTGCCAGCCGGGCAATCGGGACCCGGAAGCCAAAGTGCCGGGACAGGCGCGAAGAAAGGTCGGCAAGCGACAAGGAGTGACCTCCTAGGTCGAAGAAGTCATCCGTCGGGGTGAGAAGAGTCTTGGATGTCTTGAGAGCTGCAGCCCAGCAGGCCGCGACCTGGTCCAGAGTGATCGGGTCTTGGTCCGCCGCTTTGCCGTTACCGTTAGTGGGAACCTCAGGCTTGGGAGTAGGCAAGCGCTTGAGGTCCACCTTGCCCGTCACATCATGAGTGGGTAGTTCAGGCAGTTCCACCCACAATGCGGGGATCATATAGTGTGCAAGGGACTGGGCCAGGATGCGACGCGCCGCCGGGCTGTACCCGGCCTCGTTGATTTCCACCGTCGGCCGACCGGCGGCGTTCCTGTCCGGCACGATATAGGCCACGAGCTGTCGCTCCAAACCTTCGCCATGAGCGACAACTGCACAGTGGCTGACCGCGAGATTCTTGACAATCTCGCTTTCGACCTTGGCAGGAACCACGGAATATCCTCGCAGCTTGATCATGGATCCCACGCGACCGGTAATCTCCAGTAATCCAGAGGGCAGCAGCCGGGCCAAATCGCCGGTGCGATAGAGGCGGGATCCGGGCTGTGTATCAAAGCGGTTGGGAGTGAACGCTTTGGCGGTGGTTTCGGGCAAATTGAGGTATCCACGGGCGAGCAGTGGGCCGGCTACGAAGAGCTCCCCACTGACTCCCGCATCGACCGGTTGACCACTCTCGTCCAGAATGTAAATCTGCTTTGGATCTAGAGGCGGACCCACCGGGCAGTATGTCGCTTCCTCATCAAGGATCTGCCGAACATCACCACAGGCGATCTCATGTGTCTCGCATGCACTGTAGCAGTTGAGAAGACGAGTGTGCGGGAGAGCCTTGATCGCGCGACGCGCCAGATCCGTCGTGACCACTTCACCATTCAGCCACAGCGTGCGGAGCTCGGGAAGACGTTCATCAATGTGGGGATGACGCTGCAGCACGGTCGCCAGCAACGTGGGCGTCATCAAGGTCTCTGTAATCTTTCTCGCGGCCAGCAAGTCGACTAATGCTGCAGGATCGTAGCTCGCATCGTCCGGCACTGTCACGACGGTGGCTCCCCGCAGCAGAGGCCGCAAAATCTCCCAGATGAAGAAGACATTGCAGGCCACACGGTCGCCGGGTTGCAGGTCCTGAACCCCGAATCGCAAATCATACGAAAGCACTGGAGCTCGGTGAGGGTTAGCGATACCCTTGGGCTTGCCCGTCGTGCCAGATGAGTAGGAGACAAACGCCAGCCGGTCCAGGTCATCGTCCGCTGGCAGAGGAGCCGGCTCGGTCGCGTGACCATTTGCATGGGCGGCGGGCTCATCCAGGACGATCAATGGCACATTGCTCTTGATCTTGCCCACTTCCGCCCGGTGAGTGATCACGACGGCCGGGTTACCGTCCTCAATCACGTCCGCCAGCAGCTCCGGTGGGTAGGCCAGCTCCAGTACGAGAAAGGCGCCCCCGGCACGCAAGGCTGCCAAACAGGCAATCACATAGTCGGCACTTCTTGGCAACAGCACGCCCACCAGAGTATCTCGACTCACTCCATATGTACGCAGGCGACGAGAGAGGCAGTCGACCTCGCGATCGAGCTCCGCGTATGTGAAAGTGGTCTTGTCATCCTCCAGGGCTACCGCCTCGGGGGTCGCTTTGACTTGGCGAGAGAATAGGGCCGATAGGTCTTTCGAGGTATCGAGGAAGGGCATGGTTTCGTTAAAACGGGAGAGAATGTGGGCGCATGAGAGGGAGGGGGGAGGAGGGAGGAAGGAGGCGAGAGGGGAGGTGGAGCTCGCGGGGGGGGGGGTTGGTTTATTCTAAGGGACTGGGCAGGCATGCGTTGTCAGCTTGATGCATTCATAGGTAGAATTGCATTATACTGCAGACTCACCGGCAGGCTGATGGAGGAATAAAAGAAGAGCTTTCTTCTCAGAAGGGAGGATTAAAGTGGTGTTGTTGATTAAGTACTGAAAGTACTGAAAGAAAATTGGCGAGCGGTGGAGGGAAGAAGAAAAGAAGGGAAGAAGGGAAGAAGGGACTGAGGAATCCTGGCATAACCGGTTTGGGTTAGTCTTCCCAACATCCATCATCATGGATCCATCGATTGTATTGCCAGCAGGATAGCCATGGCTCACCAGCACCGTACGTGTTCATCGCAGCAGGGTACCGATGCTGAGCCATGGATGGCATAAAGTTTCCTCCAGGTACTGATACTAACTTCAGCTACTTATACACAAGGATTATTGGTGGTGTGGTAGCAAATGACGGTAAATTGTCCCCTGTCGCGCATGCATCGGTGGCGGAAATCCCCGCCGTTTTCTCTCTTCTCTCTTCCCTCTTCTCTTCCCTTCCCTTCTCTGGTTTCCCCCCTCTTTGGTCGAGTCACCTGACCGGTACCCAGTGGCCAGTGCCTGGTCTCTCCGCATTGCTGGCTCTTGCTGGTTGGGTTGGGGGCCAAGCGGTTCCACCCGACCTCCGTCTTATTATCGTCGGCTATCGATTGGTCAAGAAACCTGACAGGTGGTGCCCCTGACATGTGATTGCGGGTCAACTGTTGGTCCGGGCTCGCAATCACATGCTTGCCGCTGTTTTTGTTGAGAGTCGACGAAGGCTGGAGCTGAGGAAGCTTCCAAGCTGGAAAGCTGATACTGCAAGCAGTTGACTCCAGCTACATCATTTTCTCGACCTCGATCATGATCACATGTCTTCTTGCCTAAATTGCTCCCCGCCTGAGATTTCGTTGAGATCACAATCACCAGCTACCTGGCTAGGCCCTGGAAGGGAAAGACGGCGGGGCGGTCGCTCTATCCCCGATCGGGAAGGTACCCTGAGATTTCCCATACAAAAACAACTGCCGGTGCAAGCAGCCACACGTGGCCCTCGCTGCCCACAGACCTCGCAGGTTTCCCACACAGCATCCCCCGTGATTGAAAATTCATGATTGATGATTTCGACGAACGTTCGACAAGGAATTCACTTAGTGATGGTCACATCCTGGTGTGGCTGCCGCAACGGACCTCGTAACTAAGAGACAGAGGCTGTCACCGCCTACGATCATGTGACTGACTGCGCATGCGGCATTCTTGGGCTCCCGTAGCCCAGATCCTCCTTCGCTTGGTTATCTCCGAGTCCTTTGACAGCTTTTCTTACATTGTCTCAAATGACGAGGCACTTGTTCACCAACTCGTGGCATCTTGCTTGGCTTACCGGATTACTTTACGATTTCCGACAATTTATCCTTCACAGAAGATCAAAAAGGCACCGGCTTACAGATGGATTATGCACCAGCTGAACGGCTATACCGGCCGCTCTTAAGGACTAGCGTGGGGCATGAGCGTCTTCCAGCCATCAGCCACATAAAAGCTTGCAATCTCGAGCCAGAGACCGCCAAGCGGAAGTAGTGTACCAAGATCTGTACCACCACCGACGGATCACCCACATGGAGAACCACGATGGCTTCATCGAGCACGAGGGCGAGGTGGAAGAATTATGGGACTCATCGCATAATGTTGTTCCTGCCGTTTCGACAATGTATGCTTTCATAGGGGGTGAAATAGACCCCTTCCGAGCATATCCTTCCGCACTGCCCTCGGACATCGTCAGCAATTGCTTGCAGTATCGTATGTATCCCACATCACAGATCCCCAAAAGTTTACTCCCCACTTATCTTGGCTGTAGGGCTGAGCATCATGACGCCTCGAATGATCCCGAGTTCGGGAGCCAAGAATCCTTATCTGGATGCTTGGCTGCCCGTCTCACTGGAGAACCCAGCTCTGTTCAATGCTCTACTATTCTCAGCTGTCACGCATAGGCTCACACATTGCCTCGTGAACCAAAAGAGCACACCTACCTCCATGGTCCTAGAGAACAAACAGTTATTAATGTTATGTCAGCAAGAGGCAGCGACGAGAGCGAACAGAGCGCTCCAGCATGCTGCGACTGCAGTAACAGATGCGAGCATCTTGGCTGTTCTAATGTTAACTGAAGCGGTGGATCATGCCTTCCAGGGTCGAGATTGGACCGGCTCCTCGCCATTTAATGCACCGCTACAAGGCCTACAATGGCTCAATATTCACGGGGCCCGTGTACCGCACATGTCTCATCAAGCGGGTCTTTGCAAGCTCGTGGCGCTGAAGGGCGGCCTACAGAGGATTAAGATTCCGGGAGCATCCTTGGCGATTTTCTAGTAAGGCCCAAATCTTGCTTTGGCAGAAGTTTCGCTAATCCTGGACTCAGTCGGACCTTGGTGAACTCCACTTTGACCTTGACCACGCCCCAGATTCCATTCTTTTCGAACCGCGGGCATGACAATTCTGACTGGCGATTTCACTTTAGTTCGTCCGGGGGGTGGTGGGACCATGGGGTACAGAAGTTTGAAAATGCTGGCCTGCCATTCTCTCTCGCTTGCGTGTTGCAGGGTTTCGTCATGTACTCCAGCATGGTCCACGCATATGTGAACGGCGATAACGCACCACATGATACAAGCTTGTTGTGTGACATCCGGAATCTAGTCCACTTCCATGTCATGTCGCTGCCCACAGGAGCGGACTACGACGATCAAGAATTGTACTCCGGGTACGAAGCCTGCAGGCTTGCCCTGCTCATTTACAGCGTTGGGGTTATTTTCCCCATACCCGCGGTCGGCTCGCCACTTCCCCGGCTCGCGGAGCTTTTACGCCATGAGTTGAGCGACGAATTTCCATTCGATCAATATACCATCGAAGCGGACAATGGGCTTACAGTCTGGCTCCTTACGATCGGTGGCATTGCCGCGCAGTACACTACCGAAAGATCGTGGTTCGCACAGAAGCTTGCGACCGTCGTCAGTCTTACTCTAATATCGAGCTGGCGTTCTCTCCGGGCGCAGCTAAAGGCCTTCCCTTGGTTAGACTGTGCATGCGACAATGCCGGTGAAAGGCTCTGGGAAGAGGCCCAGCGGTTCAACTCCCCGCCCTCCTTTTCAGACGCTCGAGGTACCCATCGCTACACAACGAGGCTCCAGCCCTGTCTCCATTGCCGCCGACGAAGAGTGAAATGTGACAAGCAGCAATCATGTCAGAACTGTGTCAAGCATAATCTTACCTGCAAATACACGACTGCGACACTTGAGGCGCAGAATGAATTCTCAACTACGGGGATGACACATGCCTGCGGCGTGTGTCGCCAGCGAAAAGTCAGATGTGATGGACAGAGACCTTGTACAGGATGCCAGAAACTGCAAGTATCATGTTCAAGGTAAAGACGCTACGCCTATGGCAGAACTAGCTGAATACATACTGCTTGCTTCAGAGAATGGAGCTGAAGTCGGTTCGCTCGCAGTACTCCTTAAAGGAGGTCATCTTGATGCCGAACTATGTTCTGTTAGCACATTGTCATGTTCTCATGCTCCCGGCCAACGCAACTGGCTTACCTGCGAAGGTCGGACAACCGTGGGATCACCCCCGTCATACCCGAACTGCTGCGCGAAAAGCACGTTCTCCCCAAATTCCCGACCGAGCCCACCAGGAAGGAGATTTTCGAAGGACTCATTCGTGTGCTCTTTGTATCCACCATTTGGTACTCCCTGCGACTGGCACCAGATGTCGATAAACTCGTCCCATGACAGAAATTCCCCAACAGCCAAAAGGTTCAAGCCGGGAGGTCCATCCGCTACCGCCTTAACACATTGCCCGAAATCGTTTTGCACGTCCCCAAAGGGAACCGGAATGATGGCCGGACCAACCCCAGAGATGCGATAGGAGCCGTCCGGTTGCTAGAGAAGGGTGTCAACTTATGTTAAGTCATTGTGGACAAATGATGACCCAACCTTTTTCGGTGTCGTCGGAAGACCCCATTGCCAAAGAAGGTTGAAATAGATCGGTGCCTGGATCTGCGAGAAGCGGTCTTTCAATCCTGCCAGACTTCGAATATGGTCAACCGCTACCGCTTTCGAGTCCATATGGTAGACTCTGGGGAATTTTCCTTTGCTCCACTTGTTGGCGGACGCCATGGAACTAAAGACAAAGCGTTCTAGCGTCGGAACCCGGGCGGCGACATCCGCCAGATTCTTCCCCTGCTGGACCTCTACTTCAAAACAATATTCCGTGAGATCCTGGTCCGGTCGCTTCTTAGTCATGCTCTCGGTGTCTTGGAAGATTGTCCAGAAGTCAGTGACGCCGAAGATGATGGTTGCATTCTGGAATGCGGCTTCTAGGCTGTCAGGGTAGTTCACGTCTCCGTAGACGATCTCGACGCCTCGAGCCTGCAATTCCCTGGCTTTAGGAGATGATGGGTTGCGAGTGACTCCGCGGACCTTCCATTCTGGAAGCTGGAGGTATGTGTTTGCGACGGAGCCTCCCTGTGACCATAAGTTGGATGCGCTTCATTGACGGGGAGAATACTTGCCTGGACGCCCGTGACACCTGTGATAACAACTACCTTAGACATCTCAACACGTTTCTTTGGAATTCTATTGTGGGTAATGATATGCAGCTGGGGCTTTCTGGAAGGTCGAGGACCCCTTATCCATTATTGCGAGGTCAAGCAGTTTCTTATAGCATTGAGGCATGACTCTGCTATCAGTAATCTCGAGCCACAGGCTCCTAAAACACTCCAAAAGTTGTTTCCCTCCGTTCCAACCTGGCGGGATTGGTAATCAGGGACAGTTTCCAGTTGCAAGAGCCTCAAGCGCTTGCGTCTGCATGAATCTAAACCACCGCAACCTCGTATCTCAGATTCTGCTGATGAAGCATGCATACCCATGAATGTGCTGTGATTGGTTGCGCTGCGCCGCGCGCCGAGCTCGGCGAAGCTAGTCCTCACTAGGAAAGCGACCCCGATGGCTGGGGCGCTCCCGTCCCGTCCGGCCCCGATCTAATCTACATCTCCATCAGCGCTTCGGCTGCGGCTGAGGTAGATCTCACGAAATTTACTAATACTCATGTCGCAAGGATTTCTAAGCATCATTTTGCTAAGCAGCAAGGATTCATGAGGCCAAAGACCCTCTGTGCGACTCTAGTTCAGACTGATAGCTATAAAGAGCTCACCGATGACCAGCCCAGTGCCACTTCTCTCATCATCGCATAGCACAATCCACCACTGCAAAACATATCAAACCTCCATTCCAATCAATCACGTCTCATCTAGAGCTCAAACCACCTAGGAACCTTCAAAATGTCTCTTCAAGCTTCTCTCCAAAGCGCCTACGCCGACTTCCAAAAGGCGGCCCCAGCCCCCGTCATCGACACCTTCAACTCCGGCGTGCAAGCCCTGCAAGGCTCCTTCGACGCCAGCAAGGCCATCCAGCCCGGCCAGAAGCTGCCGGAGTTTACCCTCCAAGATGCCACCGGCAATGCCGTCACCAGCACCAGCCTGCTAGCCGAAGGCCCCCTCCTCCTCTCCTTCTACCGCGGCGAATGGTGCCCCTTCTGCAACCTCGAGCTGCGCGCTCTGCAATCCCGCCTGCCTGAATTTACGGCCACGGGCGTTACCCTGGCTGCTGTCTCCCCACACCTCCCGGATACCTCGCTGTCCGTGGCGGAGAAGCACGCTCTCGAGTTCCCCGTGCTCTCGGACGTGGGGAACCAGCTCGCCCGCCAGCTGGGGATCGTGTGGAAGCAGCCCGAGGCGTTCGGCCCGATCCTGGCCGGCTTCGGGGTTGATTGGGAAGAAAAGTACGGGAATCAGAGCCTGGAAGTGCCGATTCCCGCGACCGTGCTCGTGGGTGCAGATGGGGTGGTGCGCAATGTGTTTTTGGACCCAGATTACACGAAGCGGTTGGAGCCGGAGACCGCGCTGGAGTGGGCTCGCGCTCTTTAGGGGTGTTACTTTTTGGATTGGTGGATAGTAGACGTCTTTAGAGCTCTATAGAAGTGATTTGATTTGTGTCTAGGTCGATCTTACGGAATTCTGTCTCGCGTTACTTGTTCTAATTGCGGTAGAATTCGTAGAATGAATCTCCATTTGAGATGTGTGGACTGTGATGCTACTAGCCACTAATTACTTCAGCATCATTTAATTTCCATCAATATCGCTCTCCTCCAGCCTTACATACGCAGCCACTATCAGACTTGCACTCGCCTCGCATGGTCTGGTCTCTTAGTAAAGCCTTGAAGCCAAACGTCAACATACTGGAGGACCAACCCATCGCTGTAAAAGTCACTGTTGAAACTTTGGATAGACGAATGTTGCATTCAACAGTACTACCTGTTCATACTATTGCTTATGGCGCTCTAAGTGTCAGAACAACAATGTAACTGAAAGATTGAGATAATTCCATAGCTAGATCGATTCTGACACCGCAAAATCCAGGCCAGCCCCCTCATCAGACCACAGCATGATTCAGTCGATGCAACCTACCTACGTAAGCACGAGTCATATGAGAAAAAGTCAATAGAGTGGAGTGTCGGGTTGGCCGAAGGGTTCGTGTTCGATGGTCTCGTTCGCTGACGGAGACGGACCCGGATTGCGCTTCCTTGGGCTAGCTGCGCCGAGTTCGGCGAGCCCCGCGGAACCCACCCAGGAACATCTTCCACTTTGTGGTTCGGGTATAGCCTCTTTCTAGGTAGTCTAGCTGAAGAATTGCAGCTAATTGTCTCGATTCACGAGGCTAAGCCGAGCGGAGATGGTATAAGCTTACCAAGCCGATTGCTTAGAGATTCGCGTGGGGCTGCTCACTATGACCGACGCAATCATGCCCTATCTCGGCTCCGAAGGGTCCAACTGAATCTACTCAACTTTGAGACCTATACGAGATATGCGGGTTCTGACTCGTGTGGATGTCATGTCCCTGAGGCTGAAGAGACGAGACTCTTACCAAATTGATCCTTTAAGTAGAGGCTTCGTGAAGAGCTATATAAAGCCCCTCTCGACCAGACCAGTTCTTCCTCCCATCACACTCGACCAGCCAATTCTCCTCACATTCCAACACAACATTCGCTTATCTGAAATCTTCATATTCATCTTCTTTCACAATGAAGTCCATCGCAGCCGCTGCCACTCTCCTCAGTCTCCTGCACGGAGCCACCGCCTCCATCACCTGGGGCACCATGTGCACCGGCACCGAGTTCACGGGCACCTGCACAAACTACCAGAGCACCAACGTGAACCAATGCAGTATGTTCTCACCTTCCCCCTGGCTCTCATCTGCTCAACTTGAGGAATGGTACTGACACCTGAAAAGTCTCCTTCGCCGGCAAAGACGCAAGCTGGAATGATAAGGTCCAGTCCGTCAGCGTGTGGGATGGCAACGTCTGCACCTTTTGGGTGTTAGTATCCCATGCTCACTAAGGGGAAGATGGCTATTTTATATGACGGATACTGATATTTCTCTCTAGTGATGTTGGCTGCAGCGGTTCCAGCAGCGGAGCGCTGGAGGGAGCGTTTGCCACCATCGGCCAGCCTAAGCAGTGGAGTTCCTTTGCCTGTGACTACGCCTAGGCATGGGTTGTCAAGGAGCTCGCAGGCCTGCTGCGTTTGTGGGTTTAGAAAGAGGTACGGGAAGGGGGCTGGAAATGGACCACTTGGCTTATTCAACATAGGCAGGTTCGGTTCTTTACAGACGAAGGGTAAGGTGACGAGGGAGGCTAGTGTTGTTTTGTATTAGGTTAATGCATGCAACTAAATGGTTCCCTGCCTTCATGATGTGTTGAGGTGCTTATGTGCGCTAGCTCAATATAACAATTAGGTAGCTGAGCACAAAGACATTGTTTCAACTGAGCAGGTAATGTCACCCAAATAAAGCAGGAAGTCTGTCATTGTCAGGACACCTCACGGCCGTCTTGCATTGTCTACCTCAAGGACGAGGCTTTAGCACCTTTAGCACTGGGCCGAGAGTTCTGCAACATAACGACCCCAACATGTAACTTGGCATCCGGGTTTTTGCGGCCCCACAACCCAACAATTTCCCCTCGGGGCAAGTCTCCTTCTTTGCTCTGCGCATTCCCCGCTGCACGGCGGTAATGCGATGTATACCTGCGTTGAAGAAAGTCGACATCCTCATGGTCCGTCCTGCCCGCCATAGAGGGTAAGTTCCTCTTCGCGGATGGCGTGGCGATAAGGGCGCGTCGAGTTTTCGCATGCTCACCCCGTTTGATGAAATGGAACTGGTTCTCCATGTTAGTGGGAGTCCTATATCTTCCCAGATGAGAGACGGGCAAAGGGAAACAAAGCCAAGCTGCCATATCACTTACAGTAATTTGCAGGAGGCCAGTCCAGTCCCTGATCAAGGACATCCTTTGGACATCTTCGTCCGGAGAAAGTCGCACAGAGCGAAGGGCCTGCCCAGCCGCCACGTCGCCTATATCCCGAACAGCACCGGTCTTATATGAGAATCTCAGGCCAGTGATGTAATTCTCCTTATTCAGGTTGCGATACCCAGATATGGAGACCAGATGATCCGTTCCATTATCTCCCGCCCAGAGTGCCCTTTGAGGAACGGCCCAGGGCCGTGTCTTGAGGGTATGGCACGGGTCCCAGAAAACCATCTTCTGACTCGGCGATTTGGGACTCCGGATTACTCGGGGAAAGTCCCATGAATCGTTGAATACCCAGACAAGGCACGACTGTGAGGGGTATCAGTCAACTTTACTGAGAACTATGAATAGCAAAGCAGCAAGGCGGAGGAGCGCGCTTACCAGTTCTTCGAGGTAGTTTTCTTCAAACCGCAAGATAGTATGCTCGTGGGCTGGTAGCGGGGGTCCTTCCGGATACACCACCGTCTGAATGGAAGTAGTTATCATGATGCGAATTACTCGGCCCATGAAGAACTCCTGGCTCAAGGACATCCGACCGTTTGAGAGCCATATTGTGATTCCTGTGATCGTCTCTCCGTGCTCAAGGGTAATCGACGCAGACTCAGAGATCCACTGACCGACAATTGAGTCGGGAGATTCGAAGTAGTCTAACCATACTCCGGAAATTTCATTGGAGAGGCGCGGGCGCTCGAGATCTCCGCTCGAGAATTTTATACACTTGACCGATTTCAAACTCGCAGATGTAAAGGCTCTACAACAATTGGATCTTTCTGTGATGATATATGAGCCTAGAGTTGAGGCTAGGCATGCGGCAGTTGAGACAGGGAGGTGAGAAACCGTGCCTGTGACCCGCGTTTCATACGGTGGTGGGGTTTCTTCACACTGTAATCCAAACCCGCAGAACGAGTGGTGTGAAGTCTGAACATGTCTCAGTGGACGGATTCGTCATGTTTCTCGGGGGTAGGGCTTACCTCCAGGGTGGCAATGAATCCAGTAATGCGCTGCCCGATGGGCGCTTGCATTGCCTTGATAGTCATTTCCTTACCTTTGATGAGAGGATTCGAGCGAGAGTCATATGGATGCACTCGGAGCCGATAGTCCGATACTTCAGAGCGGCTCAGCTCATCCCAACCGGTGATAAGCTCGTTTCCAAGGTTTGTGCACATCTAATTCACGTCAGTCTCAGTGGAATGCCGAGAGAAGAGGTGCGAGTACCCGAAGTAACAGGATCCGGCTATCCTTGGTGGACTTCGCGACTGTGACACCAGTGACATACTCCCCCCGGGGTCCATCAATCAACAAAGATACTTCCATCAAGCCCTGTCGACCGAAGTGGGTAGAGGTCCGGTTATCGAAATAGAAGGTGAATCCTACAATGGGTGCCGAGTCATTGAGGATATGGGTCACTATCCTTGTGAGTTGCGGAAGCTTCTCCCCGTTGGCACCCGCGAAATGAATATTCAGCATACGGTTGTACCCTTGCAATGCTGGCTGTAGTTCAGGAACGAGGGATACGGCTTCTCTTGGATAGGTGGGCGTCCATATTGGTTGGAGTGTGAAACTGTTGTCGTTTTCCGAAACGGTGTCACTAGCTTCGGTAAATCCCAAGGCGATCATTTTGAATGCCTTGCGTGCCCTCAATCAGTAGACACATCGATGATGCGGCAGTCGAACTTACATCAAACTTAGCGACCAGTCGGATTCGTCGTGCTTTCATAGCGCCGAAGTTCAGCTTTCCCAACGCGATATCGGCCCGGTCCGTCTCTTGATCTCGCACCCACTGCGGTGGACATGCACCGTGGTCGCTTCCTTCAACGAGCACTCTTAGATTTGTGATGCCTCGCGAATTGACTTCTAGTTCAAGTCCTGTTACACAAACGGACGGGGCAATTTGGATCAAATGGCCCGCATTAGGTGGCGTAAATCCCAGAGCGATGTCGGAAAGCGCTTGAGTAGAAAGGTTCAGAAGTTCAAATTTCAGACCGGAGATGAAACACTGCAAGTTAAAGTAAACCACATAAACACGAATGGTCTTGAGAGTGAAGTCGTTCAAAGGTAAAATAACACTCCTATCGTGGAGCCTCAGACTTCCTACAGAAAGTAGCCGGTGAGAGTCCTCCGACACTTGGGCGCTGAGCATTTCACCGTGTGTCCCATTTTCAGTTGTTGTATTGGGGCTTTGAGACAGACCTGAACAGATACTGCCACAAAGGTCGGTTCCATTCAAGAACTGAGAAAGCAGAGCCGCATTGATACCAGCAAGTCTCCATATTCGCCGCCGGTTTCTGGCCTGCGCAAAGTTGGAGCCGGAGCTATCGCTCAAAGCATGCTTCAGCGTAAAGTAAGCATCACGCCAGTTGAGATCACCCGTCGAGTTAGCGGGCCAAGCAAATCCCATCTCGCCATCTGCCAGAAACCTGGTGCGCCAGAAGAACTGAGGCAGCGATGACGGATCAGTCGCGGATGCAAGACTTCTTGACGCCAATCGCAACTGCTGAATGTCGGGTGAAGGGAGGACGGACACAATCATAAGTAGAACCTCGACTGGAAGTGAGGAGAATATGTCGTCGCGCGGAGACGGCCTCCAGGCTCTATGCGTGGATTGTTGAGGGCAGAATTGAGTGTCTGGGGTAGCAAACGATAGAATCTCTGCCATATTGCGGAACTGCGAAGGACAGGCCGAGAGATAATCAAATCCTTGGTCGATCATATCGTGAATCACAGCCCCAACCGGCTTTTGAAATTGGGCTGCGCCACCGAAGTCATGACCAGGACGAAGGTATCTATGCTTACCCCATGTGGTACAAAACAGCATCTGGAATAGAAGAGTGGAAAACTTGGTGAGGTCGGATCGGCCCTCCGGGACTCTCTGCAGTAAAATCTGCCAGCATAATTCATGCACGTCGAATGACCAGGTACCTGACGCCGGGTCGCGGAATCGGATGTACGACATCAGGCTGCCAACCCCGTCGTCGCTGAAACAGCAATCATGGTGCAAGGGGGCATGCATTCGATTAGCATGATTGACATATCCTACGCCACTCACAGTGGCAGACTGGGTGACTAGCCATGTACCATCTAATGTATCATCGCGAAGCTGGATCACACGGAGCTGCCGGTACCATTCCAAATCGGTTGGCACGGTGCCAGGCATGACCAAAGTACGGGCAATCAGAATGCCACATATTGAACAGTAGTGATTTGGGATTGTTCGAGTCATAGAGTATTATGAATGGATGGATGGATGGACAAATGGATAAAGAGATGAAGAGATGGATGACAGGAGGTGGAAACAAGGGACGAGGCAAGGCTGAGAGAAGTACTGTGAGGTCATGTGATCCCCTCATTTATATTACCCTTAGATGGTGGCCCCAACTCGCGTCCCAATCACTATCACGCATACAATGGCTAAAAATAGCTTGAATAAGCGCGCGCAAAGAAACCCTTTTGCGCCCATCATCCCAACCATTGGGTGCAGTTGTTCGTGACTGCACCTGAGCCAAGCCAGCAATAGTCATAGAGCTTTTGTACGCAAGCCTGTGAGAAACATGTGCATGGCTAAGCATAGCAGCAGGCGTGTAGCAGACCCCATAAATGGCGGACATACTACCAGCAGGGGCCCCATTCTCCGGAAACCTCGGGATTTACAGTACCCTGACCGCAACAAAGCCCAATTTTGGCAACGTCCCAGTCTTCCTTCTCTGGAACACGCTCTGCGCAACCTATTTTCCTCCAGGCGAGGGATTTAAGACGGCCGTCAGCCGACCAGCCCTCCGAGACAACACCGAGCCCGCCTTGGCGGTGGTCACAGGTCGGCAAGACGCAGCCTTAACGTTCCGGAGGACCTGCATAAGAATCAGGTTTTATCATTGAGTACAAACGTCCTTCACGAGACACGCCGGTGGAGTGGGCGTCGGCTTTTGAGCAGTTGGCGACTGCAGGAGCAATACGAACTTCTCCCGCAGAATCCTGGCGGCCACGGCCATCGGTACCAAGGTGAAGTTCTGGAGATATGACGCGCCATCCTCGCATCTGGAATCGGATGTCCCGACATTGTCTCCGAACTCGGGGGTGCTGGACCTCTCTGAAGGCCATGGCCAAAATGGAGCCGTTCAGATGTTGGCCTATGTGCGCAACGAAGGGTTCAATTGGACGGAGTCAGGCAAAGGAGGAATCCACTGAAAGCGTCACGCACGTGTGCAGTGGAAGAAAGGGATCATTCTCGCTATGCAACGCGCATTGATCCGGCAACCATGTCTGTTGTATTTCTGGGGCCACTTCCCGCTTTTTTCATGGCTGTTTTTTCTTTGAAAATTTATGATTACTCTGATAAAACAATCAAATGGATGGCTCGATTCTGCGGTTGAAGAAAAGGAAGCCCCGCCAGTCCTCCTGCCTGTCTTCGGTAATTATGGTTCCAGAGGAGCATTTTCCTGACGAGATCCAGAAACGCCTCCTTCTCCTCTCCTTTGAGGAAGCAAACCGTTTCTGAGACGCCGGTTGGGGATCAGATCCTCGTAGAGAAAGCGACCTAGAATGCCCATTGATCACGAGTCAGATAAAACTCTGCATTGCCGAGATGACAAATCCAAGAATCCTACCATTATTGTCAAAGAACGGCCCACAGAAGTACTCTTCCGCAGTCTCGCATAGCCTGCCGTCTTCTCATCGGACAGGTCCCGGCAACAAATACGTGCGCATGGATTGATACCTTCCTAATATCTCGAGAGCCGGTGGACCAGGTAAGGCTATCATTTGTGCTATATGGCGTTTTGCATCGTAGCGGCCGTGTGGTTTGTAGATACGTTGAAACAGCTCTTTACCTTCCACGAGATCCCATAACTGATTCTGTTATTAGTGAAAACGAACGGAAGAATATTGTTGGGGAGTAGCGAGATTTACCAGAACACCCAGGTTCCAAATATCGCTGGCATTTGCCATCCAATACCCAGGATCACCTGCGGCGCCCGGTAGTGGTCCGGCTGAATTGGCCAGATACCCCAGTCGTCATCTTCCGCGAGTCTGGTGGCCAGGCCAAAGTCGACAAGCTGGGCGACACTTCTGGGGCTTTTAAGTGAGCCGAAGTCGTTACAAGATTGATACACCAGTCGTTCTGTTGAGTCGATCTTGGACGCCATTCGCCTTTCAAGCTGGGACTCTATAAAATCAGCGAGCACGGTCGGATTCTCGGGAGACCATGATGTCCTCACGTTTCAGATCTGGACGGTATGGCTCAGTATCACCCATGGAGAGGCAAGTCCCAATGTAACCTACCTGTATGGACTACCCTGCATTCTTGGTGAAGATAATCAAGTCCCGTGAGCAGGGTACGGATGTAAGTTTTGATAAGGGGCAGTAGCATCCTCCCGTCAGCGAAGCGCGGCTGATACATGGATAGGGGCTCCCTCAGAGATACAGAAGACAAGAGTGAGACCCTCCCGGGCTTTGGACTTCGAAGGAGTTTAGCAATGTGCGGATTAGTGAGCAACCGCAATGCGAGGGGTCTGCGGTGGTAATGTGCTCTTCAACCTCACACTCATAACCAGCATAGCGCGCATTCTTATTAACCTATTCTCTTGACTTGAAGTTGCCTTGAGCTAACATATGTCACAACGGAAACCCCAACCCCGTTGTGATAAGGTAGTGAGTGCACTGTAACTACTAACTCTACACTAGTACTGTAGGTAGTTGTAGAGGGAAGAGGGAAGAAGGAAGATGATAGGTCGATTCCGCGATAAGGCCTCGGGATAGATAAGCGCGGGCGAGACTAAACCATGTTGGGAACACCGCGCATAGCCGGGCCTCGGAAACTTGGCCCATCTTTTGAACAGTACTACCTTACTGTATGTATGGGTCATCATCTTTGCAACAACTGAAGTATCACTCACTGTTAAGCTACTTAGTTGGTGTAAGAGTTATTGCAGTACATATAGGAGATATATGAGAATAATAACAGCAAGATAGCCCTTCCCTGAGCAAGTAGCATTCTGGGGCGCAGCAAGATATATAGTCACGATATGCACCGTTGACTCAACGGCCTCATAAAAGTCCGTACTACAATGCTATCGCAGGGAGGTAAGGTCAAGATATCATGAGGATATCAGAAGTTACCGACTCGATTGCTATATTTAAACCACAGTGGAATTACTCATGTATTCTACCCAAGTATTGAAGTACGCCCAAGCGATGGGCAGGTCGGCTCTACCCGGCACTTGCCACCACGGATGCTTCGGCCGGACAGCCTCGAGTCCACCTAGCATCTCCTTCTTTCTCCTTACCCTGTCCAAAGTTTTATTGATGTCAACTACTATAGAACGTACGAAGAAGGGATATAGAAAATAGATCTCGAGCAGTCACGTGCAGTGGCTTAGAAAGATTCATGAATGGCCTGAGATTTGCATCTGGAATACATAATGGCTGATGCGCGGGCTGGTCTCCGAGAGCCTTGCGCAGCGATCGGATAAAGCGAGGCATATTAATTGCCTGCCTCGCTGAGAGTTTGTGGAGCTCTCATCCCTGGATGTATCCCAAGGTTAATGGGAGGTCTAGGCCCGCCGGAGTCCCACTCAAAGTTCAATTACCCGGTCCCAAGTTTGGTTCCGTCTCACTCAACGAAACCTAGCCGGGGGGATGTCACTCCGGCGGCTGGTGCGTTCGTCGAGGTAGCTGGCTGCTGTCCTCGAAAGTGTCGAACGTCTACATGCCCTAGAACGGCATGGAACGGGAGCCGGGTGGAAACCCAGTCCCTCAGGCCGGACAATGACCTTATTCTGGCACTGGAAGCCATACGGATTATGGCTTTCCGAATCGAGCCCTGAGCCGGTGCGCTGAATCAATACAGCTGTCATAATTCGGATTCGTGGTACAGCATCGAACGCAGCCTACGAGCTCCGTCCAGGATTGGCCTTTCCACTCTCGATCACCGTCACCGTCTCCTGGATGATCACCTGCCCCTTGCCAGCCGCGCGACCGGCATGTTTCGCGTTCTGCGGCGACAGCAAGTCCTCCGAGGAGCTGTCGTTCCCCGTGCGTGGCCCGCCTAACGAGGTTGACTCCGGAGTCGCGATCGCCCCCTTGCCCGTCTGCACGTCGACATGATACGACCCGGCCGCGGCCGCTGCCTGACCCAGGCTATTCAACTCCACATGCCCCTCCCAGGTGCGACCGTAGCCGCGGTGGAACCGACTGGATCGCTTGTGGGATGAGGTGGCGCCGCCGGAGGAGGAGGCCTTGAGGTGGTTGAAGTAAGAGCCGAAGAGCGACTTCAAGGCGGGAATGGACAGGGCAATCAGCGTGCTTCCGATCTCGGAGGTCTCGACCGCCAGCATCGGATCGTAGGCCCAGCTGCCGTCCGACGACCATTGGCCCACCGCAACCAGGTAGATGCGCGCGCAGGAGATGGCCAGGACTCTGTTGGAAATGTCTGGTCAGCTTGGGGACAGCAAGAAAACAAGAGGAATGTAGTGGAACTCACAAAACACCCGGAAACATGATCAAGGACAACTGGAATTTCCGTTGTCGCGACACATGCAGCATGTAGATCAACATGGACGGCAGAACCAACATGATCAGATCGCAGACTAACGACAACCCCGAATTGACTGAGTAGACGTCGCCCCAGCTCAGACATTTGAACTTGCTCGCCCCATCCTGCCAGTCATATGGCCAGAGCCCCGTGACCGGTAAGCAGTGGAACAGCAGCAGGAAGAATTGGGTCAGGAAGGCGAGGACGAGGAAGATGGAGGCGAGCTTGATGGCGAGAGAGAGTTTGTCGTGTCGCGCCGCCAGCCGATGGTAGAAGGCCAACCCGGACAGGCGGCAGATGAACAGTGCGGTCGTATACAGGATGTGCATGACGAAGTCCAGGACCTCTGTCTCCTTGACCCGGGACAACGAGAGGACGTACTCGATGTACTCGATGTGACGGCCGCTGCCCAGGTCGATGAGCACCATGGACAGCACGACCACGGTGATGTACAGCAGCTGCCAGCAGTCAGTTCAGTTAGTGTGGGCTTTTCCGACCCGTGAGCGCGGAGAACATTACCAGCGTGAAGACGGCCAGGGAGTCGTCCATGCCAAATCGCTTGAGAAAGAAAATCCGAGCATAGCATCTCGCGATGACCACAAGCGTGGTCAAGGCGCAGACGAAGATGATGGCGATCTTGGCCGGCCGATCGCGCGACTGTGCGAGGTATTCCAAGCTGATCCCCGCGGGGATGCGACCCGCAGCATCGGCCGCTTCAATGGCCGCTGGGATGTTGGCCATATTGCTGCAGGCAGGCCGGCTTGCCAGGGACCACCGGAGTTGCGTGGATGGAGTCGTTGTTTTGAGTCAGTCAGGCTGGGGACAGAAGGGGGGTGAGGGAAAAAAAAAGATGAAGTAAAGAAGTCCAGATCTTGCTTGCTCGGACGAACCAGAATTTGCCGGAGATGAGCACCTTGCGTTCTCCCTGAACCGAAATGCGAACCATGGTCTGATGGGCGTGTCCACCGGGAGGCAGGCTAGTCATCCTGGGAACGATAAAAGTGCATTAGCCTAGGGCTAGACTAGTCTATAGTAAAGTATAGGCTAGACGAGCAGCGCACTATTAATTAGTTCTCACTAGCCGATCCTGCCATGTGGGAAAAGAGCCGACCGAACCATCAGACCAGGTTCTTGGGTTCTTCACGGCCGTGGTGGTTGTTCTTGACGACAAAAATCTCTCTTCTCCGGTCGCATGTTTTTTTTCTTTTTTTTTTTTTATGGCGCATTCTCTGTCTGGATGACGTGCCCGGGAGCGCGACAGGCGATCGGTTACCTTAAACGCGATAAACGAGCAGCCCTGGCAGGACACGGACGAGGGAACCCATGGAACGGTTTTCCCTTGCTGCCTTGTCAAATGGACCGCAGTGGAGCATAGCGCTTTAGATGAGGGGCAAATGAGGGCAAATGAGGGTTAGTGCGGGGTGTGGAGTCGGAATTACGTGTTTTACGTGGAAGTTACTCTTTCGGATCTCGTCGGCTACAGCCTGGAGGGCAACCGTTAATTAATCTAACAGTATCCGTACTGCGTCTTCTAAGGGGGAGAAGCTGGACTGCATACTACAGTTAATACCAAGTTATTAGTCCTTTTCATTCGACTCCGTACACTTACAGTACCAAGTTCACGGACTGACTGACCGTGCCGAAGATCCGCCGTTGTCGCGCGACAGCGCAATCAAGCTTCGGCCGATGCTCCACCGGTGGCCTCATCGGCTACTGACTCGCTGAGGGAGATTAATTGTTCTCATGTCCGGAAAGTATAAATGATTAAATGGACCCAAGAGGGAATTTGTTTCCTTCACCAGGCTGCCTGCTCCTGAGAGTTGCCCCTTGCATTCTGCATCTCCCCGATCCCCGATCGTCGGTCGCCGTTGCGGTCGCCGCCCCATCCATCGACGATTTCCTCATAATCCTGCCCTTCTTGTCGTTTGTTATTTCACCCTTCCCCTCCCACGTCATAGCGATCTGCACTTTTCCCCTGCCTCCCGAAAATGCCTTCCATCGCTTCGCGACTCCTAGCCGTCGGCTTGGCCGTGGTGGCGGCCGCCTCCTCGGCGCAGAATGACAGCCTGGTCACCCAGCAGCTGGACCTACAGCCCTATCCCTACGACTTCCCCAAGCTGGGCACCAATGGCTCCGATCTCTTCCCTATGCGTCTCTGCCATGGCTTCAAGCTCGAGGAGGCCAGCATCGACGAGATCCAGGCCGAGCTGGAAGCCAAGAACTTCACGGGGGTGCAGCTGCTGCAGTGTTACCTTGAGCGCATCTACCAGGTCCAGCCTTATGTCAAGTGAGTGTTCCCAGAATCCCAGCATGGTGGGGATAGGGCTAAATAGTGGATGGGCAGTGCGGTCATGCAGCTGAACCCCGATGCGGTGAGCATCGCCGAGGCGCTGGACGCGGAGCGGCAGGCAGGCACCGTGCGCGGTCCCTTGCACGGAATCCCCTTCTTGGTGAAGGACAACATCGCCAGTAAGGACAAGATGGAGACTACGGCTGGTAGCTGGGCCCTCGTGGGCTCCGTCGTGCCTCGCGACTCGCACGTGGTGCACCGTCTGCGCGAGGCCGGTGCGGTCCTGCTGGGTAAAGCGACGTTGAGCGAGTGGGCGGACATGCGCTCCAATGACTACTCTGAGGGGTACTCGGGCCGCGGTGGCCAGTGTCGCAACGCGTATAACTTCACCGTCAACCCCGGCGGTAGCAGTTCCGGCTCCGGAGTGTCCATCTCCACCAACCAGGTGCCCTTCGCGCTGGGTACGGAGACCGATGGCAGTGGTACGTGGTGGATCACAACCCGATGATAGGGTTGGTCGCTAATGCAGTGTAGTCATCAACCCGGCGGAGCGCAACAACATCGTGGGGATCAAGCCCACCGTCGGCCTCACCTCGCGTGCGGGCGTGATTCCCGAGTCCCTGCACCAGGACACAGTGGGTACCTTCGGCAAGACCGTGCGCGACGCCACTTACGCCCTGGACGCCATCTACGGCGTCGATCCCCGCGACAACCAGACCGCCGCGCAAAAGGGCAAGACCCCCACCGGCGGGTACGCCCAGTTTCTGACGGACAAGTCCGCCCTGAAGGGCGCCGTGTTCGGTCTGCCGTGGATGTCGTTCTGGCAGTACAACGATGCCGCCCAGAACGCCCAGCTGATGGAGCTGCTGGCGCTGATCGAGTCGGCGGGCGCGACCATCATCAACGGCACCGAGCTGCCCCACTACAAGGAGATCGTCGACCCGGAGGGCTGGAATTGGGACTACGGCACCTCCCGGGGCTACCCCAACCAGTCTGAGTACTCCTACGTCAAGGTCGACTTCTACAACAACATCAAGGATTATCTCGCGGAGCTGAACAACACCAACATGCGTTCGCTGGAGGACATCGTCCAGTACAACATTGATAACGCCGGTAGCGAGGGTGGTGTTCCCGGGGTCAACCCGGCCTTTGCCTCCGGACAAGATGGCTTCCTGGCGTCGCTGGCGACCAAGGGTGTGATGAACGAGACCTACTGGCAGGCGCTGGCGTACTGTCAACGCACCAGTCGGGAGGAGGGCATCGATGCGGCGCTGCGCTACCAAGGCCGCAACATCACTGCTCTCCTGGCCCCGCCGGATTTTGCCCCCTCCGTCGAAATCGCCGCCCAGGCGGGTTACCCCGTGGTCACCCTGCCCGCCGGTGTCAACGAGGACTCGCACATGCCCTACGGATTGGCCTTGTTTGGGACCGCCTTCTCCGAGGCCACGCTCATCAAGTATGCCAGTGCCATCGAGGATCTGCAGCTGTCCTCTCAGACTCCCTGGAAGCGCAGCCTGCCCACCTGGAGCGGGTATCTGGAGCGCAACATCCCTGTGAACTGAGGGTTCGCCGGAGCTGTGAAGGGGTGGGAAGGATGTGTACATATGCGGTGTCCCGATAGACTTATAATAGTAATAGATCTCCGTTGCTGTGACTGTATCTGTGTCTGGTGTGTTGTCGTGATGAGCTGGTAAAGCGGAAGGTGAGGACGGGGTAGGTGGGAATCTGTGCTGGTAGACTAACAGGTAAGTTATTATGCTGTGTTGTTGCGTCGAGGAAAGTGCTATGCTTACTGGCTCGAATTAGAATCAGTGCTCGAATCTGCAGGTTTCTCTCCGATATGTTGTCTTGGGGAGATGGTAGGGTGGTAGGCGAGGCGGCGATCTGTGACAGTGGATGATATTGGCACAGTGACAGACTTCACTGGTTCAGTGCAGACTCATTGCTTCAATTTCCACCATGTACGCAGTCCTACCAATCTCTCAACAAGGAGTAAGTGATGAAGGCGAATCCTTCGTTGAAAGGATTGAGTTTCAAGACATTTTTGTCTGGCGCAGGAGGCAAGGCGAGTCTGCACAAGCGAGGCGGGAACGCCGACCCTCAGGCAACAAGGCTAACCAGTCAAGGCAGGATGTCCACTGAACGATCATCGGAGGTCTCGTCCAGTTTGAGTGAACTTGCCACGGGTGGGAGTAGCACAAGGTTATTGTGGTTGATGAGGAGCTACCTCCTCGACTGCTGCCATGTAATTTCTCGCTATTGCTGAGCCATGTGAGCATTGAGATACTCCGTGTGCTTGGACCCAACCCAGGGGGGAATAAACCATTCTGGAAGGAGGCAACAGTGCAGGATGCTTGCCGCTAACCTGGGAGGTGGTTTCCCCCGAGCTGTGGATGGGTGTCTCGCCACTAGTGCAGGGCAACAGCACCTGCATGGCAAGGCAGTGCGCTGTGAACTGTCGCCCACGCGGAGCAGCGACAGCCGATTGCACGATGGCGAGAAGTGATGATTGCATGGTCAATTGCTCGGCAGACGCCGTGATGCCGATGAAACCCTGATCCAGATCGGTCGTCGCCACGCCCGGAACTCAGCTCCATCGTGATGCATGAACGTCTCACCTGAAGGCAACCGCCGGAGACCAGTCAGGTTGGACAGAGGACATGCACGTGGGAAAGTGAGACTCCACCTCACGTGCACCACCTGAAAGGGGAGTCTAGCCGAGATGCAGTGAGTTCCTGCTGGGAGTTGAGGAGGAGGAGGAGGAGGAGGCGGTGGTGGTGGTGGTGGTGGAGGTGGTGGTGAGGTACCGTGGGGAGAAAGGGCTGGGCACAGCAGGAGGGATCCTGGTTGTGATACGAAGCGATAAGCCGTATATTACTGGGAGACTCGAACATGGATACAAACGCATTGATGATTGGCTTCTCCCCGGATTTGAATCGACCCCACGTGGATCATGCTCGGGCTGTGATTGGCGAGAATGCTCCGCTGGGCGCCAAGCGCTGCCAAGCCAGCCCCCGAACACCGCCAAGGCCCGTGCCAAGTGAATCCAGGTGAATCTGGGGGGGTTCAACCGGGGTCAACCGTGGATGAAGCAACCCTCGACCGCAGCTTAATCTCCTGCTCGAATCAGCGTTGGCCAGCCAGGAACGTGCGGAAGGGAAGATGCTGGTCAAACACACGCCACTGTCAGATGCCACTCTCGCCAGACTCTACTACTCTACACCACTCATTCATCACTACCACCTCCACCACCACCACCACCACCACCACTACCACCATCAACATCCCATCCCGGTAAGCCATCCTCAGCCTGACGAGCCAGTCAGTCAGCCATTTCAGCCATGGCTACATAAGGCTCCCCTCTCCTGCCTTTTCTTCCTCCTGCTTCTTTCCTTCCCCTCTTCACGCCTTCTCCTTCCTGCAGCAGCCGCCCTCTCCTCCCCTCACGCGACATCATCCCAGCTTCTCCAGCCACGATGACGCTGCATCAATATGACTACATCTTTGCCATCGGCACTCTGTTTGCCATGCTGGATGCCTACAACAACGGTGCCAGTAAGTTCCCGGAAATCCTGTCCGTGCTGGTTTCCATCGCTGACCCCTTCGTTCTTACCCTGCAGACGATGTTGCCAACTCCTGGGCCACGAGTGTCTCCTCCCGCTCCGTCTCCTACCGCCAGGCCATGGTCTTCGGTACCGTCTTCGAGATGCTGGGCGCCATCTGTGTTGGAGCTCGCACCGCCGATACCATCAAGAACGGAATCATCCCCAACTCAGCCTTCCAGGGCAACGCGGGGGTGCAGATGATGGCTTTCACCTGTGCCCTGGCCGCTGCGTCGTCTTGGGTGATGTGGTGCACGCGACACTCCGCCCACGTCTCCTCCACCTACTCGCTCATCTCTGCAGTCGCCGGTGTCGGTGTCGCCACGGTCGGCGCCTCCCAGGTACAATGGGGATGGAACGACGGCAAGGGAATGGGCGCCATCCTGGCGGGTCTGGGCATGGCCCCCATCATCTCCGGCTGCTTCGGCTCCATCATCTTCATGCTCATCAAGGTCGTCGTGCACATGCGCAAGAACCCCGTCCCCTGGTCGGTCTACACCTCGCCCCTGTGGTTCCTGATTGCCGCTACCGTCTGCACCCTCTCCATCGTCTACAAGGGCTCGCCCAGTTTGGGTCTGAGCAAGAAGCCAGGATGGTATATTGCGGCGGTGACGATGGGCACTGGTGCCGGTGTCGCAGTGCTGTCGGCCCTCTTCTTCCTCCCCTTTGTCCACGCCCGCGTCATCAAGAAGGACCCTAACGTCAAGTGGTGGATGTTCGTCTACGGTCCTCTGCTCCTGCAGCGGCCCGCCAACCCCAACGCTGAGTCCGCCAAGGTCCCCAACTACGCTGTCATCCAGGAGGATGAGTTCCCTTCCCCGCCCGGCTCGCCCGAGACGCTCAAGGGCGCTGACGCCGACGTTGACACCGTCCACAAGGCCTCCACTAGCGGTGAGAAGGAGCTCGTCGCCGCCGAAGCCCAGCAGCTCACCTACAAGGAGCTTATGGCGCAGTCCGATGGCCGTCTCCGCGCCCGCCTGCTGCAGAAACGCGGTCCCCTCGGCTGGGCGATGCGCACCCTCCGCGACAACCCGATGGGTCCTGGTCAGCTCTACGAGTTCCGTAACATGGCCATCCTCGCCAAGCGCATCCCCGCCATGATCGTCTGCGGATTGCTGTACGGCATGCACTACGACATCCACGCCGCTCAGAGCGGCATCAACGGCACCCCCGAGGGCGACCGCATGCAACGGGTCTACGCGCACGCGACCAAGTACCCCAACGAGGTCGAGCACACCTACTCCTTCGTCCAGGTCCTGACAGCCTGCACGGCCAGTTTCGCTCATGGCGCCAACGACATCGGTAACTCCGTCGGGCCCTGGGCCGTCATCTATTCCGCCTGGAGCACCGGCAGTGCCGCCAAGGCCAAGGCTCCGGTTCCGGTGTGGCAGCTGGCCGTGCTCTCGGCGTGTATCTCCATCGGCCTGATTACCTACGGGTATAACATCATGAAGGGTGAGTTCTACCGCTTTACCAATCCATCCCTTCGTCTCTGTGCATGTGCTAATGAAACGGGCAACAGTCATGGGCAACAAAATCACCTATCACTCCCCCAGCCGCGGCTGCTCGATGGAACTCGGCGCCGCCCTGACCGTCCTCGTCTTTTCGCAGTACTCCCTGCCTGTCTCGACCTCCATGTGCATCACAGGCGCCACCGTCGGCGTCGGACTGTGCAACGGCACGTGGCGCGCGGTGAACTGGCAGCGGGTGGGACTGTTGTTGACTGCGTGGATCTTGACTCTGCCCATTGCGGGAACGCTGGGTGGGTGTCTGATGGGGTTGTTCATCAATGCGCCTCATTTTGCTTCTTAGTTGGCACGGTCGGGGTGATTGGGGGGGGGGGGGGGGCGTGTAATTAGACCTTTTCTTTTGTGTGATGCCCGGTGGCTGAGATGGCTGCCATGTTATTCTGGGGGGTAATGTACATTTTAGTGATGCAAAAATGGGTGTCTTGGGGTATCATCTTGTGTAAGATGCATTTGGTCGGTTACTTGTGTCTGTAGACTCACTGCGAGCGTACTGGTATGGTAGTGTTCTTACGTTCAAACGAAAAGAATCCGTAGATGTTAGCACATATTTCCCGTCACGTGCTCCATTCCCGACAACGATTTAGTGAATGCTGACAACTTCTTTCTTAGAGGCATTGCCCCAAGAAGACTGCAGTATGTGACGCAGATTTGATAGCACTCGCTTCATTTCTTCATGATATCTTTGTCTTCTCCAAGCTTTATTCCTAGACTTGCCGTGCCAGCTGATATGTGGGTCGACATGTTGAGAAAGCACAGCGGTCAAAGAGATAAGCCAAAGTGCTGTGAACCGACCGCATCTGAAATAATAGAAGGATAACTTGCAGAGTTCAGCATACCAGGAATATAGCAATTTTCTAAACATTGACGGCCAGTAGCAAAATCATTGGCATGGGTGGTAAAAGCAGCGCCCCTTCAAGCCCATTCGAAGCCTAATCGAAGGCAGAACCCAATAGCCCCTTGTAGAGTTGACGAAGTGGCGAAGGGATTAGTTGATTGTAGGAATTGGTTTTGCCCCTCTCTAGTCTCGCTCGGTCTGCATGTATGAAGCAGCATTGGGTGGCAGACCGTTCGACTCCTCAATTAGTACTGCGCTTGGCTGCAGCCTGAATAATATCCTGGATATAATCGAGCGGAATATCAAACGCTTTGTCTCAAAACTCGAGATGATCCCCGTTACTGAAAGAGCGGCAATAACAGTATGGCCACCCCCAATCGAGTATGGAGTTCCGCAAGTGCGACCCGGGCGCGGAATTCTGATAGACGTAGCGATTGGTCTCTGGATGACAGAAAACATCCGAGCTTCCCTCCGGGGAGGGTTGATAGGCAAAATTCAATTTCCAGTCGCAGCGCATTCATCTTCAAAGACTTGGCGAGGAGATACAGCCTAAATACGAAGGTTTCGCCGGGTTCTTCATAAAGCCAGCTGGCTAGTCGGTGGAAGACCTCCGGGTCCTCATCGGGACATAGCTGGTTGGGAAGCGGGTCGGGGAGTTGTTTGTAGTACTGTGAATGATTACGTAGCACTCGAGAGTGGATGTTGAAGATCAGGTGGTGTTCAAGTGTCAGTGTTCAATTCATATGTAGTTATCGATCGATCAATAGATCCAGGATCGTGGATGCTTGGCCAAGCTTAGCTCTTGTTTAGCTCACTTGCTCGACCAGTCATTGTGTCCCCGCCCCAAACAACCGATTGGATACGATGGCTCCGAACCCCACCGACCAGCCGCTGCAAGCGCTTGCATCCACCCTTATATTTCCAAGTATCTCCGATCCACCGACCGTGGTCCGTCTGCTTCCTGCACATATCGCAGGATCAAGGACCTCAGAATGCATCTGAGTTTCCCATCAGATCTGCTGACCTGGCTGCATGCCAACCTACCAGCCTCACTGTCTACTTTGACCTGCATCTGCCTCGCCAGCTTTGTTCTCGTAGCTGTTAAACGGCGCTATCTCACCTCCCTACGGGACATTCCCGGGCCATGGCTTGCCTCCGTGTCCAGCCTGTGGCAGGTCTACCAGCTCGTCAAGGGCCACAGTGAACAGGAAATGATTCGATTACATCGAAAACATGGTAGGATTCACCAACACAAAAGATCATTCACGCATCAAGATCTAACATTTGTGCAGGTCACTTTGTCCGAATTTCCGAGAAGGAAGTTAGCGTCTGTCATCCAGATGCCATACGCGCACTACTCCAAGCAAATATTGCCAAGGTACGACCCACCCCCATCGCATTGGGTCCATTCTTGTGCTCCTTGCGTTCATAACCCGGCTGAAAAAAAAATAAAAATAAAAATAAAAAACGCTTAGGGCCCCTGGTATTCGATCTTCAGTCTGCCCGATTATCACTACGTCAACCAGATGTCCGAGCTGGACCCCCAGCGCCACATCCACAAGTCACGAAACATAGCAGCAGGCTACGCGTTGTCGAATATCATCAAGTCCGAGCCCCAGGTGGACGCCCTCCTCGCCCGCCTGGAAGAGCAGTTGGACCGGCTGATCGCCTCCGGGCAGCCCGTCGAGTTCGACCGGTGGTTCAACTACTTTGCCTTCGACGTGGTTGGCGAGGTGACCTTCTCCAGTCCGTTCGACTTCCTGGCGACAGGCACCGACATCCGCCACGCCATCGCCAACAGCCGCGCGCTGGCGCTCTACATCGCCATCATGGGCCATTACGTCTGGCTGCACAACCTCACGCTAGGCAACCCGCTGCTTAGCCGTCTAGGCTTGCAACCCACTTCCCACATCTTCGACACCTGTCTGGCGGCGATCGACCACCGACAACGCCAGAGCCAGGCGAAGACTCCTGCTACTGCGACAACTCCCGCGGCTCCTCCACGCCTCGACATGATGGAGCGGTGGCTGACCACACGCCAGAAGCACCCAGAACGAATGGCTGAGTCGGAGATTATGGGTGCCTGCGTAGCCAATGTCGGCGCCGGCGCAGACACCACCAGTGCCACCCTGCAAGCGTTTGTCTACCACCTGATCCGTCATCCGCAGTACTTGGCCAAACTGCGCCAGGAGCTCGACAAGGCGCAGGCGCGCGGCGAGCTGAGTCCCATCGTCTCGTACGCGGAGGCTACCAAGCTGCCATATCTCCAGGCTTGTGTAAGTTTGCCCCCTGTAACAGCTGTATATATGTAGAATCTTGACCCTCGCAATACAGATTCGGGAAACATATCGCTACCATCCAGCCACCGGGACCGGACTTCCCCGTGTCGTCCCTGCGGGTGGAATTACCATCGCGGACAGGCATTTCAGTGAGGGGGTATGTGCAGTACACAACAGTTCCTTCTATTCACCCCTTTACCTTTTGTAAATAAGAGGGGCTAATGGTAGAGACTGTCTAGACCGTCTTGAGCATCAACACGTGGGTATACCACCGCAACGCCGGTTTCTTCGGGCCGGACTGCGATGAATTCAACCCCGAGCGGTGGCTCGATGCGGATCGGGCGAAGCAAATGGATCCGTTTCTGATTCACGTAAGTGATGTTATCACTCTGCCTGCTTCTGAACAAAAGGATACACGGGGAATACAGGATCCGATTACTAATCTTCATCCTTCGGTCAGTGGAGCGCAGGTTACAACCAATGCCCCGGACGCAACCTCGCGCACTTCGAGATTTCCAAGGTCGCGGCCTGTCTCATCCGGGATTATGAGATTACGGAGATCGATTCGGATACGCCGTGGCGGTTCGAGACCCATTTTACCGCGGTGCCGTACGGCTGGCCATGTTGGTTGCGGCGGAGAGCTATTGGAAGGTGACGGGGATTCAAGGAAGGCTGAGAGGGGTATTCGGGGACTCGCAGATTCTGTATGCCCCATTATTATATGCTCTTACGAAAGGTATCCCTTTGTGGACTTGTTACCATGACGTGGAGAAAAAAGGGGCGGGCCCTGGCGTCTGAGTGAAAAGCGGTGCCCGGACTTTACTGGGTCGCACTGTAGGATCGAGATTGTGATTCAAATGTAATGCCTGAGTACCAACGTCGAGCTCCTAACAGACAGCGCATCACCCTCTTACTACCAATCATTTCATCGACAATTTGGGCTAGTAATGACAAACAAACGAAATACCAACGATGGGAGAGAGAGTCAGGGGGGTGTTGTTGTCTTTAAGGGGAGCGGTCGTCACAGGACTCGATCACTTACTTGCCCTACATGCCCTACCTTCACATCCAATACGTCTTCACGTAGATGCTCAGGCAGCGCGCGATGAAGCACAACGGGGTCCAGAAGAGCAACAGCGTCATATGAAGTACAAACAATGCGCTCAGACACAGGGCTATAGCCATCACATTCCGTGAAATGTACACCCCCTCCCTGGAGGCTGCGCTGAGGAACCGGGCGCCAGATCGTACCGGATATCGACGGGAAAGCCTATGGATAAGCTGTTGCAGCCAAACGTTTGATACCATCCCTTCGCCCGATTTCACAATTTCGAGAGAGGGTTGCAATGCGATGAACCCTGTTGGGGAGAGGGGGAAGCCCCCTGACACTTCGTCGTAAGTCTCGAGTGGTCTGAAACTCATGTCGAGGCCCAGTGATCGAAGCTGGATGGAGTGAGAAAGACACATCAGTAGAAGCTGAGAAAGCACTGAGCAAGAGATATGAATTTAGACCAAGCCTCATACATCTAGGTCTTGCTCAGCCGTGCCCGAAGGATTGGCTGGGGCTGTCTTCTTGGAATTGTTCCTGGAAGCGCCCGGCGGCGAAAAGTGCTCGATTGGAAAAACTGGGTGGAGGGAAAGGAATTCAAAATAGAGGACAGCCCCCCCCTGCTGTGAGAATACCCAGGTATTGCCGCTCCCCTTTTTCAGGGGCGAGCCCGCTTGTCTCAAGCGATTCAGGACACGCTGACGTCTGCTTTCGCTTTTCAGACCAATGCTAATGCACTAGAGCACGCCCTTCTTAGTAAGGTCCCAGGGGGGAGCATTAATCTCGTCTTGCCCACATACCTGACCCCCGTGCTTCTTTGGATAGAAGGCAAGAATACCACCCAGCACGGTGACTTCTATCTGTTTGCACCGGCTGTCCATTCGTAGCCAATCAAGCACTTGAACAATTGTGGGCTCTACGACGTCTGCGTGAACAGGATGAGGCGAGGGCAGACGGTGGGTAGCCGCTTGAAGAAGATGATCGCGCGCCACGGTGGTCAGTTGCACTGCGAGGGATGTCATCAGAGTTGCGGCTTTCATGAGTATCGGTCGATGAAGATGTCGAGACACCCTTTCCACTGCCTTAAGAACAAATGCCAGCATGTTGACGGCTTACGAAGATTGTAAATTGAGAAACAAGATGGAAATGAGTGTCAGTCACGATCAAGGTGTCGAGGTGTAGAAGGGCAACGCCAGGAAAACCTTGAGATGGAGGGACACTATTTGAGGGGGGTTTGATCATCAGTCCATCACAGCCAAGGGGAGAGACCAGTTATGCCAGTCTGATCAGCTGTGACTATGGGTGCTGAAACCTGGCCACCGACAAGCTTGCGAGCTTTTTTTGGTATGACCCAAGCCTTGTCATCGTTTGCCGGTCTGTGTACTCTGAAAAGTGATTCTGATCAGAAATCACTCCAATGCATGTTTCTGTTGATGTCAGAGACTTTTGTTATTATTATCGCTCAATCTAATCTAGCTGGTAGACGTAGTTACCAGAAACCTCAGGTGACGTGCGTCGACATGGTCCTGCTACATATTCTCACGGTCAGGATCATATTCCACAACATCCCATTCGCTCTTTTCGTGCTCGAGATCGTGAACAGAGACACCCCACGCTTTGAGCTTCCAATAAACTGTCCAAGGCACTCGATCATCATCCCACTTGGATTTTATCGGCTCACCAAGTGTTCCCTGCCGTTTGAGGTCCAGGTAGAGACGACCAAACTCGTGCCGGATTCTTGCACGTTTCGCCCGAGATTCGTCGTCAGTATCGCTGGATCGAGGCATGGTCACCCAGTCCATGAAGGGTTCTGCCAGATCGCCGATAGTACAATCGTAGTTCACCAATCGAGGCCCGATGGGTCGTTTGAGCACAAAGATCATGAGAATCTCGTACTGGTAGTTCCACCAGTCAGACATGGCGTACCCAAAGTCACGAAGCCAAAGATGGATGACGTTCTGCAGGAATTTCCCAGGCCGGAGCATTTTGACCGGGTACTGAGTCGGATCCTGGCGCCCTCGAAAGTTGAGGACCAAACGGGCTCCACCGGTGAGCCTAGTACCTTGATGCTCCGGGCTCGAGGTGGTCATGTAGTTGTCATCCCATATCTCATTGCCCTGCAGATCCCTCAGAGACCCGATGGGGGGTCCCGGGATCATGGGTGAGTGAACCTGGGACTGGCGGTAGAGGAAAATCCGTCCAGTCTGGCTGGTGTCGTCGCCATGCTCTTCCGGGTACCGGTAGTCGGTATGGAAATGATACGCGGGTATGGGAAACTGCAGGGTCGACTCGAATGGAATTTCCCTGACTGCACGGCAATAGCGCCGCTCAGGGTTCTTGCACGGGGGGAACCGACCCTTAGCAGCAATAAGCTCTGCTGCCCGATCTATACCAGAATCCGCGACAATCCATGCCGTGAAATGGCATCGAATGGGGGCCCCCATAATGGACAACGCTTGCTCCGCGGCCAGATAGGCGGGGATCTCGTTCGAATCCAACAGCCATTGCACCCAGGACTCGGCACCGCCATTGCCTTTGGAGAAGGGAAGCTCTGGCCGGGGTGGTGGAGGACTGAATTGGTTGTAGTACATCGTGTCGTGGTCTCGACGGAAGGGGAATCAGAATGTGAGTTGTAGTGGGTGGTTGCTGACTCTGGTGATGTTGATGTCTCAGATCAGGGTGGCACACACCCCCTTTATATAGACCAAACCGGGCTCTGGAGACCAGGGAGGCCAAGGCATTGTCTCATGATGATGAAAGAGATTTGGATGGGCCATGCATTGTTATGATATGCCTTCGTCGTGAAAATTGCCTATTCAGCACGAAATTCCCTTTCGAGGCACTGAGAACAAAGGGACCCCTTGGATACAGAAAGAGAGTGTGCCAAATGTGCCAAATGTGGCAAGCATCTGTCTCCAAGGACGCTCTTACGGTGTTCTATAAGGACACGTCGAGAAACAAGGCATGGGAGACCATGCTTGCGACATCGTTGCGGAGGATGAGTTGCGATGGGCTGCGAAATAAAAAAGCTCGTGATTCGACTCGAGTGTGTTAAGTGGAACGTCGGCCATATACTCCGCTTTATCGGACTTTTTCCTTTTTCTTTTTTATTACCGTTTGTTCACAAAGCCAGGACCGATCGACGGGGAATTACACGATCTTGCCAGTGCTTTAACGCCGTCTCCCCGCAACAGCCGACAGCAAATCCCACTGCCCAGCTGGGATCGAAATCCGATCTCCAGCCTTCCCCCCTCATCGGCTCCTTGACAACAAGGCTTCCTTGTCAGCGCAACCACTAAGCCCGCGACAGCAAAAGCCTGTTGTCTGCCTGGCTGCATGGAAGTGAAGCCAAGCGAGGAGCTGTTATCCTCCTTTGGCACACGCCGCTATCGCGCCGGAGATATTGCCACGCGGATTTTGGTTCTGGCTAAAATTCGTGCGTCCCAAAATCCTTTTGATACCGTATATAACATCGATTGCAAGAGGAGATAGAGATCCGTCCTGTGCCTATCCGCTCATGCTGACAGTGCGAAGCTAGCTATGTTCCCTAGCCCAGACGACACCACACTAGACCGTCTTCTGTGATGACCCTGGCCACCCTAACCAGTTCGGATCCGATCTCCAAATCTACCTCAATCTGTGAGGTTGCAGTGGCGGGTTCAGAACTTGATGCTCATCATGGTCCGCAGCTAGCCGGCGGAGACCTTGTCTGAAACCTGAGCACTGGTAAGAACTTCTCTGCTGCGCTGACTTGACATGTGAGCTCTGTGGATTACAATAGTCTTGGTTACACAGTCAGCCAAACGATGGATGTCCCTCTGTCTTTGTAGAGTGGGGTACTACCACGGTTGCAATCATGAGGGTTAGAAGTATCTTTCTGTATTGGCAAGTCACCACATGCAGCTGTTCTGATAAGGAATCGCTAGGCAGCAGTGCATGAGCACGAGCTGGAGGTCTCGGAGCAGACGGGTATAGGCCTATGCTAAACTGCTAGTGAGTCAAGTGAGATCGATGATTCCCCGGGGAAGTAAATCCCTGCACATTGTCTGCGTCAGTTCTTTGTTCCCGGTGCTCGGCGGAATGTCTGGTCACGTTCTCGAGGATTAACATAGTCCAAGCGTTGGCGTGCCTATGCGAGATTTTCGTGGGTACGTCAACTCTGGCTCTCACGCGGAGACCAGTGGACTACAGGGACATGAGTGGACTTGGTATAGCGTTGGTGCCGCATTGGTGACGGTTCGCTTCGGCCCAGCTGTACAGACACAGCTGGCCGCATCAGCCAGGAGATGGCCCCGAGTCGAATCAGGTGCCTGACAAGCGGTAGTGATGTGTACTGTTCTTCATATTAGCTCGGCTCATCCACTTCGGTGGAGAATAAGGGCATTTCAGAACAGTACATAGAAGAATTAGTGCGACGTTCGTAGACCGTAGAGAATTCAATTATGGTTTGTTTCTATGTTAGATCCAATCCATACAACATCCATCCGGTGCCCGATGGCTGGGCTGCTGCAATGCGCCCCTTCGAAGACAGAAGTGCCAGTCCAATGTCTGGTGGCTGAATTCGAGGAGGGCTTTCTCCCAGTGACAAGAATGCCAGTCTCCTCGCCACCGACACCATGGTGAGACAACGCCACACTTTATATGGATCAAGAATCATGGGTTTGTATCGCGTTGCGCCTCGCGCCTCGATGCAGTGCGCTCCTCACTCAGGGTGATCATCTCTGTCCGTCTGGAGAACTAGCACCTCCTGGTGCCATAAGAAAGTCTGGCCTGTCCACCATGACAAGACATGTTTTGTAGCCCGGTACAAAGATGATCGCCCCCTCCTGCTCCTCTCTGAAATTGGGATAGGTACGCACTCTGACGGGATTTTTATGTGGTCTGAGACGGACAGTTGGCATAGCACCTACTCCAAGATTGGGCTGTGAAGCAACAAGCGCACGGTGCGCGTCCAAAACAGACCCTAGGGAGGCCAGTCCAGGGGTGGATGCTTGGCGAAAATCTAGGTAGACGGACCTTTGGTCGGGGAGGTGTTCCAAGAAGGCGCTGGTAAATGGCTGGGCCACTCGGATGATATCTGGACCACTGTGGGAGAGCGTGACATGCACGATGTATCGCACATCTAGTTCCGAGCCAGTATGCATACTTGGCAAGATTGTCACAGATCCGTCAATCTCAGTAACAGTGGTGTAGCTGTCAGGTGAGAGGGAAGCTGCTCTTTTATACAAAAGGTCGAGAGTTTCGGCTGAGATGGGCGAATCCGAAGGATAATGCTGGCTTTCGTCTTCTAAGACCATAGTCCCACTGTTTCCTATAGTAGGCCAACATCAGCTGTCAACCCATGTCGCCCATATCATCGCACTTCCTCACATCAACCTCAGTTCACCCAGGATATAGCTCATGTACAAAATATGGGTCATCCGGGACGAGAGAGACGGATGGTGTCTGGAGCAGGCACGTCTGGATTGAGAGCCACCCATTGAACACTTCTTGCGGTCGGCGTTCCCGCGTCGCCGGTGCTCCACCTCAGGATCTAGAGGAATGGTCGTGTAAGCTTGGAAGGCAAATTTGGGCTCAGACATCACTTCATCTTCCTCACCGGGGTTGAGATATCTGACTAGGTAGTTGGTTGCCGGCGTAGTAATCGATTCTCTGGGTGCAGTCCTTCGTATTGCCACGAGGGACGAACCATGTTGTCTTTACTCGTTGGAGAGTCGATGAGGATGTGGATGTAGCGGTCAGAGCCAGAGAATGTCGAATGATCTGAGTGGTGTCAGGGGGGAAGAAGAGAAGTCTGTGGAGGACAGAGATTGTTGATGAGTTTCTTTTGGGCGGGCGAAGTAACACCGAGAATGCAAACAGCACATACAGACAGACACATGTAAACCATTCACTCACACTTAGTATCGTCTTCTACATGGTCAGTGAGGAGATCTCTACACTACGCAAAGGGCCAAAGGAACGGGGGTATAAATGCATCACATACAGATCACGAGGCTAGATAGATGTCCGGTTTGTCCGGTTATTCTCAATCCCAAAGTCATTTCATCCATCCACTAACATGGTTACATCCAAAATACAGAGTCAACATCCACCCTCCTCCCCAATCCTCCTCTCCTACAGCAAGGCAGCCACCGCCGCAGCTGCGACCATAGGGGCCGCGGTGACCATGGCGCCCACTGCCCCGTTGCCGTTCGCCGCACCAGCCGTCTTGGTGGCGGCGGGCTCCGTCAGCGACTTGACTCCGCCGGTGACCACCAGCTCTTGGAAGGTCTTGGTCGTGCCGTAGGTGGAATGGGTGGAGGTGGAAGACGAGTACGATCCGCCGTCGAAACTGCCCGTTACGGCCACGCTCATCGTGCAGCTGGCCGACTCGGTCCACGACTTGAGGGAACATTGGTAGGACTGGGTCACGGTGTAGTCGTAACTGGTGCTCTTGCCAGAGGTTGAGGCGATGTATTCGCCCGACACGCTGACGGTCGCGGGACCTTGAATGATCGTCCACGAGTGCTTGATGTCACAATCGGTCTTGGGGGCGTCCTTGAGACAGCCCACGTGGTAAGTGGTGGCCTTGGCGTTGACGCCGGCGACACTGGCCGCCGTGCTGGTCCATCCACCGTAGCTGGGAAGGGTGACGTCCCAGTCCGGAGCGTAGTAGCCCACCGTGGTGGTCTTGTCATCGGCGCTGGCCGTCAGCACCGACAAGGTGGCGGCGAGGAGGAAAGCGCCGCGCATGATGTCCAAGTGGAACTTTAGAGAGGAGGATGACGAGGGCTGTCGAAGATGAGGGTTGGAGGATCAGCAGAATATCACCGGGGAACAAACCTTTTGAGAACACTCCCGGAGCGCCACCCGCCTTAAGTATGGAGAAAGGAGGGGGCAGAGGGTCGACCAGCCAGGCGATGACAGTCAAATAAGGCAGACTAGGTACCTGCTGGTGCCTTCACCGTCTGCGAATCAGCGCTTGCCAACTTGATGAGCGTAGGCGCCGTGAACCCCGGGCGAGTCAACATTCCGTTAGTTTCGTTTTAGCGGGGGGTTAGCGGGGGGGCTACTGCCTGCATGGGGTCAAGCCCCATCTGACATGCGTTTACAGGACTGTACAATTGGTCCAAAGTCTACTGCAATCTCGGACCTTGGAAGGACAGGACTAACAGGACTGACAGGACTGATAGGAAGTCCGGTTCCTCGGCCCGCTGCAGGAGACACAAGAGCATGTGGAGTAACGTCTGGGAGCGTGACATTTGAGAATGTATTGGCATTTGGCACCACCCTTTACCTTTCGGGGATCAGACTTATTGCTGATAAATGCCTGTCTGACTGATGCATAAACTCTAGCATCCACAATGTTGGTTTATGCTTGTGTTTCAGACCTGAGACAGATTGCTCGCAAGGGTTGTGAGGACGATGCGGGAGGCGAATACTTATATAACGACGTATGGAGAAGTTCGGTCGGAGATGACGGCATACCAGCTGTCTGACTTTGCGTCCGTTCCCCACATTATCAAACGTCGGGTCCTATGCCACAAAAAGCCCATTTAATCCATTGAATTGTCTTAGATCCGTGAGTATGAGCTTGTCGAGTGCGATGTGCACGCGGGTCCTCGGCAGTGGATCAGTCGGCTATAGCCGACAGGAAATGACCCGAACGGCAGCCCAGCCCCCAATCGAGACTAGCCTCAGGGCCCTCAGAACGAGGCTAAACCTGATCAGGGTTCCGAGTCCCGGCACTAAACCCGTCATGGAACAGGATTTGCCAAGCCCAGCAGGGGTAGGTTTGGACCTTTGAGTCCAGTTCCACGCCGCCGGCGCCTGGACCAGACCCATGCCCCCCGGCCCCCTTCTTGTTGGTGAAACTTTTGCCACTGTTTCTTTTCTTCTTTTTCTTTTTGAACAGATGCAATATCTCTCTCTGCTCACAGCATTGCTTGGTTTTGGTTGATACCTCTCACACAACACACAAGATGAATGCCAAATGGCTTCTAGGGCTGGCTGCCGCCGCCCGCCTGGTCTCCGCGCAAACCACTGTCACCTCCATGTTCATCTACGATGCCGATCCCCAACCCTTGGTGGCATCTGTCATGGGCGTTGTATGTGCTTTTCATTTTATCTGAAGGACTGACTTGGAGCATCCATCAACTAACCTGGTGACAGGCCGCAACGGCAACCACCTACTACATCAATTGTCCTCCTGGAACGGACAGCTCCGACTGCGGCATGGGGCCCGGGTTGACCGTGATCGCAGGCCCGCAAACCACCTCCTATCTGATGGAGGAGCCTGACGAGGACTTCTATTGGTCGGTAGTGTGTTCTCTGCAAGGAACCACGACGGGTTCGTGCATTGAAATGGCCTCAGGTACCGGCGCCAACTTCCCTGGAACCAGCACCATCCCTCTCGACACCGACGACATTGCCAGTGGCTTGATGCCGGTGACTATCACCGCGGGGGCGGGCAGCATCACTGCCTCTGACACTGCCTCAGCCACAGCTTCGCCCACTGGTGCCACTACCGCTACCGCTACCGCTACCGGAGCATCGGCCAGCCACAAGTCTGCGACTGCTGATGCTAGCAGCACCACTGCGACCTCCGCTGCATCTGCTGCCTCAAGCACTACCAGCACCGGAGCCGGTGCTGTTGTTTCGAACGATGCCACTGTGATCTTTGGCGGTGCTGCTGTAGCGGCTCTGGTGGCGGCTGTTCTGTAAACAGGGCTGTATTATATCATTACTGTATATTACTACATCTATATATTCATTTATAAATTGGTTCGTTCAACATCATGAGAACCCTACTCCTTCTTTCGCTTCGGGCTGGGCGCTTTATCTTTAACCTCATCGGAAGTAGCCCCGTCTTCTCCGTCAACCACCCCATCACCACCAGACCGCTTGCGAGTGTGGTCCGTTAGACTCTTCACCTCTTGACCTGTCGTCTCATCCACCACCTTCCCAGCCTCATCGTGGAAGTCAAACAGCTCTTTCCACGACCCATCCATGACCTTCGGATCATTCCCGTAGAGGTTCATCTCGTATGCATGCTTGATCTGAGCAATGCAGAAGTCCCTGCGCTCGTTGAAATCGAACATCGGCTTTGGGTAGGTCGGCAGCCCGCTTGCCTCATCTCGATCGCTCGACCCGTCGCCAGTGACTCGGCATTTCCATTTCTTCTGGTCGGCAATGGGCGCCCGCCACGGCTCGTAGATGTACTTCTTGTCGAACTGCGCCAGCTCGGGACAGTAGCGCCGCACAAACCGCCCTTCCGGGTCCCATTTCTTGCCGAAGGCGATCGGGGAGTAGCAGCGGTAGTACTGCGAGAAGAACGCGGTGCAGGAGAGCCACATCCAGTTCCCGACGTTGGAGGCGGTTTCGTCTACGGTTCATTAGTGAATCTTCCAGGTTCTGCAGGCATGCGCAAGGGAGAAAACTCACGATCCACCAGCCATTCCTCGAAGACCTCCACGCCGCGTTCCCAGCTCACGTAGCAGCCGCCGCGGGTCAAGAAGCACGCGACACTGTGTCGTCCGAGATGGTGGATCCAGCCTTCCTGCTTCAGCTGCCGCATCAGTGCATCGATCCAGGGGAATCCGGTGCGCCCGTGCTTCCACCGTCGGAAATAGGTTTCTGCCTGGGGATCGTTGATCGTGTATGTTCCATCCAGCAGATGCTCGCCTCGCGGGACTTGGGAGTAGTTGGATTGCAGGTGCCAGGGGACGAAGCGGGCAATCTTGTTGCCCTGGGTCTGCGCATAAGCATACCCCAGAGCCGCCTGAGCTGCGAAATACATGTCCCGGAAGAGGAGCTGGCCCGGCAGGTTAGTCGGGATATGTGCGACCGGCTTTTTCTCGCTCTTTCTCTTCTGGAGCACGGCGTCGACATCCCACCAGAACTTTCGGACGGACAAGGTTCCGAAATGAAGATGGGGCGACAGCAATGTGGTAGCCTGAGGTTCGAATGCAGCGGGGGAAGTCTTAGGCTTTTCGAATGTACTGACGTAGTCTTCATCCTCAATACAGTCGCTGAGGATTCGAAGAGCCACCGATTCGCCCCCGCGATGCGGCGTCGTCGCCTGCGACGGGTCAATGCCTAATTCCTCGAGCGTGGGCACCGCGAAGTCCCCCTTCGGACCCATGATATTATGGTACTGTGTCTCCGTCTTCTTGGTCCGGTGCTCCGAGTTCACATCCAGCTCTGTCTCAGGAATGTCCTGGTTCAATTGACTCAGGTTCATGCGACTCTCCTCCCACGGATCCGGAACGCTGGTCGGGGCCTCCAGCGGCTGGTCTGGAATGCCGCCATTGAGCTTCTCAGCCGCCTTCTCCAATTGGGTGATGCTCATCGTGGGCTTGCGGTCGTTGACGCGCACGATCTCATCCGAGTCGAACAGTGTTCTCCCACTCCTGATCACCACCGTCACGCCCGCCTTCTCCGCCAGCTGCACCACTTGATTATCTCGATCCCGGGCGTAGGCATCGGTGTCCTTCTCGAAGACCAGATGTGTCACACCCCAGGTCTGCCACAGCTTCGGGAGCACGGTCTGAGGCGCCTCGCGCACGAGCCAGAGTCTCTGCTTCGGGTTCAGTTTTGTGTAGGCGGCGGAGAGATCTTGCTGGCTCTCGAGCAGGAATCGCCAGCGGTTGGGGCCGACGCGGGCGCGATAGACGTAGTGCGGGTCCCAGGTCCAGACGGGGATGAAGATGGATGGCTTGAGTTCCAATGCGGCGGTAAGTGCTGGAGCGTCGTGGAGACGAAGGTCGGTTCGATGCCAGAGGAGCACGACGGGCCCGCCGCTGGGTTTCTTGAGCTTGGGAGGCATGCTGCTCGACGATGGTGCGCACGAGGACGCGAAATTCGAATGGACGAGCGCTGCGCTCGTTGAGTCCAGCGACAGCAGCGAGATTGGTGTGTGAGAGAGAGAGAGCAAGAGAGAGAGAGATGAATCTCCTGCTGGTCTGGACTCCGCCGATCGGAATGCGACCGATCGGATGATGTCACGCGGTCCACCCTTGTCGGCGGATCGCTCGTTTGTTTGGTTTGGTTTGCTGTTTGATGAGTTTGGTGTGTTTGGTGTGTCTGTGGCCTCTGAGTTATTCTGCCGTCGCACACCGACAGTTGCTCGCCCACATTCCTCTTATCTTATCGGCCCAGCTTGCATCCAGCTGCGACATGGTCAGTTATTGCACAAATTGGAAATCACAGACTGGGGGGTCTCTGCTTACAACTACTGACTTTCCACTCTGTGACTCATATCAGTCATGGTTCCCCAGACACTTCCCATGAAGCACGTGGTGCGTCAGTCGTCCATGCGGAATATATACAAACGATGGGTGGGCAGGACGGGAGCTGACAATAGCACTGAGCTTACACTCTTCGTATAGTTTACCTTACTCAGTTTGTTGTCAATATCGGTTTGCGTCGTTCACATCAGCGTCTGGGTTCAAGGTACCTTGGCCTGTTCCACAGCTCTCTTGGCTGTCCGTTGGAAGTATCATCCGTCCGATCCCTACCAAAGGGTTATTCCGGTTGCCGGTCTGACAGCCTGGCAATGTAACGCAGGGTTTAGTCTTCTTGAAAAGATGGCTTGCCATCTTGCACCTGTGACGAGTTGAACTTCCCTCCTCAAATGATTCGCAAGAGTAGCCGCGTTAACACCACTCGTTCTCTCGGAGTGTCAACATGGCCCCACTGCGTATAATAGCCATGAGATCCGGACATATACGCAACGACTGAATGATCCTAGCCGCCTGAGTGCTCCCATCTTCTCTTCTCTGCTGGAACCGCTCATCTCTTCCCGTGCTCGCATCTATTCCATATCCGCGTCCTTTTCAATGCCTTTGTACTTGATCACCGGAGCATCTCGGGGCCTGGGTGTGAGTACAGTATCTAACCTCATATCAGCGATGCTGAAACGTGTCTAACAGTGGGGTTTCCTCCGCCAGATATCAAGCGATCCGGAAAATACAATCATTGGACTCGTTCGCGACAAATCCGCACCCGAGAAGAAGGTTACGGAGGAGCTGGAATCCTGCCCAAACATCCACATCTTGCAGGTGGACATAACCGCCTACGAAGGGCTACAGGTGGATATTTTCAATTCCAAGGATGGAGGTCTATTATGTGGCTGTTGATACCAAGGCAGCATCAGCTCAGACCGCGATCATCACCGGTGGAGGTCTCGACTACCTTATCGCGAATGCAGGCTTCGTGTCGAAGTTCGATGCATATGATGTAATCGGTGTTCTGTAGGTAGATTCCAATGCCCCTGCATCACTGCAAACAACTGACATATCTTTTTCTCATTAGTGACGAGCAACCCGCAGCGCTGGAAGGAGACCTCACGCTCTGCTTTCGAGTCAACGCCCTGGGCAATATCCATCTGTTCAACGTCTTCCTGCCCTCGATTTTTCAGGGCGAGGCCAAGAAAGTCATCGCTCTCTCCACCGGTTTGGCTCATCTGAGCCTTATTCCGAAGTATAATGTTGAGGTCGCGTCGCTGTATGCCATCAGCAAGGCGGGGTTGAACACTGCGGTGTCCAAGTTCAGCGCGCAGTATGCCAAACAGGGGGTGTGTTCATGAGCATTTGTCCCGGCATGGTAGAAACGGGTCGTTTTACAGATGGTACGTCACCTGCGGCCGTTGCATTGTCGTACTATACAGTGCCTCTAATTCTACCTAGCAACTCCTGAGCAAATGCGAGGCTTGGCAGGCATGCTCACGGCTTTTCGCGAGTATGCCCCTCACTTCCGCGGCTCCAGTACCCCCGAAGCAGCCGTGAGAGATGTGCTCTCGGTGATGCACAGAGTCAGTTTTCAGAACGGAGATGGCGGCACTTTCATCTCGCATTATAGGACTCAGCAGTTTCTCTAACAAGTCTCAGACAATATTTCTTATACATGCTCCGCCACATTACTATATTCATAGACCCAAAGACAACAAATCCACAAGAACTCCAGTTAGTCCCACCGCAAATCAAATATATTATTATCAATCACACACTGCATATCTCACAGCACAATCAAGTTCCCTTAAACCACAGCCTCTCTTCATAAACCCTTCTTCCCCTGATGATACTCAGGGTACGAAACCTGATACCCAAGCACCCACCTGCCCCACGCCGCCACCACAACCGTGAAAAGCCGACTCACAACCACCCCCAACCCATGCCACGGCATCGGCAACGCGAGCGGGATATCCGCCGCATGCAGGAACACCATCAGCTGGAACAGACTCGGCGCCTGCTGGGCGATCTTGCAGTCGTCTAAGTACCCGAAGAAATTGCGGAAAAAGCGCTCCTCGACTTCGTAGTCCACGGGCGAGAGTCTGACGTCAAAGATCAGCTCTTCGGTGGCGGAAGCGTTCTGCAGGCGGTGGTATGTCTTGGGCGGAATTGTCGCGGTGGGTTGGTGCTTTGCGTCCTCAGTGGTGGTGGCTGTCAACTGTTTCCAGGGTTTCGGATCCATGCCTTTGTACAGATTCATGCTGCCCATGACAATGCGGAAGGTCTCGGTTTGGTGGATATGGTAGTGATAAGGGGGCTCCATGATTGAAATGTCGCTGTCGCTGTTGCGGGGTGGCAGGGTTGTGCGGAACACGTAGTCGTCGTGCGAAGCGTAGAAGGAAACGGAGGAGCGGCCGTTTTCATACACGATGGGGTTCTGGGAGGCCCGGTTGATCCGGGGAGGTGGAGCGCGCAGGAAGGACAACATAGTGGATAGCTTGTTGGGAGGGTGTGGCGGTGATAATCTACACTGAGACGGGAAGACGGGTTGTAAGCCTGCATATATACCTCTAGACGAACGTGATGGCGGCTTATTCGGGCCCGATTATGGTTTGTTATGAGAGAAAGGAGGCTCTTTCATGGTTTCATGAGAGAGCTCACAAGAGGTCCTGGTGGATCATCGCCCTCGTATCCTGCACCACCGGGCCAATGATATGCTGGCGAGGTTCGTGATCAGTAATCATCAGACCCCCTTGACCGCTGCTTCGCATTCAGCTTGACACGTGAAGTCTCGAGCCAGAACATGGTAGGGCTGGAGAAGGCGGATTGAACACCGGACTTGGAAGTAGGGCTGGGCAACTCGGAACTGGGGACCGTGGCATTCCGGTCTTGTTGCCGCCTTGGACATCAGGCACCAACCACGATTCTCTACCTCGAGACCTTCTAGACCTTCATCACACAGAGTGGCAGAGGTACAAAATTGATCAGAGTCGGAATGTTTGTAACGCAAATGATCAACATTCTAGAGGTCAATGGCATTGGTGTCTTGTGTCTTGACAATGAACCAGTCTACCAGCATACGACATCCACTTGGTACAACCACTCAAATTACTTGGAGGCGCAAAAGTACGATCGCCAATCCCAACCACAGTACCTCGCATGTACCACAATCCCCGCGATTACTTAAACCAAGCACGGAAATAGGTATGCATCAGCTCACCCACGCTGGGCATCGCCAGCAACTCAGGAAACTCCTCCGGCGCTTGTCGAAGCTTCCGCGTGTCGAAGTACGCAGCCGTGCCGGCGTTGAGCCTCCAGAATTCAATATACTCGTGCAATGTATTGATCAACATCGACGAACCCTGCCTCAGTCACGGATCTGCACCTTGTCGGGATTCGGCGATCTATTCGGCCGCCGGTAAGCGGCGGAGTGGCGAGGAGCATTCACGGGTCAGCAGCTCAAAGGTCTCTTCAAACGTCACTGTTTGACTCTAGTCTGGCCGCACAATGTTGATCGCATGCCCTAGCGTGGCAGAGCACAGAGACAAGCGTAGAATGGCAGAGCAACAGAAACCGACGGGGGTAAATTGGTTGCGGAGACTGGGAGCGGCCGGATAGCTGCCAATACGGATACAGCTGCTCATGAGATAATTCACCAAGTCAGACGCTTTGGAGTTGCCGGTCACACTATGCCCGGTTACATAGCCGGGGCGGTGGATTGTGACTGGAAAGCCGTTGGCAATCGCGTTCCACGCCACCTGTTCTGCCACGGCCTTGCTCCGTGTATAGCCGAAGTGCTCTTTGAGAGCGTCCATGTTGCAGGGTGGCCGCTCATCTTCGGGGACCATCTCGCCCGCGAGGTGAATGACCGTACCCCACGCACTAATCGAGGAGGTATAGTGAAATGACTTCAGATGACCAGTATTGGCAAAGCGAAGCATATGGTACAGGCCCATGACATTGACGTCACGGTGGTATGAATAAGGCAGAGTCCAATCAACCACCGCGGCCAAATGAAAGACCACACTCGCCCATTCAGCAAGCTCAGCATACTGCTTCGCTCCGAGACCTAGCATGGGATCGACGAGATCTCCGGAAATTGTCTTCAAGTTGTACTCACAATTGAGCTGGAGACCATACTCATGAGAAGCCTTCTTGATTCGCGAGAGACCTGTTTTTGCATCGGGAGCTCTGACAAGACACGTCACCTGCTGTACATGCGGTAGACCAGCCAGCAGGGAGAGGAGGTGGGCCCCGAGGAAACCAGTTGCGCCTAAAAACAAAACACGGCCTTCGCCAGGGGTATGCCATTCTGGTGCCGTCTCCGCTATTGGGTGAAGGTCTCGCCCCAATTCCCAATCTCGTTTCTATAATTCAATATCGTCTACCTCGACATGATTGGCATCAAGCAAGGCAGTTGCATCACCGGGCTTCAAGTCCTCGGATGCATACTTGGCGCGGAGAATTCTCATCGTTGCCTTGCCGAGTCCCCCAAAGGTTCCTGCATTTGCGATCTCAAGGAGGGAGATTTCGATTTTGATATGACGGCGGAACCAGCTTCGAATCTCGATCGCCATGAGTGAGTCTATGGCGATAGCAGCCAATTCCTCCAGCTTCATGTCCTCTGGGTAAGACATGTGGGTCGCAATCATCTTGCCCAGCTCAAAAGTGAATTGATTCTCAGTCTCTGGATCGTTGAGGATGGATGGTTTTTTGTCAATCTCGGCGAGGAAGTAACGGAGCTTGTCTTCCTGTTCACCTAAGTCGGGCCCATCGGTATTTGAGAGATCACTCCAGGCTGCAAAACGAATGTCTCTGGCCCACCAAGGTTTTGCGTTACCTTCCGTAGAGTCCCACTCGTAATTATCCGGATGGCAATATGGGGGAGGCGTTGCACATCCATCGCCCTGGGAACGCACCTCTGTATCGAGCTCATAACATGTTCCGGAGAGTACCATCCAAAGCGCGGAACGTGTATCAATCCATCATGCACCGTGAACTCATGGTCAAACTCAAATTGAGAATCTTCTACCTGAGCTTTTATTGTGTCGAGGATGCCGAGAACACTCCGGATGGCATCGTTGTCGAATTAATCGAGCTCAATCGTCGCGGCCTTGATACCAATGTCCTGGCGAAGGACTCTCATCAATCCAGATACCAGAGCGTATCGCGGATCAGGCTTCAGGCCATACAGCGGATGAATTGGTCTGGTTAGCCATATTAGGTGTCCTCGAAGGGAGACGACTGACGTCTGGAAACTTTCGTAATTCTCGCGAGTGATGGTGTGCAAAAATGGGCTCTCTATATCCAACATGGAGATGACGTCAGTGTTCTCTGCTGGAGCGGTGCCTAGAGCGAGCCATCGCACATCCCAGCCATGTAGAAGAAGTTAAGACTCAAGTTGACGAGCCCATTTTGGGATGGGGCCATGATAAAGAAGATTTAGTACTCCCCTCTCACTTGCCCGTGATGATGAGGCTTTGACAGCATATTTGCGTTAATATGATAGGGGGCCTCGTTATCCAAGCGCACCACATCAGTACCGGTAAAGCCTGCTTCCAGCAGGGCATGATCCCATTGCTCAGGGCTAAGGTAGGACCGTTCGCGCCCATCATTTGCAAGCCACCAACTTGATAGAGCGCCCATGATGTAATCAAATATAGGCACATCGTGACTCAACTCCTGTAGCAACAAGCGTCCCTCGGGTATCAGAAGTTGCCTGACATTCTTCAGAGACTCGACAATATTGGGAGTTGCGTGCAGCACTACTTGACGGACTGATTCACCCGCCATAGCGGCATATGCTGCACAAGGAAACACAACTTCTCCGGTGATTCTATGATCTAGGAGCCAGAGAATGTTATCTAGCTGTAGCAGGTTTCTCCAGGCCGGCTCTAGATCAGTGGATTCGAGGCATCGCGACCCCAGCAGTTCATGATGCCGTGTTTCGCGTAACCGCCAGTCGTGCGCCATCCGAGTCTCGCTCCATAAGCGCTCATCATGCGTCCAATGGTACGGTGGGAGGTCCGTTAGGACTGTAGCCCGAGGAATGACTTCAGTCAAATTGATGGGCACACCACGGATGTGCAGATGACCGGCTGTCATCAGGAGGCATTCCCAGGGCTCTTTGCCTCTTACTAAGGTGGGGTATATTCTGGTCTCTGTTTCTCATCCACTTGGGATACAATGTGGCGCAAAGGCGCCTCGAGCACGGAGTGCAGGCCAATTTCGACGAAAGAATGAGATCCTGGGTGGGCACCTAGCAAGTGTTGGACCGCCGTCCTGAAAAGAACCGGAGACTCTAAGTTCTTTCGCCAGTAGACAGCCGTGAATTGATCGGGTTCCATAATTGTTTCGCCGGTGACGGTCGACTAGAAAGGAACCATGGTGATGTTGAACCCCATATTACTCAATCGTCGCTCATAGGCTTCGCCAACCGATTTCATATGATGGGAGTGATATGCAACGTGGACGGCCAGACGACGGCAAAAGACCATGTCACATGCGATGGCCACCCCTTCTTGAGAAACAATTCTGCCTCCTCGGCACCCAGGCCGACCGCGGCCATAGTACCTGAAGAATTTGCCGTTATCACAGCTTGCCCATGGCGGTATGCAATTGTCATCGCCGTTTCTGCTAAAATTTGCCCCATATGCATATGCAGCAGCTATCTCCCCGCTTGAATGGCCCGCGACCATCGATGGAATAACTTCCCACTCTCGAAGCAGGTTGACAAAACCAACCTGAACTGCTGTACAAAGCGGCTGGGCCTGTCTTGATGCACTCAATCGGTCGAAAGTGCTTTAACTGAGACGTTTGTCTAATGAATGTGAGCTTCATCTGGTCCAGAAAGACGGTTATAGTATACCTTCGATAGACCACTCGGGTGCATCTTGAAGGTGCTGCAAGTGCTGATCGAGGGCACGTATGTCTGCTTGGAACCGGGGTGATCCCCGCAGAAGCTCTCTACCATTCCAGGCCACTGGGCCCCTTGAACGCTGAAGCTGAACACAACCTCCCGACTGGCGAACTCGAGACCGAGCGACTGTGGTCAGAGCTCCATCCGCACCGACTATCGAAAAGGCCCAATGGGGTAGCTGCTTTCTGTGGAACCTCAAAGTGTAAGCCATCTTACCACTTACCGCCGGGTGAGCTTCCAAGTATTCACTGGCATTTCGGATGTTTCCATCCAGTGATTTGGGACTCTTGGCGGAGTATAATAATAGGTGAGCCATTCCGCTTCTCAGGCTCGCATTCGTCTCGATCTCGCTTCGTTCGCCACAGATCGAGGCGGCAGAGTCGATAACAACCTTTCCCAAGTTACAGTAAGCACACTGGAGCATCATCAGATGCTCCAAGGGACTTACATGCGCATTTGTGCCTCCAATACCAAAGGAGTTCATACTAACTCTTTCATGGCGGTCGCTTGGCCATTGGCTTCGACCGGCACCATTAATTTAGCCTGTTCAAAGGGAACTGTTCCTAGTTAAGTCAGAGAAAATGTGGGAGGTTGTGACTGTCCAGACTCACTTTTCGAATTGGGCTTATCGAAGAACACATTCGGGGATATAGTCCTTTTCTCTAAAGCGAGGGCACATTTGATGATACTCGTAATGCCAGAGGCCCCTTCCGAGTGGCCAACGTCGGGCTTGACCTAAATGCCTCATTATATCAGCGCTGCCACTCGAATCCTCACAGGAATCAGACCAGCCAGCCCACTTACCGCGTCTATATAAGTGCCGTCTTTGCCGAAGATCTCGGCAACCACTGAAGTCTCCGCCACGTCTCCCACTGCAGTGCCTGTGCCGTGACATTCAAAAAAGGCGGTCCGGTCGATATCCTCAATCCCAAATGATACGTTTTGCGGATCAGCCGTTCTTGTGCCTGGGATCTGGGTGTAGATATGCTAGGAGTCTTTCCATCGCAGTTGGCGGACGTTGATCGGATCACCGCACGGATGGGATCGCTGTCCCGCAGGCCGCATCGAGACGCTTGATGGAAATGGCATTGATAGCCTCTCCTCGGCCGTAACCGTCCGCGTTCTCGTCGAGGGTTCTGCACGTTCCACTGGGAGACAGCGCCATGTTGACGGAGGTCGTGATTGACATTGTGGGTGTCATGATTAGGCTAGTCCCTGCGACTATGGCGGAGAGACATTCCACAGAATAGAGTGCCTGTCACGCTTCATGAAGGGCGACTATGGAAGATGAACAGCCCGTCCGAAAGACAACGCTGGGACCCCTCAGGTCATATTGGTAGGAGACATTGTTGGCAAGCGCGTAGTCCCCCGTTTCCATCACGCGGTAACGGTCAATGGCCAGAGTGTCTTTGCTGGCTAAGTCTAGCCAGTCTTCACCAAAATTGCCCACATAGCAGCCAATATTTGCTCCTTGCTAATCGGTCTGACCCGCGTTCTCCATAAACTCCCACATCACCTCCAGTAGCAATATCTGCTGGGAATCCAATTTGGAGGCCTCTACCTTGGACATGACGAAGAAACCGGTGTCCATGTGAGCGATATCTTATTGTAAGAAGTGCCCGTGTCCGGTTCGAATAGTCCCGGGAACCCCGTCACAATGGTAAAAGGCGTCGATATTGTACCGATCCCCGGGTACCCGGCAAAGGCCATCTCTTTTGTTTATCAACAGTTCCCAGAAGTCACTTGCGTTGGTCACTCCTCCCGGTAGCCTCATCGCCATCCCTACGATTGCGATAGGGACCGGGGCAGGGAAACAGCTGTCGTCAACATTTTCGACTGGGCGTGTCGCACCCATTGTCTCAGTAGCTGTGAGCAGTTGTGCTACCGCTGGTGAGGCAGAAAGCCCAGCTGAGCGCTCGAGGAAGGTGAGATATCATCCAAGGAGGATTGGGCACATTTTTGCTTGGCAGGATATTTGAGAGAATCGTGAGGATTGTAGAAGAGCTAGGAGAGAGAATAGCCCGTGCATCAGCCATTCGCCCCCCGCCCCCCCTCCGGAAAGATCAACCTGGCTTGGGGGTTCTCACATGTCGATGATGTCCCTGGTTCAGTCGGTGATACGATAAATTCGGCAGGTGATGGTGCTGCGGGTTGTCAAGCTCCACCGTGGTGAGCATGGGGAAAGGGCTTCTTTCGTGCATCATAGTCGATCCTCTCCCTGTTAGCGAGGATCAGCAAAGAGTCACATAGTATGAGACGACGATGGTGGCGGACTCAGGCTCGAGGTTTTTCCTGTTGATAGAAGGTGAGGTTGAGCTTGTCGAAGTTGTCGAAGATGTAGGTAGACATTGCATTGTAGAAGACAGGAGATGCTAAGCCTATCGAGGGATAGTCCCGGGTCTGACCCCGCTAGTCTCAATCCAGTCATACATAGTACGCAGTCGTGAGTAATAGAGTAACTAAGGCTGTACAATAGTAGATACAAGATCCCTTGGAAGTTACCAACGTATCAAGTATATTAAGTACCTAGTATTAACTATGTCCGTAGGGATCACTTAGGCGAATTCTTCGTCAGTGGCCAAAGCAACGCCCCAGCCAACCCCTTGGCCCAGCCAATCCATCCCCGAGCGGCCACGACTGTTTTCACAGCCTTCAACATCCGGTCGGTGAAGACGTCCGTGGTCTCCACATCGTGCAATTGGCACTCCCAGACTCCCTTCTTGAAATCCTCACCGGCATCGATCGTATACTGCACAACCTCTTCGACAGAATCTCGGGTCAAGTATGCACGGTCGGGAAGGTCCAGCTTCAACCGGGGGCCAGTGACCAGGGAGCGCCCGCTGCATTGCTGGTTGGCCATGAGATAGGTGGCCGCCTCGACCACATCTTCCGGCTGCCCGATAGGGACCCCAGCTAATATCACGCGACCTGGCCCATTCAACATGCCGATGTCGGTGAAATAGGGGCAGATAATGTTGACGCGAATCCCGCCCGACACTGGGGCGGTGACGCGCAGGCAGCGGAACAGGCCCAAAACCGCATGTTTCGTGATCGTGTAGGGCGCCTGGGTGATGAAAGGGTGCAAGCTCGCCGTGGAGCCCATTAGAAGGATATGGCGATCTCTCGGAGCTGTCTGCCCGGTTTCGGAGCAAGGTAGCGACTCGGGATTCCTAGGGAGATACCACTGGGCCAGGTGAACCGTATACAGAACCCCCGTCAGATTGATGTCGACCGTCTTCATGCTGGGCGCTGGGGGGTTGGGGTCATTCGCGTAATCCACGGTGGGAGATTCGAGCCGTCTCGCCTCGTCCCGGTCGTTGACGCCAGCATTGGCCACGACGGCATCAATCCCCCCGTGCGGGCTGAGCTGCACCGCTTGTCGGAAGAAGTTGACTTGCGAAGCCCATGACGTTACGTCGAGATGAACGAAGTGCACGTTCTCATTGGAGGAGTCGGAGCGAATCTGCGCAACGACCGTCTCTCCGGCGGGATTGATGTCCCCAACAATGACCTGGGCGCCAGCTGCAGCCCAGCGAGTGGCAAAGGCGGCCCCAAACCCCGAGGCTCCGCCCGTGACGAGGATCGTCTTGCCCTGGAGATTGGAAATGGTGTAGTCCAGGTTCAACATGGTGGTTTATGCTGGTGAAAGCAACCCAGATTAGACGGCGGGAGGGCGAGGTTGCACAGAAGCTTTTTATAGCGGAAATAAGGTGCGAGCATCACGAATTATTTTTATTGTTTCAATCGTTTGCGATTTGACGATTTTCAGCTGGGACGGTGTTAGAACTCTCTCTCACATAGGCCCGCTCGTATCGACTAGGGTGAGGCTGACTGCATCACGGTCGGCCCGGCATTAGAGTCATCATCCTTTCGCTGTGATAGGTGAGACTCATCGGCTAATGTGGCTCCTTGTGAGCATCAAGGATGTAAGGATGTCTCTTGCTGCTCCACTTAGTGTAGTGTACGACTAAGTGTACGAGTGGCGTTGGAATTCGTGGTCAGGTCAGCTGTGGTGGGGAGGAGTTTTGTTGGAGTGGAGTAACGTAACTGGCAGTAACTGGCAGTACAACTTGGTACAACTTGGGAACTGCGGCCAAACTGGCCGAGTGCGACCGTAGTCATGTGATGGTCTTTCCGCCGGCAGCAGCCAGGCAGTCAGGCAGGAATTAACTCTTGAGGCATCAAGAACACAACCATCATCTACTCATCTGGCGATTACTCCACAGCACGTACCGTACATGATACTCCTTGCGGTGTCTCGGTGAGCAACCCGAGAATTTCACCTCTGGTCCTTCTGTTGTAGCACAAGTCATTTGAATTCGTTCCCTGGTACTGCGGACGGCCGCGGTGCGGTGACATCTAATAGTCTTCGCTGCACAAGACAGCGGTTGGAGGTTGTACACAGTAAGTAATCTGACTGAGGTTAATTTGTGGAGTCGGACGCAGTAGTACCCCTCTCTGTAACGGGTCTTTCTGCGGTTATTGTACTGTGTCCTGCTCGTATCTCTTTCGTTCTTTCTTTCTTTCTGTCTGTCTTTCCTGTTTCTGGGAGAGAACCGAACGAAACGTTAGCAGGGAGGATGGGATATGCCTCTTGCTCTTCTGGTGCATCAGAGCTATGAGCATCGGTTTCGGGATCTGCGGTGGCTTTCGTGCTGCTTGAAGATGAACCAGGGACGTTGATCTTCGCAGGAAGCTCGTATTCAGGTGTTCCAGGAACAAAGGATTCGTCCTCTTCTTTAGCGATGTCAGTTTTGACAGTGGATTCAGCTTCCGGGGTACCAGGAACCTGAAGAACCGCGGCATTATCTGAGTCCGGAGCGGGAGGGCTTGCCACGGCCCTCGAGTGCGTTGGCACCTCGTCCTCAGTCACAGGCGTGCTGGGGTCACTGGTCGCTGCAAAACTACTCGCAGCCGAAGGACTGGCGATTGTGGGATGGAAACTATCGCCACAGGTGGCTGCCATAGATCCCCCAGCGAAAGCACTGTAATCCGGAATATCACCATCGTAGATGTCGCGAACCAATTGCTCCGGTCACTGAGGGATGGGCAAAGATGCGAGGATGCCTGCTTTGTCCAAAGCCTGCGCCATGCGCTGCACACAGACGTCAAAATCCTTGAAAGGCTCCCAAGCGTGCACCGCGCGCCAGACTCCATTCAAGTGATGGTTCAGAGACTTATAGCCGATGACCCCCGGTTTGAGCTTCCTTGAAATCAGATGGTCCAGGACGCGCGTGCCCATAAACCAGTGATAGCTTTCTTCCGGCCCCAAACACCAGCACCGCGCCCATTGCACTAGGTGCATCTGGATCGTCGTCGTCAGGGATTACACGGGACCCGAAGACTTTGGAGCATGTGTGCAGGTACAGATCCAAATGCGGCTCTTCGCCGGTGGATAACTGCACGATTTCAGTTCCCACATCATGAAGGCCACCCGATCGGCCGCACATCTGGTCCAAGCCGCGACTGAAGCTCTCCTCGTAAAGAAGCTGGACTGCGCGGACCATAGAGGCGTTCTCGACGACGAACTCGATGTAGTGTGGCACACTCAGCTGGGTATCCTCCACCCCGTACAGCCGAAGTATGGATCCAGTCCACACGATGTGCTTGACTCCAGCCTCGTCGAAGATCTGGGCGATCTTCTCGATTTGAGTGATTGCAGGGAGTTTCTCATAGGGGAAAACCATGTTGTCTTGCGTTCTTCCGTTTGTGTGTAAGCAGACGATAAGGTGGGTTGCAAAGAGGGTAGTCGCCACAAGGTGTGTTCGCACGAATCTTTATACACACCATGATGTGACTTTCGACGCTGGTGGGACTGAGTGCAGTCTTCAGTCCCACTACTCGTCCATCGGAAACATTCCATCGAATGGACGGTGAGTATCCCTAGAGAGGCCATAGCAGAAGGAGGATATCAACTCATTACAGCTTGAGGGTATAACACGGTAAGATCGTGATAAACCTCTTATAGTATTTCCGGGAACTGTCCTTTTCCTATGATTTTTTTATTTTCTCCAGAGAATTCAGCTCAAGGAACAGAAACCACCCATTATGACCTATACTGTGACGGGTTTCGACGGGGTAAGCCAGATAGTACCTTTCTACGCTGCAATTATCATATTGGTATCACCCGATATGCTCAGCACGTAAAGTGGTATATGGCACCCCCGCGACCTATGCAATTGCTTCAATCTCATCGGGGTAGTGCAATCCATTCTGCTCACGAACTTGGTCAAACACCCTCATCATCAATAGCGTCTCTGCCAAGGGCATAACGGGCGAATCGCGCTCGCCAGCCTGCACGCGCCGGGCACACTCATCTGCCTCCCAGAACAGTCCATGGCCCACCGGGATCGGAAATGCGGTTTTAGAGGCGTTTTCCGCGGTCCCATAGACCACCACTCTGATACTATCCGGACGCGCTGCGGGTCCAAATACTTGGATCTGTCCTCTTGTCCCAAGAATGCGGACACCTGGTTCCTTCGGATCTGCAGTGGCTCGGAGACTAGCCGTCGCAACACCCTGTGTCCTGGTTTCAGGGGAAGTGAGGACGACCGTCACAGTCTCGTCTACCGCTGTTTCTGTGTACTTGATTACGGAGCCAGCCGTTTGCAGGGGAACGGAAACAAGAGGCTGGTCGGGACTCAGGAAGAGGAAGACCCAGGTCAGTGGGTAGACGGCCACTGAGAAAAGTTATCCTGTCAGCATACAGACCGAGATTCGGCCGGGGCCGAGAACGCTTACAGTCCAGCAGCGCGCCGCCAGCCAAGGCGGGGTTGACCAGGCGATGCTCGGTGCCATACAGTTCCTCCACGTTGCGACCTAGGTTCCGATCTGCCACGATCCGCTGCACCGTCCCGATGGTTCCCTCTCGAACGAGACGTTGTACGTGCTGGGTTAGAGGGAAGAAACGGGTCCAAAGAGCTTCCATGAGGAAGAGATCCCGTTTCCTGGCCAGATCCACGAGCACTTGAGCTTGCTCGGCATTCACTGTGAAAGCCTTTTCCACAAGGACGTGTTTGTTGGCGAGCAAGGCCAGACGCGTGTGGGCAAAATGATGTGAGTGAGGAGAAGCGACGTAGACAATTTCAACGGTGGGATCGGCGACGAGAGCCTCGTAAGAACCGTAGGCACGAGCTGTGGGCGGAGCGTTGGTAGTGGAGAGGAGATTCTGAGCTTTTTCTATCGCGCTGGACGAAGCGACCGCGGCGATGTCGTGGGTGATATCGTGGACATCACGCGTGGCAGGGTCGATGAGAAGGTCTTTGACGAATTCTATGGCCAATATCATGGATCTTAGGTCAGTGGTCGCGAATGATTGGAATTGGGAAGGGGGAGTTTCAATGGACGACTAACTGGTGGCATTATCGCCGGTTCCTGATCCAGACAAGATTAGTGAATTAAGTTGTAGCCACTGAAATTGAATTCCTCGCACCTAAGATTCCCCAACGAACCATGGCTGCTTGCTATGTATGTAGTAGTGGTGGGAGGTACGTGAATGTGGTGCGGTGCGGTGCGGTGTAGCTACTAATCATTAAATAAGTAAAGGAACTACTATACTTAGTGGCGGGTTTTCGAATGCCATCCAGCCTGCAAATCGCGCCATCCTCGGTCAACCAACTTCCACGAATGAGATCGGAATCTAGCATTATGTTGAAGATAATATACATTAAAATTATATTACACTATTGAGACTACTGATACTATTGAAACTAATTTAGTCATCCTTCTGCACCTTTAAAAGAAGAGAATCCTGAAGCGCCGACTGGCCCCCGAAGTAGAAGTAGTAGTGGTGATGGCAGCACTGCCCGTGGCGGTTTGGGTGGTCGAAGCAGTCATTGATGAAGCGAGACTGCTGACACTGGCCGACGTCGATACAGGATTTGTCGCAGATGTTGAGGAAGGAGTAATGGTAGCGACGGCAGTGGATGTGTTGTGCCAGCCACTGTAATAATCACTGTCGGAGTCCTCCCCGTCCTCGTTCTCATCGCCATCGGAGCCACCGTCCCCATCCTCATAGTCATAGCCTTCGTTGTCTTCGTTGTTGTCATTGTCATTGTCATTATCGTCATCGTCGTCGTCGTCACCTAAGCTCAAGACGTATTCTTGGGAAACCCAGAGAGAATAGACGCCATCCCCACCACCTATTCGTTAGGTCAGCTCAGCAAGGCAGGAATGGCGCGAGGAGAAAAGTTGCTTCGTACAAGTATCAACAGCATAACCGGGGCACGAGGCATTGCAAGCACTGTCGTCGTCGGCCAAGGCCATGTCCTGGATGTCGAGAGCAGCAGTGCCGCAGTAACACGACTCCTCTTGCACCGCGGCAAAAACCCCGTTCACCTCATCGCATTGAGCGATGCAGTGGTCGACGGATTGGAACTCAAAGGTCCCCATGTTCTCCATATTCCCAACGGAGGTGAAGCAGCTGACCTGCTCCCAGAGGTTATCGGCTTGGGTCGGAAGGACCAAGGGCAGCACAGCCGCCAGCGAGTAGATGACCGACTTCATGGTGGTGTTGCTGGCAATCGAGCTGAGCTGTGCAGTTGATGCGACGACTCTCAAGAACGGGTGATTTACAACGAATATAAAAGCCCCAGCGATCCGTGGAGAGAGCCAACTGCAGGAGCCAGGAACAGGCAATCATCGACCTAATGGTCCCTGGTGCCTTGGCCCATGCCCAATAATGCTGCTGCTGAGCTTGCAAGTGAAACTCCTCGTATCAGGCAGGGTCGGGCCCCACTCAGCGCAACCATTATCGAAGTCTCTCGAAATTGCAGAACCCTCAGTTCAGGGGTTGGGCGAGGATGATTGGAGAGGAAGCGAGCAAGCGAAACTTAAGAAGCGACTTTAATTGCATCAGTCAAATTTGCTTAACGCTACTCCCAGTTTAGACAGGGTGGAGTCTGTGCCAGGAGTATAATTATGTCAGCAGGAAGCCTTAAGTTAGTTGATTAATTAGTTAGTTAGTTAGTTAGTCAAGTTAGTTAGTTATAACTTGCTGCCTGAGATTTCTGCCTGAGGCCTACCGCATCCGAGCACCTCTTCTTCTTTCCATTGGACCTCCCTTCTCCTTAAACTCCACTGATCCAAGCTTTTCCCACAATTCTATCCAGATCCTCCTGTCACCATGCTCGTCTAGATCGCTACTAGATTCCCACTTTTCTTTTTCCCGTCCTCTAGAGCCTTCCTTATTCTTGGATCTTGGAACGTCCACGTGAGCCATCTCTAGACTATCGAGACTATCAAGACTATCGGAGACACCGCACCATCAACACTGGCTCATCCCAACGCCACCACCGGCGGACTATCTCAATGGAGTCAGCTCGGAGAATCCCATTCCCAGTCCGATGGTCAGTGTGGCGGTGCTGAATGCCAGACCCGCAATCGGAACCGGGAATTCGCTGACAGCCAAACTTCGGTTCGTCCCAGTTGATCCACTCGATCCAGCCAGTTCAAGGCCCGGCCGGATCTTCCCAACATCTGGCCGAGTCTATCGTGTTCCTGACACCCGACCCCTTCGACGACGCTCCCTCGGGGAGAAAGGGCACGATGGTGAGAGCAAAATTCGCACATCTCCACCATGCAACGCCAAATTTGATCCCACCGCGGGAGAGACACAGAATGACAATCGTTTCCACAAGACTTTCATGATCAGAGCAATGCAAGAAAAGCAAATGATCCTTCGTCAGGAAGCGGGAGACGCGACGCCGGGAACGGATCGCCATGGACGCCAATCGCTTAGATTTGCCTACCCCTGGCCTGAACCATGCGCAATGCTTATCGTCCTTTCGGCCGCTGCAAAAAGGTGTTTGCTGCTTATCAGATATGCCACCAATCGTGAAGCGTTAGGGCTTTTTCCGGATGGACTCCGACGCCACGTGCTTGGCAGCTGCTCTTCAGCAATCAAGCAATCTATTAGTCTTCATACCCTTCGTACGGATCAGAATCCCATCTTGGGCTTTAGTGCCCCGGCTCATCATGGTGTCACCGGTTCCATGCTCGATCGGCCCTGGAAAGCCCTCGGCTACGCTTGCCCCTGGCCTGTAGGACTCTTCGCCGCCACCTACAGGCCGAATGTCCTCACTTCCCGCCTTAGTGTATAAATATCTTCATGATGGCCCATGGCCCATGGCCCTTAATCTCTACCCCTGTTCACCCATACTATCTCCTTCCGACTGGTGCCGCGCTTGATCGTGGTCCAGAACCGGACAAGCAACGACAACCACTATGCAAGTCTGGTCTGTCCTGGGCGTCGCAGGCCTGGCTCTGGCCCAGAGCTGTGCTGCTGCCTTCCCCTCCTCTTCTTCAGTCACCTCTCAGGCAGTCATCCCTACCGCGGCTGCCGCATCCCCGACCAGTACGCAGGATGCTACGACTGCTACAAGTGTAGTGACTACTGCATCATCCTCTGACAATGCTGCCACCACATCCGCGTCGAGTCAGTCTTATCTCCAACACGTATATCCTTCTCTTCTCGTATAATTGACTCTTCTCTAGCATCTTCCACCGCTGTGATTGTTGCCACCGACGCCTCTGGCCAGTTCACCGCCATTGGAGAAGCTATTTCCTATGCTCAGTCGAAGGGCATCCCTACTGTGACCATCAAGGCCGGCACCTACACTCAAGCCGTGACCGTCTCGGCCACTGCCACCGTCGCTGTTATCGGCGAAGCATCCAGCCAACAAGATTATAGCGAAAACCAGGTCACCATCTCGGCCACTAGTCCTCTGACCATCTCTTCCAACGTCCTCGGTATTACCTTCCGCAATATCAACTTCGTCAACACGGCTACGGGCAGCTATGCAGCGGCTACTATTCGCGGCTCCAAAAATGCATTCTACGGCTGTCAATTCGTCTCGGCTGGGAGTCTTGGTATCAATGCCAACCTGGGTCTTGCCATCATTGCCGACAGTTACATCGAAGCCCTGGACAAGATCATCTATGGGTACCCCGGCTTGTATGTGTACAATACTACGATCGTACCCGTCGACAATAGCGCCTTGATCGTCTATAACAGAGGCACTACATATAACTCGGTCCTCTACAACTCCACCGTTGTCTTCGATTCCTGCTCGGTCCAGCAGAAGTCTGGCACCAGCACAAAGAACGTCTACCTTGGTGCCGCCAACAATGGGTACGGCTCTGTGGTGGTCTATCGGGACTCGACTCTAGGCAGCTTGATCACAGCCACGGGTGCCTACACTGACAGCTACTCTACGGACTCTCGGAACTTCTACGGGGAATTCGGAAACACCGGCACGGGTTCCTATGCCAACAACGAAGCCAAGCGGTCAGCATATGTTCACCTGCTGAGTGCAACTGACCTCACTCGGTTCTCTCCGGCCGAAGTCTTTGCTAGTGCCTATTATCAATTCGCCGCGACGAACATCGATTGGGTCGATGCTGACGTTTTGGCCGCCATTGAGAGTGCTGATGTCATCCAGCAATCAACATCAACATCCATTACTGTTACTACGGCCGCGTCCAGCACCAGTGCCATCTCGATATCCGCATCTCAGGTCACAGCCACCCGCGCTGCTTCGACTCTGATTCGGTCGAGTGCCACTGTGACGACCACGGTGTCGTCGGCTGCGATCAGAGTGTCTGCTTCTTCCTCCGCTGTCTCATCTGCAACCGCCTCGTCTTCTACCGGATGTTCCTTGCCCTCTACTGTACCTACTAGTGCCCTAGTGGTTGGTCCTTCCGGAAGTTGTGCGCAGTACACCAGCATTGCATCGGCTGTCGCTGCTCTACCCTCCGATTCTACTACCCAGTATGTCTACATTCTCTCGGGTACTTACCAGGAAGCCATTACCATCAGCCGTGAGGGAGCGACTGTATTCCGTGGGCAGACTACGAATGCCCTGGACCAGTCAGGCAATACTGTCACCATCATCCATAGCGCTGGAGTGCTGTCTAGCAACGGTGGATCTGCATCTACCGCAACGTTCCAAGCGTCCCAATACTACGCCAAGGAGATTTCATTCTACAACATCAATTTCGAGAACGATTATACACCCGCCAAAAACAATATTGCAGTGGCTGTCGCTGCTAAGGCTCAAGTCCTCGGTTTCTACGGCTGTGGCATCAAGTCTTCTCAAGGAAGTTTGCTGATCAACTACGGTGCCTTCTACTTCTCCGACTGTCGGATTGAGGGCACCACCGACTTTATCTGGGGCTACGGTGGCATCTACGTGTATAATTCCCGCATCATTTCAGATGGAACCACCACCGGCCAGACCATCGCTGCGCAGTCTTACCAGACATCCTACGGGCCATCTCAATTTGTTTTCGACAGCTGCGCCTTCGTACCGAGTGATAGCTCCGTCCCGAAAAGCAGCACCTACTTGGGCCGGGACTACTCCACGAATGCCCATGTTGCTGTTTTGAACTCGTATCTTGATGCACACATCGCGTCCCTGGGCTGGTTGATCTCGTCGTCCAGCAGCAGTGTGATCTTTGCAGAGTATAACAACACTGGCCCTGGCGCCTCCACCAGCGCACGGAGCAGTGTCGTGGACATTCTGTCTGATGACAGCGCGTATTCCATTGCCAACGTCTTGGGGAGCACGAGTTGGATCGATACGTCAGCCATTGCTTCCTTCTCTGGCTTCCCGGATTCTGTTTATGACACCTCCGTTTCCTCCTCTGCCAGTGCTTCTGTCACTGCTACAGCCAGCTCGTCAGTCGTAGCCTCGGCCACGAGTGCGGTACCCACGAGCACCTCGACGTTTGTGGTCTCGCAGAATGCTACCACTGGACAGTATCGCAATGTCACCGCAGCTATCGCTGCTTTACCCAGTGACGGCAAGGCTTATACCATCTACATCCTTGCAGGTACCTACACTGAGCAAATCTCTATCACGCGCTCTGGAAAGGTCACTCTGCGCGGCGAAACTTCGTTCGCAAATGACTACACCCAGAATCTGGTCACCATTGAGTTCTCGAACGGAGAGCTCACCAGTGCCGGCAAAGATGAGAGCACACCCGTCATCAACGCGAAGAAGACCGACGGCACCGGCTTGGCCCTATACAACATCAACTTCCAGAACACCTATCCTCAGACCAGCAATACGGCTGCGCTGGCCGCTGATTTCTACGGCACTAACATGGCGGCGTATGGCTGTTCCTTCATCGGCTTCCAAGACACCTTGCTCGCGAACAAGGGCACGCAGGTCTTCTCCAACTGTTACATCGAAGGGTCTATTGATTACATTTGGGGCTATTCGACCGCCTACTTCCACCAATGCTACATCGCTACAAATACCCCCGGGGCGTGCATTGCGGCGCAAAGTCGTTCTTCATCAACCGCGTCTGGCGGTTACGTCTTCGATACCTGCTATGTCACCTACACCAGCACCTATGGGTCGGCTTACGGCGAGTCATATCTCGGTCGGCCATACTCGGAGTACAGCATTGCTGTCTACATGAATTCATACTTGGATAAGCACATCAACGCCGCTGGCTGGGAACAGTGGTCGACAAGTTCTCCCAACACCGCGTATGTGACTTTCGGAGAATACAACAACTCCGGTCCCGGAGCCTGGTCCACGAGCCGTGTCTCTTTCGCTACCAACCTGACCGCCACCCAGGCAGCCTCGTATAGCCTGTCGTCATGGGTCGGCGATACTACTTGGCTGGACATGACTGCCTATAACTATGTGCCTTCATACAGTCTGACGGGACCATCAGCCACGACCAGCACCAACACGTCGACGACATCGACTGCTACTGCCACCTGGGCGCATCCGACTAGTGGCACTGTGCCTCCCGCAGGCGCAGTGCTCGTCTCCCCTGACGGTGCTGTCAACGGCTCGTACAGCAGTCTGACCGATGCGCTGGCTTCTCTGCCTGACGATTCCTCTACTCAGATCATCTTCATGTACGCCGGCTCGTACAACGAGCAAGTGCCGTCAGTGGACCGTGATGGGCCAGTTATGATCATCGGCTATCAGTCTGGCAGTCCCGGTGCTACATACACAAACAACCAAGTCACCATTACCTACTCGCGGGGCTTGTCTGTCAGCCCGTTGCCGACGGGGCACTCGGATGCTGAGACGGCTACTTTCGCCACCGCCAGCAACCAGATTGCCTTGTATAATATCAACATCATAAACACCGCCAATCTGGATGGCTCCCTGTCGTCATACGTGACTCTTGCTGGTTCGATCTATGGCTCTGAAATTGGCTTCTACGGCTGCAGCCTTGTTGGCTGGCAAGACACCTTGCTGACGGGCAGCACCACTGGCTACCAGTACTATGAATCATCCTACATCGAGGGTGCCATCGACTTTATCTGGGGTTACTCCAAGGCCTACTTCAAGGGCTGCACTATCGGTGCCAAGCGTCAGAAGTCTGCCATTACTGCCCAGAGCCGTGCCTCATCTACCGCCGTTGGTGGCTATATCTTTGACCAGTGTCTTTTCGATGCCGCCAGCGATGCGACAGTCGATTTGACCGAGCTTGTCTACCTGGGTCGGCCTTACTCGAAATATGCGCTTGTGGTTGTGAAGAATTCTTATCTCACGGACATCATCAACCCTTCTGGCTGGAAGGTCTGGAGCACGACTGATCCTCGCACCGATTATGTCACGTTCGCTGAGTATAACAACTCTGGCCCCGGCAATTGGGAGAATAATGCTGCGTCGCGTGAGGCCTTCGAGTACTGTACGTTGTTGACCTCGGACACTTACACGTTGGCCGAGGTCATGGGGTCGACTGACTGGATCGATATGACTTACTGGGATTCCATTGTGACGCCCGAGCCTGCATCCACAACTACCACTACCACTGGTTCAAACTCAACCACTGTCTATGACGGAACCACTCCTCCGGCAGGGGCTTACATTGTCTCAAAAACGGCTATCGCCAACGTGACGACCTATGATACTATTCAAAGTGCACTTAACGCTCTGCCTACTTCCAGCAAGGTCACACCCACCGTGTTCATCTACCCTGGCACGTACGAGGAGCAGCTGGTGGTCAACCGTTCCGGTACTACGATCTTCATGGGATATTCGGACAACCATCTCGATTACTCGAGCAACCAGGTAACGATCCAGTACAACCACGGTGTGGACACGCAGGCCGACGAATCCAACTCGGACAGCGCCACAGTATATGCTACGGGCAACTACTTCCAGGCAGTCAACATCAATTTTGTGAACAACTACGGGACCACCAAGAACTACGCCTCCCTCGGGTTTGCCTTAAAGTCGAGCAAGTACGCCTCGCTATATGGGTGTCAGGTGACGGGCAATCAGGATGCGCTGTTGATCAACGGCTACTTCTTCGCCAGCAACAGCTATATTGAGGGTAATATCGATATGATTTGGGGTTCTGGATCTGGTTACTTCCTCAACTCGACCATCTCTCCCAACGAAGATGGCATCAACTTGACGGCCGACAAACGCACTACCAGCACCACGGTTGGTGGCTTTGTCTTCGACCAGTGCACCATTACCCCGGCCTCTGGAGCCGGCAGCATGTCCGAGATCTCGTTGGGTCGCCCCTGGAACAATTACGCTCGCGTTGCTTATGTCGAATCGTACCTTGATTCCTGCGTTGAGGCGGCTGGCTGGGAGCAGTGGTCCTCGAGCAGTCCGCAGACGGACGGTGTTCTGTTCGGTGAATACCAGAACTATGGTCCTGGATCGTCCACCGCCGATCGGGCGTCGTTTGCAACGGTCCTGGATGCCAGTACGGTTTCCCAGTTTGAGCTCACGAATTTCTTTGCCTCGACTTCCTGGATCAACTTCACTCTGGTTGAGGGCACTCCGTTCGTGCCGGGCAACTCCACGACCCTGCCAGTTACCAGCACCGGCGTGATCCCCAGCACTTCTGTACTGGCCACGGCGACTCCCACGGCGACTTTCACTACCCTTGTGACTGTCACTGATAAGGAGACGGCCTTCACCACCCTTACCCCCGCTGATTGGACTTCCACGGTCAAGGTGACGGTCACGCAGGACGTTGGCGCTACCGTGACTCTGGCTGAGTCTTTCAAGACCACCGTCGAGAAGACCACCATCTCCAGCACCACAACCATCGTCGAGCCGACCGTGACGAGCATCAAATCGACGGTGATCACCAGTTCCGATATCGAGACCATCACGGCTCCTGCTAGCACCAAGACGACCACCGTCAAAGATACCACCACGGTCACGGCTACCGTCACCGAGGGCGATGTCACCACCATGGTCAAGAGCACGGTCACCGCCACCAGCACCATCACCTCGTCTGCCAAGGCTAAGACAATCACCGAGACCGTGGCCAGCACGACGACCAGCGTCAAGACCTCGACTCCTGGCACCGTCAAGGTCACCTCATACACCACCGTCACCGAGGGCAGCGGCGGTACTACCACGAAGAGCACCAAGGCCACCACCACCACCGTGGACGTGACCTCCACCAAGACCACCACGAAGAGTGTCACCACTACACTCAGTTGTATTCCCGCCGCCAACGCCAAGCGCGCTTTGATCTTGCCCCGGGCGGCGGTGAACGCGGCCACTATCACTCAGTACACCACCCTGACGACCTTTGTCAAGACCTCGACTGACGCGCTTGCCTCGCCCACGGTCTATGTCACGTCCACGACGACCACGACTACCGGCAAGACCTCGACTCTCAAGGCTTCCACTAGCACCATCACCAGTGTGTCGGCCACGACCAAGGTGGCCACAGAAACGGTCAAAGCCGTCACCGTCATTTTGACCGAGAGCAGCACCAAGGTGGTTGCGAAGACTACTACGCTCAAGGCCAGCACGATCACCGAAACGATCACGTCGGCAGCCACCAAGACCTCGACTGTGTCCGTGCCGGGAGCGACAGTGACCGTCACCAGCCTGAAGACCACCACCATCGAATCGACCGTCACCTTGCCCCAGAGTACGATCACCAAGACCAAGGCCACCGTGACCACGATTAAGGAGACCGTCACCCTGGCGACTCCTACCACTACGGTGCAAAAGACAACCATTGTCAGTCTTGAACCCTCGGTGACAATTACGGAGCGGGCGACCAGCACTCGCACGTCTACTATCAATCAGACCGTCACCGAGACAGAGACTGTGACCAAGACGTCGAAGAGCGCCAAGGCTTGCCCTACTGATTGAGGGATCCACTCTCTTTATCCTTTTGTTTATTTTAGGTCTAAGATGCTTGTATACTAGTAATATAGTTTCTTTAATATATGCTTGATTAATCCAACCAATGTGTACTAAATCGCGAGTTGCCGGTTATTGTACAGAACAGCAAAACTCCTGTGGGACAAGGGATGGTGGAGATATATATACCCGATCTAGCCGATCGCAGCCGGGAAAAATGGATGCGCGTAGAAGCTATACTAAACAATGCCTCCTAGCCTCGGTAACCTTTTCTAGTCCAGCAACAAAAAGGCACGTGCCAGCCTAATTTCAAATACTTGTTTGTGATTAGGGTGATGCGATACCAGGGATAAACTGCAGAAGAGCAGATTTCGACTGCTTGTGGATTATAGCATCCAGAAAAAGGGTATTACTTATCAGCTGGCCTGCTGGCCCAATGGTAAGGCGCTTGACTACGAATCAAGAGATTGCAGGTTCGAGCCCTGCGTAGGTCATTTATCTTTTGCTTTTTCTTTCCTTTTTGCTCTGTCTGGCACGTCTCACATTCGTACTACGTATTCTGTCAAAACACCACCCCACCACTCAAAGCTTCGCCTGCCGTGATTTCTTCTCCTGATCTCGCAGCAATCGGCGCAGGATCTTCCCACTGGGACTCTTGGGGATGAGATCCACAAACTCGACGCCGCCCTTGAGCCACTTATGCCGGGCCTTGGTCTCTTGCACATGCGTGACAATCGCCTGGACGGTAGCTGCATCATCTGGTCCGGCCTGCGCGGACTTGACGACAAACGCCTTGGGCAGTTCGCCGGCCTCGGGATCGGGCACGGGGATGACGGCGCAATCGCCCACGGCGGGATGCGCCAGCAGATGCGCCTCCAATTCGGCGGGGGCCACCTGCAAGCCCTTAACTTTGATCAATTCCTTGATCCGATCGATGATGAAGAGATGCTCGTTGCTCTGGGGACTCAGCCGCATCACGCCGACGTCGCCCGTGTGGTACCATCCGTCCCGGTAGGATTCGGCGGTGGCTGTGGGGTTGTTGAGATACCCCATCGTCACGTTGGGGCCAGAGATGACGACCTCGCCTGGGGTGTCGTAGGAGGTGATTTCGCTGCCGTCGGGGTCGAGGAGCTTCCACTGCGAGCCGGGCATCGGACAGCCAACGGAGCCGGCCCATTGATCGATGACGGGGGTAAGGCCGACTACGGTGGTGGCTTCGGTGATTCCTAGCGGATGACACTGGGTCAGTGGTGGATGGGGATGTATCCCCGTGGTACTGAGCACTCACCATAGCCCTGACCGATATTCATGGCGGGATATTGCTCGCGCACTGCTGCCTCGACCTCCTCGCCCAGCGGAGCTGCCCCCGTGAAGAGTCCCACCACGCTACTGAGATCGTACTGTCGGCACAGCTCCTGGCTCTTGGCGATGCGCAGTACGATCGGGGGCACCAGGAGGAGATAGGTGATCTTGAAGCGTTGCGTCGCCTCCAGGAGGCTCTCCAGCTGGAAGCGCGCGAACACCACCGTCTGGTCGCCGCGGTAGGCCGCGTAGTGAGCGACGTAGTTCAGCCCGTAGGCGTGGCTCATGGGCAAGACGCAGCTCGTCACCTCGGATTTGCCCTTGGTGCGCATTCCCGAGGATTCATCGTACTGCTTGAATTGGAGGATGTTGGCCATCATGTTGTAGTGGGAGATCATCACGCCTTTCTGTGGAGAGGGGAGTTAGAGCCCTGGAAACGAGGGTCTGGCGGTCTGAGGGAACCTACCGGTAGCCCGGAGGTACCGCTGGAATAGCATAGGAATGCTGGCTGGCGGCGACCTTGCCCAGCCTGCCATTTCAACGGGGCGACTGGAGGCAGCTTCTGGCCCTCTGCAACTAATTGTGATATCGTCTTGAACTCCGATGCTCCGGCTGGGGGCGTCTGGCCCGGTTCGACGGGCGTCTCTAGCACGTAGACGCGCTGACGGGCAATCCCAACCTGCGCAGCTGCTTCCAGCGCGGTGGACAACAAGGGCAGACACGTGAAAAGCACCGTCGCCCTGGAGTCGTTCAGCTGATAGGCCAATTCCGGGGCCGAATACGCGGCGTTGGCGGGCGAGACTATCCCCGACAATCGATGTACTGCCCAGGACAAAGGCATCGTGTCGATCTTCCGGAGACTGCCAGTCAGCATGCGCCGTAACAGACTCCCGGGAGACTCGACTCACCGTATTCAGACTGAAAATCCCAATGACTTTGTCTTCTGCTGCCCCGGTGGGCTCCCAGCCCAATTCACAGGATAGGGCCCGGGCCATGTAATCCACCCGCTCGCCGATCTCGGCCGGAGAGTAACCCCGGCCGGTGACACTGCAAACATACGGAGCGGGAGACTGGTCGATGGGGGCGCGACCGTATCGCTCGTCGAGCATGAAGTCGCAGAGGGGCACCGTGTCGGGGACGGGAGGCAATTGGCCTACCCACTTGGGCGGAAAGAACACCATGGCAGGGGATGCAGGACTTGAAAAGAACGTGAAGCAGTGGTGGATTGAGAAGGCTATGTTCACCTTTTAAGAGCAGACGCAGACAAGTGGTAAGTTAGTGAGTGGTGTTGCTGACCTCAGATTGATCCCTGCTTGACTCTTCCTAAGCATTCAGCCGTGGTCCACCATGATAGGATGATTCGACTAGAACCTGACTGCATGCGCCATCAAGCAGTTCGATGAACAGGCTCATTGGAGGCCAGAGTGATCGGCAGCCTTAGCCTGGGCCTAATGGCCTAATCACTGCCTCCGTAAGCCGAGGCAAGCGAGGCAGCCAACGTCCGTTCTCCAGATGACTTTCTGGCTCCACATGAGGTTTCAACCGCGACCGTGGGCGTGGGGATCGGACCACCTGGCAGCTCGTTCGGGTTCGGTGGCATGGCAAGAAGGTCAATCCTGGACATAACTAGCACAAGCCATGAAGCAAGAATCTTCCTGTGAGCGAGTTCCTTCCTGCGCCGTCTTCGGGGGTGGTTGACGTTGACGGGCACAATGAATGAGGACCTCGCGGAAACCCTAAGTCCGCCGCCACCCGACGTCCCCAATAATGGCTTCGTTTCCCCCGGTCGCGATTTTGCTTCAGCCAAAATCATCCCTCAAAACCACATGGATATAGATAGTATGACCCCGATGCATGGATTCCAGTCAGAATTTGGTCTGTGAAGCATTTTGTGTGGGGTTCGGGCCCCAGAAGATCATGGGTAGAGCGTAGTGAGCGCTAAACGGGGGAGAGAAAGAGCCCGGGATAGGCTGGAGGGAGGTTGTCAGTGCCATCGCAGTGGCGACTAGACCAGACCATTCGACACAGAATCTCGATCAAGGCATCTAATGCATATTCTGCTCTATGTATACGGTATGTTCATGTACGGAGTATAAGTATGACATACTGGCAAGGAGACTGCCCCACCTCATTGTGTGTCGTGTCGGGTGAAGTGTCCGACCTCCAGGAGCCTATTTAATTATATACCTACTCAGTAGTTCCAGGGGTGACACGAGCAGCAGAGCTAATAGTCAAGTAACAGGCTGGAGAACTGGAGCATCAGGTGGGATCACTCCCACGTGGAACCCTTGCAGAATGGGCAGAAGGAGCAGAAGGAGCATTGGCTGGAAAATTCCCCTTCCCCTGGATCCGGTGGGGCACAGCAAGGATCGAGAAACTCAATCAAGCTGAAGTAGGGCGAGATCCAGTGCATTGTCATGTCTTCGGATTTGACCGTGAGCTTTCAGGGGCAAATCTGGTGGATGGTCGGCATAAATTGCTGCATGGTGGGAGGCCCCCCCCCGCCATCGCCTAAACTCGCCTTCTTTGCGCCTCTAGTGAATGCGATCCATCCCGATGCCATAGGAAACCCAAATAAGGATACGAGGGCGACCATGAGAGCTTGAACGGGTCTTGAATATATGTTCAGCGCAGTTCCTACTCTCTTCAACATGGATAGACAGGTACTTGGTACACGATGGCGCCTCTTCGTACCCTGCTCTTCGGAGCGGGCTTGATGCCGCTCATCCAGATGGCTGCGGCCTGTACGGGCACCAATGTCATTCAAGGAGGGTCTTCTGCGTATACTTCCTTCTGGAGTACGAGTGCCGGCCCTACCCTGAAGACCTTTTCGGTGGTCGATACTGGGGGTCCCGATGGCGGTGCCTATCTGTAAGTGTGCATAGCCAATACCTAGCCAATGCCTAGCCAAGATGCCGGCGAACCCTAACTATATTGCAGCGAAATCGACGACTTCAGCTATAGTTGGGTGATTGTGCGCCAAAACATTCCCTCGGTGCACGTGGGCACCTCCTATCATGTCTCCCTAGACTGGTCTATCACGACGGACGACTCGACCGGAGCCTCCTGTACCATTACAGTCGCTGTCGAAGGCAATTCCTTCACTGCCGCATCTGCTGCCCTCGTGGCTGGCCGATCCAGTGGCTGGTCGAGTGTCTCTGGGACGTACACCCCCACTTCTTCCACCGGCATTCCTTTCGTGATCACCATCAGTTGCTCCCAGGGAGCTTCCAACGGAAACCCGGTCATTGGCCTGGCCGACATTTCCATGGTCAGCGCTTGCTCGGACACGGCCGACAGCACGTCGAGCGCTGTGAGCACCACCAGCAGTGACGTTTCGCTGGGATCCTTGACTACTGCCTTGAGCACATTGACTTCTTCTACCCTTGCTGCTTCATCCACTGTCAGCAGTGCTTCTACAGCCACCTGGTCGACGTCTTCTGGCGCGACCACTACGACCGATGACAATGGCACCACGCTCACGGCTGATACCACCGCTGGGACATCTCTGGAGGCATCACAGTCTGTCGACACCTCCGATGATGCCGCGGTCTCAGGCACAATCTCGGTGTCCGATTCAGCTGCCACCAAGCGCAAGCGTAGTGGTGTGTCCTGCGCGTTGAGCATTTATCAGGGCAACGATCTCCTCGACAGCCTGACCGTCCCAACAGGTTCGTCGGCCCCTTTTTCGACCTGCTTGAGTAGTTCATCCTCCAGTACCTTCAGTACCTCCACCCTCACGATTAAAGTGGTTTGTGATGGAACCGGGGCCACAGTTGAGGTTGCGGACCTTACGGTGGACACCAGTCTTGCGGCTGCTGAACAATGTGCTGCTGGTGCTGCTGGTGCTACTACTGGTATCTCTGCGGCCGCATCCAGCTCGCCGATTGCTGCTCCGAGCTCAGTCGTTGCTGCTCCGAGCTCATCCTCTGCGGTCAGTGTTGCCGTGCAACGTCCTACTCCCAGCCCTCAGGCCAGCCCTCAAGCCAGCTCGAGTGTGCCTTTGTTTGTGACCCGTCCTAGCCCATCAACCACCCCAAGCCCTAGACCCAGCTCAGGCTCTGTTGCCGGTTCGGACTCATCTGGTGCTGATTCTTCTAGCTCGTCTGGTTCCTCTTCTAACTCTGGCTCTGCTGGCTCCTCTTCTGGTTCTGGCTCGATGGATCCAGAAGCAGCAGCAGTTAGCGCTGGCTCTAAGTCGTCTGGCTCGTCTAGCTCTAATGCTTTAGGCTCGACTGGCTCTGGCTCCTCATCTGGCTCCTCATCTGGATCTGGCTCCTCGTCTGGCTCGCCTGGTTCCTCATCCGACTCTGGATCGTCGGGAAATATCACTGGCGCTGGCTCGTCCGGCTCTGGGGCTTCCGGGGCGTCCAGCTCGGCTGCCTCCCAGCCTGGTTCTGGCTCAACATCGAACACATCGGGTTCCAGCAACGCCATCTCCGGCGCTGTGGCGTTTACTACCTCTACTGTTTCCCACACGGAGGTGCACACTGTCACCGCCTGCCCGTCGACCATCCAAAATTGCCCTGCCTCGGCCAAGACCACTTACCTGACCACCGAAACTGTGGTCGACTACACTACCATCTGCCCGGTCACTGCTACCGAGACCCAGGTGCCTGCGACTGCCACCCGTGCTTTGAGTACCTCTAGACACGAGGAATTCACGACATCCACCGTGTATACAACCTCCGTGCATACAGTGACCGCCTGCCCCTCTTCAGTCAAGGATTGCCCCGCCTCGAAGCAGACGACGTACCTCACGACCGAGACCATTGTGGATTACACCACGATCTGCCCTGTGACTGCCACCCAGACTGGCGTCGCGGCCACAGCCACAGCCACGGCCACATCTACTGCTGGTTCTTTGTCTCGTGTCACGGAGTATGTGACCTCCACGGTGTACAGCACGTTGATTCGTCCGGTGACTGCTTGTCCTTCAGGATATAAGAACTGTCCTGCGTCGGCGAAGTCGACCTTTGTGACTACTGAGACGGTGCCTGCCCATGTCACCACCTATACTGTGGTGACCACCGAGCCCCATACGACCGCAGCGCCTGCTGGTGAGCAGGTTTATTCCACCTCCACCGGTTACGATATCACTGTCTACACAGTAACGGCTGTTTCTATGGGATCAACCGACCAGACTGCTGCCCAAGAGACGGTCTCTGTGTATACCACCCTGATTCCAGTCGGGACCACGATCTATCTGAATGTCGCGTCCATCGCATCGGCTACTGCTGCGTCTGGTGCTATCGATACGGGGGTTTCCCAGCCGGAAGGTGCGGAAGCCATCGGCACGACAGAGTCCACCACCAAACTGGGCTCCCATGCCCAGGTTGGGGGCAGTGGTGCGCAATCTTCTTCAATCCCAGAGTCCCCAAGCCCGTCGGGCTCCTTGATCCCCTCATTCCGAGCATCCTCTGCGGTCGCAGCGTCTGCAGCAGCCTCGTCTCGGGCCGGTACTAATGCTGGATCTGCCACTACCACCGCGGGGGGCGCGCTCTATACTGGGGCTGCCGCATCCGTCTCCCTCTCCTCTAGCCTGATTTGCGTGGTGGGGAGTCTTGTCGCTGCTTTGATGTTGTAGATAGAATTTAGTTAGTACTCTAGTGCAGTCGTATGAGCACATGAGCACACGAGCAAATCCAGAAACACTTTTCCGCACGTGTCGGCCAAGACGATAGACAGGAACAATGCAGGTACTACAGGTGCTAAAGCCAAGCTTTGTTCATGGAAATAAATTAATCAAGTGGAGACAGCGATAGGGCACGTGGTCCGAGGGCGCGCTGGTTCTGGCTGGCCATCCACTGCGCACGACGCTAAGCAGATTAACCCTCATCTAACCGGCAGCACACGGCAGCACATGGTCTCTCGTCGCCCTTTCATAGGTAAAGCCCAAAGGATCTCGACTTCAACCCAAATCTCACTTGTCGGTTGACCGTTGCCGATGATGCGGTGGCATGCAGCGACATGTAGCGATACATGCATGGAAAGGGGGTTCCGGGAATAATCATGCTACTACCGACCTTAGTATATATTGGCCGGTACACTCCGGACTTGGGTGCTGCTGACAGTTGACCGGAGCACTGTACACAAAAGCCAATATTCCTTTCTCTTCAATCATGGCTACGTTCGCTGCTGTCGCTGCTCTGCTGGGAGTTGCCAGTGCTGGCCCGGTTCTAGCCCCGGTCAACGATATCCTGTTTCCTGCGACTGCCCACTCCTCCAACCCCTTGATCTATTCCGGCGGAAATACGCCCTACTTTACTGGTGGGTTCGATCCACGCCCGTCCAGTAAACCACCCAACTGATGCAGGAACCAGGCCCCAATGTCAATGGCATCTCCAACGAGGTTCCCTCGCAGTGCACCGTCCAGCAGGCTGCCTATGTGGTGAGACACGGAAGCAGGTGAGATAGGGTCTGGCCCTTAGAAGCAGCAGCAGAAGTGGTGTGGCTAATCGCAATCAGATTCCCCGACAGCGGTTCCTACGGCTCGTGGGTGGCCCTCGAGGAGAAGGTCGGTTCATCGCCACCGGAGACTGCCCCGTCTCATTGCACACCTGATCACTCACCATTGGCAGATCCAAGCGGCCGTCAACGGCAAGGGCTTCAAGGCGCGCGATGAGCTCTCTTTCATCGCCGACTGGAAGACCGTCCTGACCAACACCACCCTGCAAATGTCCCAAGAGTCGATGACGGGTCGCAAGGAGGTTAGTAGAATCACCTCGAACCGAAGGAGCAAGGAGCATCGTAGGACTGACCGACCCAGGCTGTTGATCTCGGTTACACTTTGCGCGCTCGCTGTGAGTTCCCTAGCCCTAGCCCTGGAACCTGGAACAGAACGAGACATCCAGGCTAACGCGCAGTAGACCCCGATTTCTACGAAGATGGTCACCCCTTCTATGTGTGGGCCAACCAGTACGCGAACCCCATCAGCACCTCGCGCGTGGTCCAGACCGCGCAGGCCTTCCTGCAGGGATACATGTACGAGTTCGCCGATACCTATGGCAAGGTCGTCAGCGTCAACTCGACGGGCTCCGTCAATGCAATCGGCAACTCGCTGGGACCCTCGGATGCGTGTCCCTTGTATGTCAACAATGCGTATAACAATGTGACCAATTGGGATGCAACGTGGATGCCCGCGGCCATCAAGCGCATCAACGCCCTGGTCAGCGGCAATCTGACCTTCACGGAAACTGACCTGACCTTCTTTCCTTACCTGTGCGCCTACGAGAGTCAGATCACGGGCCGGCTGAGCGACTGGTGCAATGTCTTCACCCAGGACGAGTTGACCAAGTATGCCTACTCGCAAGATCTGAGCTACTGGTACGGGGTGGGACCGGGCTCGTCGGATCCCACCAAGCTGCTCTTCTTGCCCTTCCTCGAGAGCTTCTTGGATCTGCTGGCGCAGGGCCCCGGCCAGAACGGCACCGACGTGGATGGCAGTCCCTTCACCGTGCCCAAGCTCATCATGGCCTTCTTGAATGACAACCAGATCGCCGAGTTGACCGCCGGCATGGACCTCTTCCAGGAACAGACCCCCTTGCCCGATGACCGCATCCCCTCCAACCACCTGTACAATGTGGCCCACTTCATCACCATGCGGGGCACCGTCGGGTTCGAGGTGCTCAACTGCGAGACGACCACCAAGAAGAAGACTACCGAGGACACCTATCTGCGCATCTTGCTCAATGATGCCGTCTACCCTCTGCCGATGTGCAAGAGCGGACCGGGCAGCAGCTGTCTCCTGTCAGACTACGTCACCTATATCAAGAAGAAGAATGCGGAGGCCGGCAACTTCATCGACTACTGCAACGTCACGCAAGCCGGCCACCCCGAGACCGTGGCCGGGGCCAGCTTCTTCACCGACTTGACTCAGGACTTCCTGACTCTCGTCTCTCCTTGAGCTTGAGGATAACGGGGGTTTCTTTGCGGGGATCGATTGCGTCCTCGCGTGTATAATAATACGTTCTGTTAGAAGGATCTTAAATCGTCTCACATAATAACTATTAGTCTACCGAATCCACTTTCTTGTACCCAGCCACCACGCGATGTCGCAGCACCGGGACCAGGGCAAGCAGCAGCCAGATCAAGGTACTGAGCGCCAGCCCGGCGGCAAACACCACCACGACGGTGGAGGGCGACCAGCTCCGCTTCTCAGGCGGGGGAGGAAAGAGGAGTGCTTGAGGGTCATCAGGCCGAGGCTGGTCTGCTCCGGGGGCCCAGTAGGTGGGCGGACTGCTGCGCACCATGTCCGAGAACCCCAGGCTGTTTTGGTCGGCGTCAAGAGCCTCAGCGGACACCCAATCCATGTATCCACGGGCGATGAAGCTAGTCTCGAAACCTGTCCTGGCCACGGTGCCGATGAGAGTCTTGTCCCCGTCTGCGGCCGCCTGCGCCCAAAACCGCCAAAACTTCACCTCGGTTGCTCCGTTCCAACTCACGTGGCATTCGGTCAATGACTCGGAGCCGTTGATGCCGGCCACCGACGCGACCACCACCGGGGGCTCGGCGGGCGACGCCGACCAGGGGTATTTGTAGGCGCGGTAGTTGCCGAACCGGTCGCTGGCGAAGCGGGCTTCGGTCAGGAGGCGGCCGCCGTGATCGAACTCGCTGATGTACCCATAATCACTCCAGGACACAAACACGTTGTTGTTGGGGAGGAGTTGCGTGCTGCCGCGACGTCGCGTCAGATCGCCATCCGGTCGCAGGTACTGGTTCAGCAGCTTCGCCTCGAAGTTGACCAGGTCCAATTCCACGATCATGGCGGAGGAGACGGGCTTGTTCTCGCTCAGCTCGTCCGCCGCGTTGTCCAGGAAGGACATGACCATGCGCTCCGGGGTCTGGAGGATGATACGCGCATCATGCTGCCATGAGAAGTCGAAGTCCTTCTGGAAATTGTTCCCCTTGCCGCCCAATCGCCACCGGATGGCCCCGTCCTGCCCGGAAATCAAGTAGATGGTGCTCGAGTGGCGACACGACATCAAGTAGTCGCCGTCTTTGGTCTTTTCGATGGCGTTGCAGTGGATGTAGTCGGCGCCGCGGGGAGGGGTGCCGACGGTGATGTCGACAAAGGTCTCGTGGAGTGGGATGTGGCCCTCGGAGTTCCATTCGAAGAAGACGTGCCCGGTGGTGTAGTCGACGTCGCGAAAGCCCTGGAATTTGATCTCGCGGGAGACCCCGGGAAGGCCGATGTCGGCCAGGTCCACGACCTTGGGCCACTGATGGATGGCCAGCGCTTTGTGAGGGGCGTAGACGTAGAACTCATGCTTGTCGAAGACGGGGGTACTGCCCACTTGGCGATACTGATGGTCGAGCACGGTGCCATTAGCAAATTCCAGGTCCACCCCCAGCCCGGTCTGCACCATCAGTGACAGCTGAGGCTTCAAGTTGCCGGGGACATTGGTCACGACGCGCAGATCGAAGGCGTTTTGATTGTCGGTGTATGCAGCCCCCGTCCACACCAGATCTCCGTCCTGGTCATAGATGTAGGGGCCCACTTGATAAGGCATCCATCGTGTGGTGTAGGGTTCTCCGACGGTCACCCAGTAGGGGGCGACAAACCAGTAGCCTGGAGCGGTGGCATTGCGATGATAATGCGTGATATTCCATTTGGGGATGCGATGCTGCGGTAACTGTGTTTCCCATTAGTCAGCCCCGCATCATCCGGGGATCCGGAGAAACGCACGGTCCGAAAGACCATCAGGTCTGAGTCATCCGATGCGGTGAAGTCGCTGGTTGCCCTCCCAGCAGAACAAAAAAGCAGAAGCAGCACACATAATGAGCGTGATAGGGTCAGGGTCATGGTGGCATGAAGTAGAAAGAGTGACGATGCCTGCTACTCAGGTACTCCCAAAAAAATTTTCATGTGCTGCACCCAGGGGCTCGAGGCATTTTTATTCATCGCAGCGTCGCTTGGTTTTACCCCAGATGCATCGAGACTCAGAGAGATAGGGGGAAAGCTGATCGATGGATCATGGATGGATCCACCTCGGGTTCGCCGCAAAAAACCAGTCTAGACCACACTGGCTTTCGACATATCACCCTTGCTTGCGCGCAATCCAACAAACAGTAGGATAGCCGGGGGTAACATTCAAATTCTAGAGTCAACACATGTTGTGTTCGCAACTTAAGTTATTGGCACTTCAAGTAAACCGTATGAACAGTACTTAGGCACTATATATCTTACCGGAAGGACCAACCGTGATGATTACCACCGAAAAAAATTGACTACTATCTTGTTGGCTTGACTGACGAACCAAGTATCATATGGATGAGTCTGCACCGGTCAAGTCGAGAATATAGAACCACTGACTGGCGTACTACTGCTGTATTATGCTCGTGAGCCCCACAAATTGCAAAGTGCTCAGCAACCTCAGCTTGAATTCCGGGTTCTGCACTTCCGTTCACTCCCCGACTCCCCAAGTTTAACTAACGCCATGGATGGGGCTCTCGGAATTGGACCGAGTCCACAGTTACCGACTCCCACATATCAAATCCAGTCTCGAGGACTTGGGTCATAGTTCGGAATGCTGAATCGGTAGATCGCCTCAGTTTCGGCTCCACCAGATCTGAAGATTCTGGGTCCGTATCTCCGTATATCCGCATATTCCCCACGTTCCCCGACTTTTCAGCTGGGAACCCCTCCCCGGGGGGTTTCCTGTTCGTATAAAGACCTTGTTCTACTGGATCAAACCTGACGAAGTCAAGCATAATCACCATGGAGTCACAATCCACGATCCCACTGATCATCGATGGCCAAGACATCCTATCCTCTCTCAAGGAGAGACAGGGCACAGTCGCAAACCAACACCCTGGTGGTCCCGGTTTCTACCAGGGTGCTACCAGAGACCTGGCCCTTCAAGCAGTACAATCCAGTGCGAAGGCCTTCCCAACATGGTCAAAAACTACTCCGATTGAGCGTCGAACCCTCTTCTTCAGACTAGCCCAGGTTCTGAGAGACAGGGCCGATGAGATCAAAAGCGTGTGTTGCCAGGAAATCCACTGCGGACCACTGTGGGCGGACATTATCACCAACGACAGCATTGGCCTGATCGAAGAGTACGCGGCGCTCATCACCAGTGTGGCAACAGGGTCGATTCCGTACATCCAGCAAGGCTATGGCATGGTCCTGAAAGAACCGCTGGGAGTGGTTCTTGGAATCGCCCCCTGGAATGCGCCGATCATCCTGGGCCTTCGGTCGGTAGTGGCCCCCATTGCCGCAGGCAACGTTGCCATCTTGAAGGTAGGGTTCCTTGAAAAGATGAAAGGTGGAACGTGGACGAAATGTGAAGTGCGGTGGCTGACGGAGGAGATTAGGGCTCCGAGCTTAGCCCGCAGACTCACTACCTCCTCGCTTCCCTCTTCCGCGAGGCGGGCTTCCCCCCCGGGGTTCTAAATTTCCTGCTCCATCAACCGGAAGACGCACCGGAGATCTTTGACGTTCTCATCACTCACCCGGCCATCAAGAAATGCAACTTCACTGGCTCGACGCAGGTCGGTCGGATCATCGCATCCCAGGCCGCCATGGCACTTAAGCCGGTGTTGTTGGAGCTCGGAGGCAAGAACTTCACGGTGGTGCTCGACGATGCGGACCTGGATCTCGCGGCTAGGGAGATTACAAAAGGTGCCTTTCTCAATGTAAGTCGTTCTGCTTGCCTGCGAGGCATCGCCTCAATCATTAACACCAACCCAGAACGGTCAAATCTGCATGTCCACAGATATGGTCTTGGCCACGACCGCGGTGGCCCCGGATCTCGAGGCCCGAATACTGGCCATCTTGCGTGAGATCGAGACTGCGCCAATGGTCATTTCTCCGGCGGCGAAAGCCAAATTGGCGATGCTGGTCTCTGACGCACAGGACAAGGGCGCTAGAATCCACACTCCTCCCAAGGCCATTGGCAATACACCGCAGAGCTTTCCTCCGACCGTGGTAACGGGGTTGACTCCGGCGATGAAGCTGTACGAGATCGAGTCCTTTGGTCCGGTCGTCGGGATTGTTTCACTTGAGACCGAGGAACAGATTGTCTCCGTCATCCAGCAAGCCAAGTACGGCTTGTCTAGCTCAATCATCTCGCGAAACCACTATCGTGCTCTGGAACTCGCGGGGTCTATCAAGGCCGGGGCGGTGCACATCAACTCTATGACCGTGCATGATGAGCCAACTCTGCCGCATGGGGGGTACGGGGATAGCGGCTGGGGTCGCTTCGGCGCTCGGTGGGGGCTAGAGGAATTCGTCCAGACGAAAGTCGTGACTTTGCATCCTTAGATGGTGCTGACCGTTGATAATGAGTGGTGTAGCCACACGACGGATAAGGATACTTCCGGCCGGGTGAAGCTGTGGAGCATCTGGAGCAGCTGGATACGAGGGTGCGCTTATCCTGCCAAGAATACATGACGAGTAGTATGAGCTTATCTGCAATTAGAAAGCCGATTCAATTTGCAGATTAGCGCTTGTGTCGAACACCTTCACCTGCCCGCTGAGTCTCCCCGGTGACTCGTAAGCGATACGAGCAGGAATGCTTGGCAAATGATCGGATATCGAGAGGAAGGACTGGGATTCGGGATCCGGGCAAGATTGCCATGTTAGGAATATGGATCTGATTAGATTTCGCTTAAGGAGCGGACTTGGCAGTCGGGGTTACTCTAGAGTCTCGACAAGTTGTACAGACTGCCAACGGTCAAGGCATCATGTCATGGTCTTCCGTAGTTGCTCGGCTGTACTCGATGGCGTCCTATAAATTCGATTCCACCCCTGTCTGGTTCTCCCTGTCCAGCACCAGCTTTCTTCTCGCTCAACATTCAATCCCCACATTTGAACCAATCATTCCCAACGTCCTAGCCATTATGCAGTTCAAGGTTGGTGACCTGGAGCGGTTCGAAAGTCTTCTACTGATCATGTCAGGTCCTCGCCTTCGTTCCCGCCCTGGTCGCGACTGCTGCTGCCACCATCGACGTTGCGTTCAGCGGCTACTACCTTGCCGACTGCGTGGCCCCGAGCATTGAGTCCGCCAACGTGATCTCGGGTGGTTGTGGACCTGCCCAGGGTCTGCCGGTGAAGTCATTCTCGGCGCATGTCTACTCCGGTAGCTGTGAGGACAGCACCACCTCGCCCGTCTTGAAAGTTTACACCGCCACGGGATGTACCGCAGAGTCCTTGTATGGGGAGTACGAAGTCAACAGCACCACCCAGTGCTTTGAAGTGGATGCGACGTTCTTGAGTAGTGAGGTTGTGTGCGAGTGATCGGTGGTGGTTCTTGTTTGGGACGTATGGGATGTATGGAATCACTGTATATATCTGCAAATTGTCTATCTTCGCCTGTCTCTCGTATAATTCTCGGTGATGTAGTCCGCTCTGCCTAGATGGGGCATAGTTGCCAAGCACTCTCATGTGATGTTGCTGACGCATCCATTGCCAGCAGCCCCTGATCTGCATGAATTACTTCATTACCTCGTTGACAACACCATCTTTTGGGGGTCTTCTGCTCATCAGGTCCTCCTTATGCTTCAGCCGGTGTGTTTGTGAACATGTTCTCGAAATCCGCTTCCCGTTGCAGTGGGGATGCTGCTGCAGGAAGCGGCCTGCCCCTGAGATCCCGACTGGGGTGCAAAACTTGCAAGTGGGGTCTACCTTCCGCCCAATGCCGGCCACGAACTGGAAGTTAAGCATATAATAGAATCCGTCGAGTCAAGTGTGGACAAGAGAAGCCCAACTGTGTCCGTTGCAGCAGCACGGGTCGCAAGTGCGAATACGTCAAGGCTGTGGCCGGCACTTTCTCGTCCGCCTCGCCCCCTTCCGCCACAGCCCTCGACCATCCCCTGGCGTTTGCCCCCAACACCGTCTGGAGAGAACGTCGTGCTTTTGCCTACTACTTTGAGCGCGTGGCTCTGTTTGTCGGGGGCGATCTGGATGTCGAATTCTGGGGGACTTTTGTGCCTCAGCTGTGTCAGGGAGAGCCGGCCGTGTGGGATGCCATCATCTCTATCAGTGCCCTGTTTGAGACGCACGAGCGGCCGACAAGTCTGGTTTCTGTACAGCTGATTGATCAACCGCAGGGGGATGCCTTGGCCTGGTACTCGCGCTCCGTCTCGGCTATTCGCCAGCGCATTGAGCGCGGCCAAATCGACATCTTCGTCGGACTGATTACGTGCGTGCTCTTCATTTGCATTGAGACCCTGCAGGGGCGCGAAAAAGAAGCCTTGCAGCTGTTTGCGCAGGGGTTGCAGCTCATCCAGGCTCTGCGCGCCCAAGTCTCGTCTGGCATGATTCCACCGTCCAAGGCAGTCTTACTGGAGGATGTGATTGTGCCGATCTTCATCCGACTCGGGGTGATCGCTTTTAGTGATTCGGCCAGTCGGATGGGCTGTTTGTTGAGGGCTCGTACCCCAGTATGGTCGGCTGAATTCGAATCCCTAAAATGCGCTCGCGAAGCTCTCACCAATTTAGGCGCAGAGACCATGCTCTTCGAGCGCCAGTGCCTGGCCGAGCTATCACAGGCGGATTGCTTTCATGTCAGCGAAAGGTTGCTTCACACGCAAGCGAAATTCTTCGAGCGCCTGCAAGAGTGGGACGTCGCTTTCAAGAGGCTTCTCGATTCGCTCCATGACAAAGGGCCACTCTCCCAGCATCAGGTGATCAACAGCGCGCTGCTCGTCGCCTACCACAAGACCACCATCATTCTAGCGACCATTTGCGTATCCTCCCTACAAACCATGGCGGACCACTGCCTGGAGGACTTCCAGATCATCATCGACCAATGTGGTCTTGCTCTCGACGCGTCCCGGCGATCTGACGGCACACAGCCACCATTCACATTTGATCTTGGTGTTGGACTGCCCCTTTGGTTCACGAGCCTCCGATGTCGTGAGCCGCGCCTTCGACGCGCCGCAGTCAAGTTACTTCGTCGAGCGCCGCCGGTGATGGGCTTCTACCGTTCTACGGCGGCTGTTAGTTTTGCCGAAAACATTATCATGCTAGAAGAAGGAAATGCGATGGCATTGAGACCGGCACGAGGAACTCGGTCTGCCCTGGCCTGGGAGGAGGATCCCGACAGTCGCATGCATGGCAATAGGTTGCAGCTGGAACAGGGTAAATTCGTGGCTACTTCGGAAATTGATGCTCAGCTGGCGCTGGCGGACATCCCAGAAGAAGCGCGGATTGGACCAATCAATGTTGTGCGACAGGATGACAGCTCATCACCACGAACCATGCAAGAGGGGGTCATGAATCATGATTCCAGCAACGAAGTGACGGGGATGCGGTTTATGCGGAATCAGCGAGATCCGGTGCAGAATACATGGCAGCGGGTGCATGAATACCTGCCTTTGTGACGAAGGGCAACGGGGATAGGCAGAGCAACCACGAGAAATTCTAGAGGGAAACACGAAGATCAACAGCTTGCCATCACAGTAATCCCTTGTAATGGAGAAGCAGTCATCAAGATGTTAGGCTTTGTAGAAGAGCTCCACCCTTGAAGTTCTGAATAGGTATACATGGACAAGTAAGGGCTTGGTGCTCCCCGTACAGCCACGGCAGACATCACTGGTCTTCTTCGGCACTGTAAGACCAGATCAAGCGGCAACATGGGATCTGTAAGAAATTGATGCTCACCCATGAAACATACTTTGTGCCAAAATTAGCATGAAATGGGACGATGGCGCATCTGGGAGCGCGTCAGACTGAAGCATTAACTTCGGCCCGTAAATCTGAAGGTGGCCGGTTCAAGCCCGGCTCGTCCCATCATTTCTTTTTGAGAATTCGTTTTTCTTTTTGCTTCCTTTTTTGTTTTTCTTTTTTTTTTTTTGTGGCCCATATCAGCTTCAGCGGGTCATCCAGTAGCAAGCCTGGAAGTGGAGGTACGGCATCAAGCGAGGCGCCCGGCGGCAGTAAGTTAGGGCTCGTTGCGTCAGACGGAAATCAGTAGGTGGCCGGTTCGAACCCGGCTTGCCCCATTTCTATTCTCTCTTCGCTTTTTCCTTTCACTGCATTGCCTGCCTTTTGTCACAAATTAGGTACAGTACATACAAATTGGGATCTGCTATTGCTCAGAGTCCCCAGTCTTGCCGGCCCTCTTCCCCTGCACCACAACTACCTCCTCCTCTCCCTCCTCGCCGCTCTCCACCCCACCACCAGTACTGACTATCGCCTTCTTCCGAAAAACAACCCAGACCCCAATGGTCCCCACAATCAACGCCAGCGCAGACGCCAATGTGAATGCATAACCCTTGGTGAATCGAGGCCCCTCCACAGTCGGAAACACCAGCAATGGCGTCCAGGCAGTCGTAGATTGAGAGACCGCATTGATGACCACCAGGACCACGGCTCGTTCCTGCGGGGAATACCGGAGCTCGGTGTTGACCCACCCGTACAGCACGCTCGACATGGCCACACACGCATAGATGGTCGAGAACGCAAACCACTTGGCCGATTCGGGCACCTCCCAGATCGTGAGAATGATCAGTCCAAGGCTGTTCCAGGTGTGGGCTAGGACAATGGCCCACGCTGGACCCAGACAGAGGTCCGATAGGAAGCACACAAAGAGAGTATAGAAGATGCCTAGGGCGGGGGCAATAGCGGAGAGGTTGTTCAGGGTGGCCGTGCTGAAGCGTTGGAGCGATTTTAGCCAGAGGAGATACCCCCCTGCGGACGCGTGGAGGCCAGCATTCCAGAACAGGATATCCAAGACGAGAAAGATGTAGAATTTCTGGTTCTTAAGGAGGGATCGACAGGTTTGCAGCGTGGAGAAGCCGGACGAGGTGAACCGATGACCGGTGCGCTCGAGTCGCTCACGCCCACATTGAATGTCTTCTTCGCGAAGAATCAGTCGGTTGGGCTTGTCCGGGGTACCGGGTAGGACGAAAAATCCCAAGATGCCGATAGGAATGGTGATGATCGCGCAGATAATGAACATCCATCGCCAGCCGGCAAGGCCAGACACCCCATCCAGGCGCGAGGAAGCCCCGGCCTGGATGAGGCTGGCTGTGAGGGTGCCCAGCGTCAGGCCCACATAGAAGCACCCCCCACGGCGGGCGATCTCGTCTCCGCGATACCAGGCCCCAAATATATAATGCATCCCGGGGAAGAATGCCGCCTGTTTCTCACTGAAGGTCAGATGCGAGTCGCGGCAGATGGGGTAGGGGGATAGGAGAAACCCACCTCGAACCATCCCACCAGAAATCGGTAGGCCATCATCTCGCTGTACGAGGTGGCCCGGTATTGGAGAAGAGTGAAGATGCCCCAGGCGATGTCCATGATAGGGATCAGCCATGAGATGGGCACCCGCGTGAAGAGATACGCAAATGGGAGCTGGCCAACCACCGCGCCAACCGTATACATCGTCTGGAGGTTCACCAAGTCATCTCCCCCGAGGCCGATCTCTTCTTGCATTCCCGACACATAGGCATTGTCTGAAGGCAGAAATCGAAACTGTTAGTCCTGATTGCGGAGGCAATGAGGCGGACTGACTCAGGTTGGCTTGATCGATGTATTTCGTCCAGTAGGACAGAAAGGCATACGGGACAATCAGAGCATCCAGCTTGAGAATCAGCTTTCTGTCCCCGGAGGTGTCAGTGTCCGAAAACCATCGCATCTGGTACCATCGTCGCTGCTTGGGAGACGTCATTGTAATGGTGCTGGCTGTTGTAGGAGCGACACAGTCCCGGCTGGGGGTTTAAAAAGAAACGTGGACACTGCAGAGACCATGTCGCCATTGACGAAAAGATATGCAACATGACGATCTGCAGTATCTATCTTGAGCGGAACTTGTCCGCAGGCTGTCCTGCTGCAGGTCAAGATATAGCTATCAGATTGTGTTGAAAGGAGGGGATAAGGCGTGCTCCGCCAGTATCCCCGCGATGCTAACGACTCTGCGGCCTTTTAGTCTCAAATGCTTATCGCACGTCGTATGTAACCCTTGGTCGGCCATTAGCGGCCGGTCACGCAAGCTGGTCGGTCTTTGGTGACATGATCAGGGAATTGGACTCCAATAGCACTCAAGCTCTGAGCGTATTCTATCGTGCTGATGCTGGAAGAAATGAAATCTCGCATGGTACTGCTTGACAGAAGACTCTGTCACGTAATCCCTGGGGCGATGGCGTTATCTGAGTGAGGGGTTGAGAGAGCATGCCAAGTCTATACTCGGGTGTAGGCGAGTAATAGCCCGATGCACAGACGACAGGATGGTTATTCTTCTAACTGCCATCGTCGTCGATGCTGCTGGTAGTCTTCAATTTCTGTGATCCCGGGGATCCCCAACCACCATGAATCAGATCAAAGAAGCCAAAACATTCATGCCACTGGTTCAAGCGGTGTCGCTCTTTGAGATCAATAAATAGCATGTCAAGACATTTCTTTGTGAGTGCATTCTAACTGGACTTTTTTAACTATGTGTGTTGCGTTGTCTGGGTGTCGACGGTCTATAAGTACGGAGCCTGTAGCAGGGATATGACTCTTCATCCATCATTTCATCAAGCTCAAATCCCTCAAAGTAGACACTCGACTATTGTAGACCGATCCAACATGGTTAAATACCGAGAAGGAAGCTCAACACTTGACAATGGCAGGAAGATCTATTGGATCATCTGTCGGGAGGAGCAAACCTTCGGGCAATATTGGAGGATCCTGGAGCATCACTTGGAGCGGACCTTCGACGGGCTGCGCATCAGCCATCCTCAAGCATCGACCTTCTACGGAATGATTCGATGCGGTAAGTATTATCAGATCTACCGGGAAGTAAAGACCCCAGAGGATGAAAATGATCCCGACCATTTTGTGAATGGCCTCTATAGGATCGACATCAACGGGAGAGTCGCCTTCCACCGCGTGCACGATGAAAAAGTGCTGTATGACTGGCTCCAGAGTCTTCCTCCGGCTGATTACGATTACGATTATGATGGTATTGTTGTTACTGAGGGCGATTATAGGAGTGATGTCGTAGAGGAAGGAGAGATGGAAGCGTCTCACCTTGATGGTGACCCCGAGGCTGAGGTCGTAGAAGAAGGTGAAGGGGGAAGATCCTTACCGTGATGATTTCCATGATATCGATGCCAGAGAGAAAGATGAGGCGGATGAGTTTCGTCCTGATGATAATGATGACTCTGCAATTGACCTCGAGATCTGGGACATGGACTGGGATGATAATGACGAGCCTTATTCAGTGGTAAGCCCATCGTCTTAGTCTCTTATCGAACAGTTGGACTCCAATGCATCGGACCCTTAAGTCACCATATGCCATGAGGGACCAGTCTTGCATAACTGATGAATCACGTGGCTGTTATATAAGCTCAGCTTAATGCACACTATGCCAAAGGAAGATAAAGGCCTGGATTGGCCCCGATTTGCTCGGCTATAATGACTGGACGGCGTTTTCAGGGGCAGATCTCGTTCGTGTATGTACGTAGGTAGGTGCCTAGTCCAGATCCCCGAACTACCGAAATCCCAATCTCCACCACGCTCTGAACTATTTGTGCGTCGTACGATCTAAATATCTAATCGCTTGCAATGACTCGATCTTGCCTCCTGCCAGCAGGAGCGTACTGCTTGATTCGTATCTTGATCCGGCTATTTCTTGAAAATGCCCCAATCGCCATGGAATTCCTGGTGGGTCGGGGGCTAGAGAAAATCATAAGTATCAACTCTTCCTGCCCCAGCTTCTGCCGGGTACGTAGCAGACAGAGCCTTGCCATTCTTTCAATTGCCCTCGCGGCACCCACTCTCATTTCATCTTCATTCGTTGATCATACACACATACACAATGCGTTGGAGCCAAGCCGACCTCGGCAGTCTGCTGCTCGCCAGCACCTTTGCGAGCCAGGCATATGCGACCGTAACTTGTGAGGTCAAAAACACGGTGGGAACATTCCACAACCCGTCCTTTGAGACGGGGGACTTGACCGACTGGACTGCCTTGCTAGCGACTGGCGCAACATCAGCGGGCGCCGTGGTTTCGGGCGAGGAGGCTGCGGAGGGGGAGTATTACTAGTTGGTTTCCCGCCCCGTTGCCCTAACTCCTCTCCATCCATACTCCCCTCCCCTATGGTACTTATACTTATAGTCGGACATCCTAATGTACAATGTTGACTGAAGTCAATCTGCCCGGCATCCAGTTCCATCGGTGGCACGACAACCTATACCTACCTCAAACAGACCTTGACCGATCTTGATACCACTCAAGCCCTGACTTTCTCGGTCAACTATCGCCTGATCTACACCACCTCCACTGCCAACAGCTACTGCTTCCTGCATTTCTCGAAGGGCTCATGGGCCCCGGCCAATGCGATTGGCGGACGCTCCACTGTCTACCCTTCAACTTATGGCTCCAGTCCAGCCTGGTCGACATACTCCCAGAGCTTCACTCCCTCGACGTCTACTTTGGATATTTACCTCGTTTGGGCCTGTCTCGGTACTTGGGCCAAGTACGAGTTCGATAATTTCGGACCTGGGGAGACCACGGTTTGTTCCACCTCGACCTCGACACCTGCGCCTATTAGTACTCCGACGGCCATTTTGTCTTCATCTGTGGAGGTGGTGGCAACAACGAGTGCGGTGGCCAGCCCCAGTTCGGCTTCCACCGCCAGTTCTTCCGAGCCCATCGTTGCGAGCAGCCCCAGAGTGACCTCGTCCATTACGTCTAGTAGCCCTGCAATTCTCCCGAGCGCTCCGGTGGTCTCGATTAGCTCTCAGTCCACCTTCTCCATTGTCCCAATCTCTGCCGCCTCTGGAACTGCTGCATCACCAAATGCGACTCCGGTCTCTTCTACTGTTGTATCCATTGCCCACTCGGCTTCTACCGTTGTTGCAACTTCTCCCTCATCGGGGTCGGCGTCGTCCATCCCGCTTATCCGGCCATCTTCGTCTTTCCAGACCGTCGCTTCTGCGAGTGCTCCAGTGCCTGTTGCTCAAACCCTCTCCAGCTCCCAGGCTATCATTCCCTCTTCAAGTGCACTCACAGCGACAGCAAGCCACCCTGTCTGCCCTTTGTCTCTGTCGCGCTCATCTCTGCCCTCCGGTGCCGGTGCTCGCACGACAGCTGCGCCCGGAGTCACGGTCTCTTCTGGCTCTAGCATAGCGACGGTGACTTCTGCCACCGGCCTCCTCTCTGCATACCTCACTACCTCTACGGTTCTAACGACGCGCACCTCGACGGTAAGTGCATGTCCTTCCACGGCGACTACATGCCCTGCCTCCGCTCGCACCACCTATATCACCACCGAGACCATCGTAGACTCTACAACCATCTGTCCCGTGACGGCCACAGAGACGGCCGGAGCCACCGAGACAACCTCCAGCGTCTTCAGTACTCGCACTGCCACAATCACTGGCTGCCCCTCAACACTCCTTGGTTGTGCCGCTGCAGCTCAAACTACATTCGTTACTACTGAGACTATCCTCGTCTCGACGACCATTTGCCCAGTCACCGCTGTGTCGGCTACTGCAACGGTGGCGCCGGTGATCACCGAGACTACCTCCAGCATCTTCACTACCCGCACCGCTACCCTGACCGGATGCCCCTCGGATGCCTCGCGTTGCGCCGCCACCGGCCGGGCCACTTATACCACCACCGAGACAGTTCTCGTCTCAACGACCATTTGTCCGGTTACAGCAGCCGAGACTACCGCGAGTCCGGCCCCGACTGAGACTACCTCGAGTATCTTCAGCACCCGGACTGCCACGGTTACTGGCTGCTCGGCGGGTGCAGTTGACTGTGCGAGTAGTGACCGGACCACTTACCTCACCACCGAGACTCTCTTGGTATCCACCACCGTATGCCCGATCACAGCTGCCCAAACCACTATTCCCGGTGCCCAGCCTACCAAAACTGAGATAGCGAGTGACGCAGCGGATGAGATTGTTTCGACCATCTACTCCACTACGACGGTCTGGGTGGCCTGTGCAACGGACGCTTGAGGTTGGTCAGTCCCCTTCTAGGCGATCCGACGGGGTGTCGTAGTTTTAGATATCTCCACTGTATTGTGGGCTTTGAAAACTGTTTCTGTCACTTATCTGAACATGCTCTCCAAGAACTTGCATTCCCTCCCCAACTCAACACGGCATAAACGAATGCAAGAACGTACACTACCTCATGATGTGAGGAGGACTAAGTATTGACCAATCAATGTCATTGTATATGAATTTATTTTAGAAGTGTCATAGACAAAAAATCCATTCCAAAAACGAAGAACTGCTAAAAAAGAGTGGCGCTGCCCGGAATCGAACCGGGGCTGGCACGGCCACAACGTGACGTCATACCACTAGACCACAGCACCTGTTGTTGTGAAGGAGGCTAAAGGTTAAGCAATATGTCAATTAAATAGCTCGTGCATATCACAGGTGGCTGGGTGGTGCGGGCACTGCTACGAGTAGAAGCACGTCCACAACCGCCGCGCTGCCGCCACCATTAGCAAGGCCTCCAACTTATACTGAGAAATCTTGAAGTCGTGATATACTAGTTTGTAACATCCCAAAACATCTTACCATCTCTTATATTGATAGCGCTCATATCCTTTATCATCATTTCAGTATTCTCTCCTACTTCCGTAATTGTATTTCTGCTTCGAGGATTCATATATATTCAAGCCATGGGCTTTGACTAATGAGAATGCGTGATCATCTTTACCTGCATGAAAAGTGAGTTGAAGTCAGATAATGGTATTCCAAATGTTTGATACTTTCAACAGTTGACAGTCAGAAAGGGCAATTAAGGTCACAGCCATCTGCAGCAAGGCTAGGTTGCTTTGCACCGGGAGTGCCATGGGCCATTCAACGCAGCTTCTTCAGCATCTGTTCTACAACCAGACGGTCATGCCAGATGCAAAAGTAATCATTCTGAGTCTCTTCATCAAAGGGGCAGACCATCCTCTCGTTCTGTGCGTTTATCTTCCACGCAGCGATGGGCATCAGATGAGCTCCGGCCAGAATGAATGCGGGGTTCTCCTGCCTGGCCTCTCCCGACAGGTATTCATCCGCGAACTCCCGGGCCTCAGGTCTGTAGAACATATATTCTTCGTGCTCGTGCTCGTGCTCGTGCTCGTCATCGTCTGACCCCGACAAATCTTCCCTTTCGTCCACGCAGAAGACCCGGACCAGAGGCGGTCGTGGGGACTGGTTTTGTGACCGACGGGAAACGTCGACTGTCAGGCACGAAAAGTTCCTCTGCCCCTCAGTACGTGCGAATTCATGGTGTTCAACGATCCACTGGTACTCCTCTTTCTGGCTCTCATCAGGCGAAGGGACGCCGAATGCCGACATGATAATAGCAAGCCAGATTCGAGCAGCTTCAACAGCACCGGGAGGCTGGACACCCCGCAAGTTGCTGCTAATCTTGTCCGTCACGCATCGCGCAATTCAATCCCGGATATTCTCGTTGTCCCAGTAGTCTGTCGTATACCGATTGATGTCGGACTTCGCCGTTCATGCTTTATCACGATCCGTTGTGCTTCTGGGCAGCCGATGTGTGGACAGGTGGACAGGAACAAGGTCCCTTGTAGAATCCTTGGCACAAAGACCGGCGCTCGCTTTGTGTACCGCTGAGATGCTTTGCCATGAGCGTGGTAAGTACAGGCGCTCGACAAGGAAGGAGGAAATAACAATAGATGGCAGGCGACTCAGCAATTGGCTTTGATGGCGATTTCATATCTTCTTTCTGTCTCGCAAAATCTGAGCTGCAGCAACAGACAGGACGAGCGACCAATTTTTAATTCAGGCTATGTGAGGTTATTTGAGCGAAACTAACAACATGGGGCATGGTAAGCAGCCTGGCTATCTAAGCTTAAGGGCAGCCAACAGTTTCTAAATTAGCAACGGGAACATAATATATCCCTGCAGGAGACGCCCAGCCTCATGCAAGCATAAATTAACTGATAGAACGAAGGAGGCTGGCATTAGCTTGAGTCCTCATCATCTGCATCAATTGTCGACGACGACGATCGCCGTCGTCGAGGAACCGCTCTTTCAATTCCACCTGGCTGCCGTAGCACGATTAAATCATCGAGAATAGACTTGACATGAGGGAGAGAATAGCCAAGCTCTGCCTCGATCTGAGCGCGACACTGCTGCCATATCTGGGATCGAAGTCTTTCTTCTTCAAGGCGTCGGCGCACTTCAGCTTGCTTGTATTCTTCCACTGCAGCGGCTTTGACTGCCGCCTCGCGAGCCGTGCGTTCTTGTTCTGCTAGCAGATTTCGTGCCTCCTCATTGCGTATCTCGTTTCTTAAGTCCTCGCGACGTTTTTGGTCTTCAAGCCTGCGTTCGAGGGAATCCAACTTTTCCTCCCGTGCCTTACGCTCCAACGCTTCTTTCTCAGCAGCCTCCCGCGAAAGGTCTTGGAGCTTCTTTTCTAGTTCCTGTTCCTCCTGTTCCTTCTGCTTGTTTTCTTCTTTCTGTGCCTCTTCAAATCGGAGGAACCTGGCGATCCTATCGTCGATGTCACCGGCGCCGTCGATGGCCTTGAGATAGCCGAGATTGACCAGCCGCTTGATCTGCTCCCTTATTGAGGGTTTACCATGAGAGGATGCTCGTTTTCGTCCACGACTGCGGTGACGTGGACGTTCTGGGGTGGAACGAGTGGGCGCATCGTTTTGGATAATCGTCACCGATCTCCTGCTGCTCGGCTGGTTCTCCTTCTGCGCTGTCTTGACTGGCGTCTGCTCAACATCATCAAGGTTGGCGCGGGGCCGTCGATGGTGATGCTTTGCCTCGGATTCGGAATCGCTGTCAATTGCCCCCCTACTCACCGACAACCGTGGCCTGATCTCCATGACGATGACAATGTGAAGTTTGCGTGGTCATAAATAACTTCTAATCAGGTCCACGAGGGGCTTATACGCGCTCCTAGGGAGGGAGGGGAGGGAAACAAAACACAGCAGCCTGAACCGAGTCACACGCATAAGTGTGACGAGACTTGCATGCATTCAGCTAATAGACCAATCCATAGACCAATCGGCGTTAAATGCCGAGTCCCTAGTACATATTACCTACTTGAGCTTAGTCCGTACGGACAACATGATGGGTCTGATCGGCATCATCCCCGGTGTCTTGCTCACTCGAAGGGAGCAGCAACAGCGTGCTCCTGCCCCCAGTTAAGTCGTGATCCTTCGAAACTTGGACCTGTTTCTGCTCGCTTTGATGCTTCCCCACGATGAAAATTAGAAGACTCCCAAACATACGCACGATGACCAGGAAGAGTGGAAATTGCGAGAGAATGTCTACGGTCTCTTTGGCAGTACTTGGGACGTCGCTGTGCTCTGACACTGATCCTGATGAAGCCTGCGAGGATTCAAACACACTCGATCGACTGTGAACGGTGGCCCTACTACTCCTGTTGACTGAATTGGTCCCAGGAGGCGGCGTCCCGGACTCATCGCCCTTGGGGATCGAAGTGGAGGCCGAGGACAAATATTGGGGCTGTGGTCGAGTGGCCTTACCAAGGCCGTGCCCTGCACTCATATCCTGAAAAGACACCGGCAGGGCACTCGGAAGCTGGGCCGATGTTTGCAACGCGTTTTCTTGCTCCATCGCGTATGGCAGGCCTTGAGCAAGAGCATCCAGCCGGCAAGGGCGTGACTGCTTTTTGCTACTGGGGTGGACGAGAATCTCACTGACTCCCTGGCCTTGCTTGAAGGGATCGGGAAACCTCATCTGGCGGACGCGATTCTTCAGACGATCTCGGTGGCGGTGAAGTTTGCCCTGAATCTCGACCTTCATGTGGAAGGACTGATTGTCATGGTGGAAAGCGAACGCGGTGTGGAAAATCTTTCTGCGCAATGCTTGGTGATCGGGATCACTCTCGTGAAACTCCCACTTCAACGTGCGATATGCCGAGCGCGGCGGGGTGGGTAACAGAAGGCCGGTGAACGACCACCGACTCTCGTAGCTGGTCTGCTTCTCTTTGTTCATGCCCAACCCCCCGCCACCGCTGCCCAGCACGTTCACTTCCGGGGTAAGATTCAGTGCTTTCTTGACCGTCACCCGGGAAGGCTCTCCGCTTAAGCTCTTGGGGCCGTAATAGTCCGTCATCCGGAGATCCAGGGGGTCTGGGAGATGGATCTCCGACTGACGGCGCCGCCGAGAGAATCGGTGGCCATCGGTCGGCGCACGGCGACTGCTAGTGATTTCCTCGAGCGATATTGTCACACTGGCGCTTCGGAGAACACACAGGGGCGATTGGTCGAAAGTGAGATCCATATAAACCACCCCGGCGGAAGTGTTCTGCTCTCCTAGCTGCCCCCATTGCGACTTAGAGACACGGAGACGGCAATCAGCGTTCACTTTGCCAACCTTCCGATAGCAGAGATTGGCATCCACTGTGTCCAAGCCTTGATAAGAGCGACCGTACCGCCGGGAGTATGTGACTGCTGGTGACTGCGGGGTATGGAGGGACTGGGACATTGGGAGATGTTACGCAAAGGGGGGAGGACCACAGCACACGAGTACCTACACCAATGCCTGTCGCTGTGCTATGTGAGTTTCAAGGACATAACAAGGAAGAGAGGTGGACAGTAAGTTAGGGAAATAAACAGTAGAGAAGCCAGGAGATGAGAGGGGTCACCAAGCACTGCCACAGCCACGCGTCAGCAGGCTAGCCTAGCTCGGCTATCCATGTTCGCTTATTGACTCATGCATGCGGGGTTACATCTGCGGCATAAATGTTAATCCAGCAATGCGTTATGCCCAATGGGACATGTGATTCCGGCGTTTCTTAAGCGCTCGCTTGAGTCTCCGGTTTCTCATCACCTTCCCAGATACAGTGCTTTCTGCACTCACCAGTAGCCTTCTATCTCTCATTGTAGATCAAGCTTTGTAGTGACTCGGAATGGCTGGCCATCGGCCCAGATTATTCCCTACTTCTCGGGAATCCGCACCAGGTCGTACCTTCAATTTCCCCGCCCAGGGCTCTCAGGAAACGGAAGGCTATGCGCTGGTCCTCCCAGGTCACTCTGGCGACAATGGCCTCAACGCCACCCACGATCGCGAGCTGATACGCCTCAAACAAGACGCATCAGAGTCGGCTTCAACTAAACGAGAGACGGATGCCCTCAATGGGAACAATGACGAGTTCGTCCTCCGACACCCTCAGGCAATTTGGACACCATACTCCGCCCAAGATATCACGATTCACTACGAATTGGACGTGGTCGATGACGTGCCTAGTCTGCTAGAAGAGTTCGCGAGACTGAAACGCCTGGGAAGGTTTGAATTGGCCGAGGAATTCTTTCAGAAGTCTCTTGCGGAGTTTGAGAGCTTACTGCCTGTTGCGCTCGAATATGCCGACATGCTGGTTGAACAAGGTCTGTATGAGCGCGTTCGCCTCTTCAAGTTTCCTCGAGATAGGGAGGAACTTTCTCTCCAGGCCGTCAACGTAACAGAAAAGCCATCCGCCTTTCTTTACCAAGCTAATTTGGCACTGATCCAAGCGTTCGCGGCGATACAGTCCCAGGGGAGTATGAGAGAAGCGTACGCGAGCGTACGAGCACTGGAGACTCCGATGCGCAAGCTGCGGCGACATCGCCGACGCGAGCATCTTCCCCTGGACTCTGCAGAGGTACCCCCGCAATGATCTTAACCAAAGTTTATGGCGCCCCGGTAGTAATGAGCTCGTTTAGGTGCAGGTGTTTCGGTATGCGCTCAAGATTCTTTCGCAAGTCGAGAAGGATTCAAATTTGGTTCCGGAACATCATTTTGACTTCTGGTCGAATGGCACCGACTTGTACCAGATTCTGCTGGCGGAAGGCAGGGTTTGGGATGTTCGCGACCTCATGATAGCTTCCATTGAAGCAGATGGCGCGACTGAAACTTGGAAGTGGATGTTTGACCTCAGCATTTTCGCCCACAATTCTTTCAGTCGCCTGCTAGATGACTGGAACAGCCAGCAGTATGACGAGCCCACCGCTCTCGCCCTCTTAGACATACTTGTCACTGTTAGTCAACAGTTCCTCTCGTATGCAATTTCGACCCCCAGTGAGCATGACCTGTCCGTCGCTCACCGAAGCCTTCAGCACGCCGAACCCCTGGTCGCCATGCTCCGGGACAACCACGCAGAGCTTGAGCAAACTAGGTCTTATTACCGCTGGGTGACTGTCAAGGCCGAGCTTGGAAGAAAGCGCCGGATGCAAGGCAAGATGAGTTCTGGGTTAGAGAATCATCTCTCAAAGTTTCCGGGGCTCACCATCTGGAGTGGGGCAGTGCCGATATACCTACCGATTAAGACTGAGAATCCAGGTTGGACCCCCGAGGCGAGCATCACCACTTCTTCGCACATCGAGCTCTATGACGCCGTCTCTAGAATGCATAGATGCGGCGATTACGCGACTGAGGCCCTTTGTCGAGCGGAATTGCTTCATCATTGTTCCCCGCTCCGCGCCATGCAGCAGTTGGCGCACCTCGCAGATTTACAGATCACAACGCAGGGCGATCGCTTCAGTTACTATAGAACTTGCCTGGCGAAGTTTCTCTTCACCAACACGTCGCTCCTGCGTCAGTCACTACTCGCGAACTTGCAGCTCACGCCAACCACCCGGATGTCGTTCTCCTTCCCTGGCCTGACTGCGTGGTCTATTGCGACCGTTGAGCGGGCTCTCCTGGCCGCTGAGAATCACCAGGATCGCGCGGTGCACTCGCGCACCCTCCAACAAGCCGCAGCAGGCGATGCCGCCTTTCTTCCTCAATATATCCAAGATCAGCTGAGGAAAGGCCTTGATCGGATGTACGGGCTCGACTTTGGGCCTCGGGAAAGACCAATCTCCCTCGCCTTATCGCCGACTTCCACCAAGTCTACGCTCAAATATGGCCCGAACTTTACCGGCCAGCGCTCGCTGCCGATTAGCAGCAGCAGCAGCAGCAGCAGCAGCAGTAGCAGTGATAACCCGGGCTTCCCACGTGCTGTTCCTGCGGTCTCCATCCGTTCCATTCCTCCCACCCGGTTGTTAAGCGACGATGACGAGGATAGCAGTAGTGGTGAGAGCTTTGGCACTGCGGGCTCGGGCACGGATGAGCTCGAACGCCAGGAAAAGAGTTCGCGACGTCGAATGGTGACAATAGAGGACGCTGATGAGGATGAGGATAGGGACGAGGATATAAATGAGGATCTGAATGATGGGAATGTTGGTGACGGATCAGAGACTGGAGATCTCGGGAAAGGTCCAGTGCGATAACTGCTGACATTCAGGGCCTTGGCCACACGAAGAAGGCAAATGCTCTCTTCTCCTTGGGCTGACGGCATGAGGCTTGAAGCGAATTCCGAGGAGACTGTTGTGACAAGTGAGAAATTTGCTCGTTCAGGTCAGATTGAAGTTATATTACAAATCTATCTTTCTCCAGTAGAAAACTAATATAGCTTCTATACTAGTGTAATACAAGTCTTATTGAACTACTACAGCTTTTGATATAGATCTATGCATAGTCATGTGTTCTTCGAACCTGGGCCCCAAGGATAACAAGCCTAACATGTTGAGAACGCGGCTACGGAACAAGGAATTGGTCGCAACACACACCCCGATCCTTCTGGAAAGTAAACCGTCGATGGCCATGACGATATGTGGACAGCTACAATGCTTGGGGGCAGAAATGTGGGATATAGCCTCAGGAGCACACCTACGGGCTAGCGCGCAACAGCCCTAAACATAGGCTTTTTTTTCGCCGAGCAGTCTGGAGGGTAGGATGCACCGAGTACACCAAGTACGACAAATATACCGTCATTCTGATTTATCTGTGCGCGAGTAACAGTGCGATGGTTTTGAGCAAATTCCAGATACATAAGAGCTTGCTTCCCCTAGCTCGGAGTCCCCTTCGCATAGTTCGTCAAGTACTCCGCCATCTGCTTGTCTAAATACATCATTAGGTCAACCTTTACCAGTCCTCGCGGCAAGAAAGGCACTTACAAACCGAGTTCGCATTCTGCAGTTCCCACTGCATCCACTCCGGAATATCCTGGGAGCGACATGGTCAATATGCCTTTCTCAGTCAGACATCATGGACACTCACCGTATTGTCCAGCGCGCCATCCAGATACCTGGAGATAATCCGCGTATCTGCCGCGACACTGGTCCAGACCGACTGCAGTACATTGAGGTTCACGCGGAAGGCCTCGAGTTTGTCCTCGCCCACGTCCATGAGCTCCTGCCGCGCCAGCCGGATCTGCTCGATCTGGTTCTCGAGCGAGGCTTTCTGCCGCTCTTTGGTGCGGATTTGCGACTCGGTAGCTAGTCGTCTCAATTTTGGTTCAGACTCCATACTCTCTTGGGGGAAAACTGACCGGCTTTGGCGACTGCAAGCGCCGCCATCGAGACAATCGCCGCAACACTCACTCCGAGAGCAATCAGTCCACCAATCTATACAATCTCGCTAGTCAGACTACATCCCACTCTATCAAAATTGGAAATTGGTTCTTTACCGCAAGGAAAGGCCCGAGGATGCCACTGGCGGCGGCCATCGCGGTGAGGACCGGCAGCAGAAGCGCGCCACCCCCGAGCGCGAGGATCGAGGTGTTTAGCGACGCCAGCTTGTCGCGGAGCTCCTCGAGCTCTTCGAGCACCCGGGCAATCTCCTGGTTCAGATGCTCTTCCCGGTCACGGGCCCAGACGGAGAAGTCAGCGATGAACGACGTGAAGTGCGTCTGGAGCTCGCTGAATTTGTGCTCCATGGCTCGGGCATCGGCTTGCGCTGTATCCATTTGCTGTACCAACCATGGCACGTCAGCGAACGTGTCTCTTCGCTTTTCTTTCCCTCTACGAAGCAGGAATCACATACATCAATAAACCGGTTCAGCACCGTGCGTCGGCTATCCACGGAAATACTTTCATCGAAGCAGAAGGGGATAATCATGTCATCGAATCCTAGCTCGCGTGAGATACCACACTTTCCCCAGAGGCCAGCGGGAGACGAAGCAGGCGCACGTACGATTGCCATGGACTGCGATATCGGTCGCAAGCTTCCGACTGTCGGCGAGAACCACTCGATATGCCTGCCCACCGTTAGCATTGCTTAGGGCATAACGACTGACCGCGTACCAGCTGGTTCTCGACCAAATTCGGCTCAAAGCCCGAATGATGAATGCGGTCAATCTGCGCGATCTTGAGGTGCAGGCTCACGAAGAGGCGCTCGATCTCGTTCGACGCCTCGACTGCCCCGTTGGACGCTTGGCGCAGGTGCTCCGCACACTCGGGTGACGCCAGCCCTTTCGCTGCGCCCGTGCTGAAGACTTTGTTGTCGTGTTCGTTCTTGATTGGGTCGCTGAAATCACCGCCGTCCTTGAGGATCTCGATCTCACTGTCGGAGAGCGTGGCGGCGGCATCGATGAACTTCTGCGGGGTCGGGTCCGGCCCGACCAGCTGGCAGACTTTGTCGACGAGGGAGTCGTAGGAGGGCGGGGAGCTGTGGGGCTCGTAAGCTGGGGGGGCTGTGGTGGACATCATGGGCGTCAATCGTGAGTGTGGTTGCTAAACCCCGGTGGGGAGGATTCTGCCTGTCGTTGGGAGCATGGATGTTTATATCTAACAGCTTCCGGATACGCAAGCTCTGATGACGACATATGAGACAGTATACTGTACGTACGAACAATATGCATACTGACTGTACGGCGCAATCGCATGTCAGCATCAGGGCTGGCTGAACGACGAGACCTAACTCCAGTGGCAAAGGCATGCTTGACAGACAAAGTACGGAGTAACTAGGGTACGACGGATTGATTGCTTTTGCCACTACGCTAAGCAAAGGAAGCGCCCCGCCCCGCACATGCATGCATGCAAGAGAAATAAGTAAGCGCACCCCTGTAATTCACGCTAAATGTATGCATCAAGAGAGTACGGCTGAAGCGCACAGGGCAGACTAGCCTAATCGTACTAGATATCCGGGCACCAAACCCCGCTAAACCCTCGAGGTAATACAGAGTACTCGCCACCCAAGTGTGTAGCTCCTCCCAACCCTACTGTCTGAATCGAAGTTCAGCTGAAAGCCCACAAACGTGTCATTGGATTCACAGGGGTCTTCAGCTCAAGGGAAGTCCAGCCAATGGACCATCGCATCCCTGTACTGTTGGAGGTAGAGTGCCATCTCCGCGTCTGAAATGAGAAGATGTCAGCTTCCCCGCTCCGGGTATGCATGAATCAGTATCCAGCCAGGGAACGTACAGATCTCCATTCCGCGATCAAGGCAGAGTTGCATGTAGAAGGGATACGCCTAGGTACGGGTCAGCGCATAGGTATACTTGGCTGAAACGTGTTGCTTACCACCATATCGGCGGCGGTCTCGAACCACACTGTAATCTGCCGGATGTCCACCAAGACCCATTGCCAAACACGCATGAGGATGGAGGTATGCCGATCAAAGTCCACCAGCATACTTGGGTCCGGGGCTCGGCGAGACCCGACCTGCGGTTGGGTTGCATCTAGCACGGCGAGAAGATCCAAAGGTAGCTCATCCTGCAGTTGCTCTATCAGCCATGGAAACTGACATGATTGCAAGGCGTCAATGCCTACTTTGAAGGGCAGGGAGTCAGCTATGCCACGCAGTTTGTCGATTTCCTGCTTGTAGCTATCAAGGGAACCATGGTCGTTGCTATCCGCTGCCTCCGTTGCCACTGCACCAGAAACGCTGCGCACAGCTGGGAATCTGGACCAGGCACTAGCCAGATTGTAAGCAATCTCCAGCAGACGAAGCATAGTGATCGTCACGTAGAACGTCGGGGATTGGACCCGCTGCCAGAATCCGAAGTCAGCACGCACACTTTCTCCGCACCGGAGCTAGTGGGGTGATCTGAATTTACCCCGATAGAATTTTGAATCCGTAACACTTTCTGGTGCGTGGAGAGAGAATCATCGGTGAAAAACCGAGCAACATCATCCTTGACCTCTGATGCAGCGATATACAGATGTGCGCGTTAGGCGAATCCATGGAGAGGGGGTGTGGTCCAGAAGCTCCGTACCTTCGTAAATTGCGCAGATGTTGTTAGCGAGCGGGGTATTATGACGCAACATAGCCCTATGGTCCTGTATCCCTGTCAGATTGCTCAATGTACGAAGTACTCCTTGTGGAATTGAGTTTTTCAACGTGGCAAATACCTCGCGGATCTGACGGATTCGCTGCTCATGCAGAGCGGTTCCAGGCCATCCGGACATGATAACGTGGGCAATCACCGCGGTTAGAATGATCTCATTGCTCATCCCAGCGCGACTGGCTTCTTGGGCGAAGCGGATGTACGTGCGACTGCTCTTGCCCGATACTTGGATGTTGGAGGTTTTGTTCCAGGGGCCATCCTCTGTTATGTGCCATAATTGAAGCGTACGGAGAACCGAGCAGAGATTGTGGTCGATTTGGACCCTGTCGTTGGAGCTTGACGCAGCCATATTGCTGAGTGGGCAAGGTACAATTCAAAGGATGAAGTGGATTGCCACTCAGATGGACAGGGTCACAAGGCTTTGGTTGATATTGGTGGACAGGTGTTGCAACTTGAAGCAATTTATCTGCACTGGATCCCCCGGCGCGAGCATGTGAGAGGGGCGGATGTAGGGTGGTGTAGTACAAGTAAACCGGTATTTGACTCTGTGCGAGGAGCCTTTCTTTGCCATTCAGCAAGGAAAGCGGGGTTTGATCAGCGTGTTGGGAACGATGACCTCAAGGTGCAGGATGCTTACGCTCGCTGCATAAGCTCTGCATACACCACCGGCCTTTCAGCTGCGCATTCTCGACGTTCTCCGTGGTGCTACAGGCTATATCTCTTATACATATGGGCGCGAAGTCGACCTTCAGTTCCCACTGTACTGTACATGTTGAGACTATGTTCGCTTTCCCATTGGGCTAGCAGTCGAAACAAAATTATCAAGATGGATGTCGCACCTCCAACATACACAGCGAGAGACCCCCCTCCTTCTTATGAGGAAGTCGCCGCAAAACTGGAGGACCTCGTCGGCGACGATGTCACGCCCGACAGAGTCCTTGACGCCACGGACAAGCTATCGGACGCCGAGATCGAGATCCTGATCAACGGCGCCGACGACCACTGGCCCCTGGAGACCGACCAGCAAAAGGCGGATTTTGCGGTGGGATGCGGCCAATGTCTGTCCTCCCCGGAGGGCAAAACTCGATTCGCAAGCGCCGGCGCCGAGGCCACCCAGGCGACCCGCGACATTGAGAACACCTTTGCCGGCTTGCATTTACGCATTGCGCAAATCGATCGGATCCATGACTCTGGATTCGAGCCCGAGATCATCAAACTCCACCATGCGTACCGAGATGTGCTCGCCGGGAGCCGTGACTTTGCGGCCACGGTCAGCGTACAGTCTAGGCGTGAGTCCCGTTCTGAGTCGTCTTAGGGCTCAATCTAACAAGGCTGGGTCAAGGGTTCGACGAAAGTATCATCAAGATTTGCGCAAACGAGAGCATCGCCATCCAGACGCGTAGAACTACTCTCGAGACGTACATAGAGGTACGCGGAACGCAGTCCTGGTTTTAGTCGTCACGACTGACTCATTCATCCTAGCGAACCACATCGTTCCAAAGTGATGCCCAGAAGATCGCCGATGGCTTTCGCTCCGTGACCGACGACTTTGCCGCGTTCGTTGGCTCCTTCTCCACCTGGGCTAAGGACAAAGAAGGCGAGATTACCGAGCAGATCCGTCTCGTCGAGCAGGAGCTCGACGCTCTGCACAAGATGCTGTATCGGCTCGAGAGCTCCCTCCGCGCCTTCGAGATTGTCTTTGGCGCGTCCATTCCCGCCACCGGGACCTTTGTGAAGATGTTCCCCGCCCTCACACCGTGGATCGTGGTACGTAGTGAGCGTTCCTCCCAAGACGCCTGATCGCTGATGGTGCATCTCGAACATCCAGCTCGGTGGCGTAATCACCGCACTTGCTTCTTTTGCCGCCATCGCCGGTCTCGCGGCTGGCATATCCAGTACGGACTTAACCCCCCCGCGCGCCCGCCCCCCTCACTCATGGGACAAAATCACTAACCGCGAGGTACGTGATAAGAAACCAATTACCGGATCCACCTCAAGACGCAGGAGAAGGAAAGTCTGCAAGTGGAGCTGGAGAATCTCCGCCGCACGCGCGCCGAGCTGGCGGATTTCGGCCACGACTCGTTGACGCGGTTCGAGACGGCCGTGGGGATCCTGACCGGGGCGTGGGAGCAGACCCTCGCCGATGCGCGCATTGTCCAGGATTGGCTGGTCCGGGGCGCGGATGCTGCGGTATGATGCTCCCCTTGCCCAGGTTTGATCAGTATTATAGTCTAACATATTGACTGGCAGCACCGACCGGAGTATATGGAGCTAAATATCAGGCACAATGTCAACAAATGTAGGTCGTGATCTGTCGTTCCTTGTGCATCTGGCTGACACGCCTGGTGGTAGATGACGCGCTGTCGGCGTATCTGGAGAGTTATGCCAGGGGCATTTGATCTCCAAGGTCCGTAGCTTTGCTTACGTGAAACAATATTATTTATTTACCAATCTATTTTCTTTAACATGGGGGATAAGCTTGATGAGATGGCCCATAAGGGGCTGTCGCCTGAGCTGCCCAAGCCCAAGAATGCCAAAAATCCTACGCCCGTGCTCTTACCGTCGCTAACCCCATCTCGGCGTAGAGAAACCATTTTGGCCCGACCGTATACCGATCTCTATTCTGACTCACTCGCTGAGATCTCGCCCTTGTCTTCTACTCTCATAACAGTAGGGCGGGTTGTGGCATGGTCACATGGCTGACTGCTCGAACCTTCGCCAAGCCCGGCATATGTCGATACACATTGAATGAGACAACCGATTTACAGCTCTACAGGAGACTCCATGGGTCTCGTCTGATTCACCGGCGTCACATGAACCTGCCAAAGTCTGGCCAAAGCCCGCGGGAACTCCCTTTGCCGCTCCTCACTCACCCACTCATCGTACTGATGGTGGGTTGCTTTCTCGCTCAGAATGCCGCGTTCTCCGCCATCGCGTACATAATGGATGAAGTCATCGGCCACACGAACGTATTCCCGCAGAGCGTCCTGCACGTCCAGGGTAGCGCCTGTAGTCCAGCTGAGAAGCAGCGGCTCGAGCAGCGGCGCATCGGTGATACTGGGGTGTGCCGTCCCGATGCTAGTGAGGAACCAGGAGGGCGCGGGGACCGCACCGACAAGGTCACGGACGGTATCGAAGTGCGGGCGGTTGTAGAAGGGGCTGACGGTACGGGACCACGAGTTGGAGTGCACGACGAGGATGGGCACGGTGGCGTTGGGGTTGAGGGGGCCGCTCGATTTCCCCGGATCGAGGATCAATCCTGCAGCGGGCGCGGTGGAGAGCGTAGTGGTGAGGGCTTGAAGGGCACCGGTGGCGCCAAAGGAGTGGCCGGCCAGGGTGAGATGGGTCATATTAAGGCGGCCAGTCCACGAGGGGAGGGTGGTGATGGGGTCCCGAGTGTTGAGGATCGGGGTGCCGTTGTTGATGGCGTGGAGGAGGTCGACGGCGGCATGAAACTCGGCGTCGCGGAAGGCCAGCTGGGCGCGTTTGAAGGCATCCCGGTCGAAATCTAGATCTGGATGTTGCAGATCGGAGAGCCGGAGAGGGAGGACCTGGCGGCCCGAAGAGCTGGCGGAGGTCTTGACCATGGAGCCAGGCCCGCTCCCGTCGCGATGTTCGATGGCGATGATGACGTGCCCGCGGCTGGCGAGTTCGGCGAGGAACTGGGTATAGTCGGTGCGCGAGCTGACATCCCCGTGGGAGAAGACGGTGACGGGGAAGGAATCGGGACGGAGAAGAAGCGGGGCGTCGACCTCGGCGGGGATGGTCACGGCGCCTCCCACCGCCCACAGGACTGCCGTGAAGACGGATCGGGTGATGAGGTTGTCTGCTCCGGCAAGGCGGGCGTAGCCCTGGGCCGTGAGGCTGATAGGCCTCGGAATCCAGGGGTACCGGGGCTTGCGGGACCGGAAGTCACGGTCGGTCGGATAGTAGACCGTGGCCAACAGGGTCTCAACGTCGAAGACCGGTTGTCCGGTGGCCTTGTGAACCGCCTCAGCAACGCGTCGGGGCCCGCCCGCTATAGGTACTTCTAAGTCGATTGCACCCACGCCATGCGGGCCGGTATAGGGTGGCAGCGGAGACGCAAGAAGTGGGAAGCCGTAGAGGACGCAATAGAGGGCGTAGAGACTGTAGAGACCGAACACGCCGAAGAGAATGCGCCGCCAAGTGGGACGTGGGCGGGGCTGGTGGGGGGTTGTCGTCCATCGGGGCTGCAATGTCTGCGCGACGGGCGGTTTCTTGCTACTACTCATGATGTTTAGTTCTCGTGATGCTGGCACTGGTCGGGTGGTTGCAGATGGCCGTGTTGGATACTTGTACTATCTGCACGGGTGTGGAAGATGGATGATGTGGTGCTGACGTCATTCTCCACTGATCTGCAGTCCTCCACGTGCCGGGAATGGGTGCCTTAAACATATGGCACTGAATCCTTTAGTTATATGGATCCCACTATAGATCGGCCGCGCTTAACGAATACTAGCTCTGGGTCCAGTCACAGCATTGAATGTCTGCCCTGAACTGTGCAAAGCTAACTATTACTCCCATTGGCAGCTACAGATATATGACGTCAGCAAAGATTTGCTAAAGGAAAGCTTGTTCAAGGGTCACATCTCTAAAGCTAGTGGTTGACATCCAACCACAAATGAGGACCGTCGGTCATACGACGGAATGGGCTGTAGGAAGAACATGTAGATCTGTGGTTCTGTCAAGATAGATATTTTGCTGGTTATTGGTTTCAGTTACTCGTATTCTTGTTGTTCAATCCTAATTGATCTTTCCGTAAACCATTCCCTTTTCTCTGAATGTGCTGACTTTTGTCATGATAGGTATCAAACTCTACTAAGGACCTAGTAGATTCCGTCTGCAAACGGCGTTGAAGGCAACGTTTCTTTGTTGTTAAGACAGTTCCATGCAATGTGGGATACATGGTACAAAGAAAATCTAGACCTCGAGAATATCAGGCCCCCATCCTTTTCCGGCTCATGGTTCGGATATATCTGTTCCCTGGTTCGACGTTGATCATCGATAAAATAGCTTATCGCTAGCTGGACTCTCTAAGCGTAGTATTGTATACTGTCTTTTGCCCGTTACTTCATTGAAGAACTAACCTTCTGATAATTCAAAATACAGAAGCCTACACGATCATATAATCTATCTGGCTGAGATACCCATTTCCTCATCAACGACGCGAACACTCCCTGACTGATTGCCTCTTTCCAGCTGCGGCGCATGGACATAAGAGTCTGGTTGGTTTATGTCGATCACTTTCTGCATCATCCTGTACCGGTCGAAACAGTCTTTGATTAGACTCATCACGTCTCGATTAACCTGCTCGTCCGCACCATATTTTAGACTTATCTCCACCTCTTCGATATAGGTCTTAACTTTTGGGATCTCGATCAAATCCTTTCGTAGACGCTGCGGTAGCCCGCGTCCCTTCATAAGGGCAAGGACACCAGCGATAACAGTATTAATTGCCCCTAGGATGGTGATTGCAACCATGTGGTGAGCAGACAAAGGCCCTAGTGCTGTGATAGTTGCGCCAACAACCAGTTGAAGTATGGCGAGGAAGTTGAAGACGATTGTGCGTGGTCTTGTGAGTCTCTTGGGCCCTCAACCTTTTGTATAACGCGCTGGTGGCGGCACGAAAGATTTCGTAACTATGGGGCGCGGTGCCATTTCCTGAGGATTTCGACGACTCTGGCATGATAAGAAACAAACTTGTGTAAAGAGAGCCTCGGAAGACGTGGTTCTGTTTATGGGTGAGCGAAGACAACAAATACATAATGAGATCCAAAGGGAGGCACACAAGCAATATATTCAGACACCTGTTGTTAACACGTCATATTTAGGTTGTCTGATTCAACCTCCTCGTGTGCGATAACTCACGTCGCTCTAGGTGGGCAGGATATTCCTGTAGACTCACTTATACGAACGGCCAGCCAGGGAGCGGGGGCTCGTCTCCGTGTCCCAAAGAAATTACGATGAGTTGGGGGCAAACTCCTTTTCGGCAGAGTGCTACATAATATCGGTCAATGAAGGTCATAGGTGGGGTAAGTTTGGCCCTGGCCGCTTGTTGAAGTGTATTTGTGGGACGGGGGAAGATTTTTTGAATAATATTTGTCACTACGTACAAGTGATATTGGACTCCTACAGATTTGGAGCTTATAGACTAACCCACCGAACATGTTTGATTGAGCCTAACGAATGATTATAAGAAAAAAACCAGAAAAGAACAAGGCGTAATCCCCGGTTCATGAACGACAGTACCGGACTACTAATTAGTTGGGGAAGCTATTCTAACGAGTATGTTAACGCGCCCGGGGCATCAGACTGTTTAAGTCTCACTGCACTTACCAATGGAACTGGAGATCCCCATCATAGTTGTCGATCCTCTCGGCCAGGTTGACATCCCTGTTACGGAGGTAGTTGCCAGCCGAGTCGCGAAGATCAGCTCGCAGAATAGGATTACGGCCAGCACCTTCTTCGGGATTGAATTTGATGTTCGATGCCTGCTCGGTAAACTCAGTTCCTCCCCACTCAAAGCGGCCTGTTTTGCGTTCAGTGCGAAAGATCCTTCCCTTGAATCCCAGAACTGAGACTTACCGCCATTATCGCCAAGGCAAGAGTCCAGTCGAAGCTTGCTCTTGTTCCACCCACCCTCGCGCCTCTGGCAGAAGCCGACCAGGTAGGTGTCACAAGGATGCTGCTCAAGATAAAGCCCGTGGGTTGCATTCATGATGGGTATGTTCAAATAGACCTGCTGGTGTTTGACAGAATTCCGATATTGTTGTAGAATAAGAACTCCCCAAAAGCCCGGACAATGACCCGAGATTTATATCCAGTTGATCATAGGCTGGCCATGGCGCTACTACAAGGCCATGTTTAAATATATTCTAGACCTATAATATAAAGTTACGGCAATTTCTGTTAGTTCTTGGATCTGGAGTTTTATGCATATTGAAAAGGCGGCCGTTTGCAGACGATAGCTATCAATTGCGGGTCAGATCATCTCCGTTTTCTACGAGCTCGGTCAGCAGACAGTGAGGCCCGCCTGCACAACCCTCAAGTTCGGCCCAGATCAACCAACTAGGTAATAGCAGTATCGCGATCCTTGGGCATTGATCTCTATCTGGTATTTCAGGTTTCTGAATACCGCTGCAAGGCGCTTCCCTCCCGAGTCTGGCTTGGAAAACGATGTTCTTGCACCATCTCACTAATAGAGCCTGTTACATGGAGTAAATATATGCATGCGGTGCTTGTATCAGGCATGAGTTCTAGACCTCAGCAAAGATCGTCGCTTTACACCTCCAGTACCGTGGATGTACCTCGGGATAGCAAAGCTTAGTGACGTGAGAGAGGTTCAGAGTTGAATTGACGACACTAAGCCCTTACCTTAGTTACAACCTCAGAATAGCAAGACCTGATTCTGGCTTGGCAATGTGAATGGTACAGTCTTAAGCTGACTCGTATCCTCACAAAGTAGTCGGAGGATTCTATAATTATTTCCATGGATTAGAACCACAGCCCATAGATACCTAGCAAAACCCACTTCTGATATTTATCGGGATCACAGAAAGCTTGGTTGGTATATTTCAGTAGGTCAAATCAAATCCAATTAAATTCCAGACAGCAGAAGAACCATCTGACCCACCCAATATCAAATCCTCACTCAAGGTTAACAAGCGTGGACCCAACCCAACACACTGGGGATCTCAAATGGATTTCCCCCAAAACTGGAATCATATCTTGTTCATGTAACTTGTGTCAAACTGGCTCTAGTAGAAGTCACTAACCGTCAAAGGTACTTAAATCAGGCCCATTACCCCATTACATTGCGAGCAGGCCCTCGCACCAGCTACGCATACAGCCAACATTTTCTCTACACATTTTCTGACCTCAATTCATGTCATTGAACGGAAATAAAGAAGATGATGGGTTATATATTGCGCTCAATTGTTCTGTGGGGTCTAGTATTCTTGTCTCCTGGTCAAGTCTTTGGATTATGAACCAATCTTGAGTGGCATGGGCAAGTTTTCCAGTCTATAATCTGCTGATCTTGATTCTCGGTCGGCAATAAAAATTTCTATGCTGATGTTGATAACTACAGTGTTAATATTCCCGGTCTCTCCTTTCAAAGTGACCATAACGGGACTGGAGAAGTGCTGGGTGGTGGCCCTAGATACCCTTCTGTTGCGGACCTCCAACCTTGGCTTGACCTTAACGCAACCCTCTTCCGCTTCCCAGTCCTCTGGAACTATCTCCAACCTTAGATTGACTCTAAGCTTGATCCAAAAATCTTGGATGTCCTTGACAGTTTTGATAGAAGCTGTCACTGCGAGCGGACGTTACGCGATTGTGGACGTTGTGAGTGCAAATCCTCCATGTTCCCTACGCTATTGCAATGCGAAAAACCTTGACCTTTGAATACAGCATAAATATGCCAGACTAAGTGGTGTGATTATCGGACAAGATGCGCGTCGGACCTATGAATATGATTTCGAAGAACTCTGGATCCGAATTGCGCAGCACTATCAGCACAATGATCACGTGGTAAGTCCTCGAGCATACAACAACAATATATTCTTCTCTGCTTTAACAGGATATGCGCTACAGATCTTTGGTCTCATGAATGAACGTCAGTGCGCCAATTTCTTCTAAAATAAGCTGATTATTGACTCTATACACAGCACACGATCCGGGGATTCTCACATGGGGCCAGGCCGTACAGTATGTGATTAATAGAATCAGGACCGTCGCACGCGCACGGTATATCCTTGTGCCTGGCACAGATTGGCAAGGTATTACCCATTGGGTTCAAGACTCTGAACGTGGTTTACGTCACATCACCGATCCCTCGAACAGGATTTTATGCGATGCACACAAGGTATGTATCTGTTCCCCATACCCCCAACTAGTATTAGCGGAAGATGAGACTCATGGAAATCTACGACTTCTAGTACTTTGATAATACGGGTGGTTCCTCGGGTGCTTGTGATGTTTTCCATCCAGGCGCGTTCCTACCATTTGTTGATGCTGTAAGAAGTTTGAGAGGGTCGCCAATCTTAACAGAGTCTGGGGGAGGCAGCAAACAGTGGTTGCAACCGAATGTTCAACGATATGCTGAGGTTTCTCGAAATAAATTCGGATGTTGTCATGGGATGGGCCTTCTGGGGCGCTGGCTTGGATCCAACAGACACACTATATTTGGACCTCACGAGCGTTACAACAGCGACTCCAGTGAGTGGGAACAAAGACATCGATATTGTCCGAGATGTTATGGTGGGGCACATGAATTCAGGCTCCGCGTGACTGTTATGAGAGGAGACAAAAGTTCTGTTTCTGTATTCTTGTGGCATGGTTTCCATTTTCTGTTTGGAATTTCGGACTTTTTAGGTCTCTTTCTGAATATGTTCAGTGGTCCAATTCCCGTAATAGGAATGTATGACGTTCTGGCCTATTCTGCGGCATAGCGTCGTGGAGAAATAATCTGGTCGTGTATCCCAAACATTGGTCAAGTGTGGCTTTTCAGAATATTTATACCAACAAGAATATCAATGTAGATGAAGAGAACAAAGCCGTCCACGAGAGTCGACCTATGAGCACTTTCTTTCTGTTTTGATAGTTGTTATTTGCCTCAAAGCCATTTCATCTGACTATGAACACGAGAAAGAATTGAAAGACAAAGTACAGCGACTGATCACCCTTCTACCTATTGTATTCGGTATGAAAATGACCTTGGCTCACGGCTGTACTGTTTTCTGGTTTTGATGATAGCAGTAGAAAGTGTATAATTTGCATACAGATTTTATTTATCTTATTTATCTAGTCTGCCTGTTAGATATAAAATGCAGACACAGATTAAATAAATTAAATAAATTGAATAAATTGCAGCACTGCCATCATGGAACCAATGAAGACCTTCGGTGAATTCATCCAATTTCTCAGTTGCACAGCCTGTATTTGCTGTCTTACGGAGACGTGGGCGCTGCTTAGAACTGGCCACTACTGCCGAAACGTATATGTTTTTTTTTTCGGCGGGTGCTATTGTGTTTGGTGGAAGAGGGCGGTTTGTAAGGCATGAACATAGCGTATCTGAGAATTTCTTACATCATTGAGGTTGACAGAAACTTTTGGTCGTAATTGCATGAATATTGCGGGGGCTACAGTAATACGACCCAGGTATCCTCAGTTGCTTTCCCCAGAGACAGATACCACAGTGCCAGATCGTAATAACACAGTTGTACGAAGAATCCTTTGTGCCCCGTTCGGCTTTGCATAGAATTGGCGCCAACCTAATTCCGACTGTTAAGACCCAACCTCGGATTGCGGCCGATCACTTGAGCATCATTTAAAACCACAGATCATTAATCTAACTCTCCCACGGAACAATTTTCAGAGTTGTCTCTTCATAGCATAACAGCCCTCCGCAGTGTCAACCACGGGTGTAAACGAACAGTTGTATGGTATAGAACAAGTACACATAATGCAGGGTGGGACAGCCGGGAAGGCAAGGTAGGACAGACAATCTCTCACTTGCCATATTCTCCGCAAGATCTGTATTATTCCGTGGACAATAATGATGGATGAATGAAGTTTATTTCAAAGATTTATACAGGTAAGCTTAAGATAATGGTACTGAGCATTTGGCCTCCCAAATTAAAGTCTTGCTTGGTAATGAGCAACAATAAATTCCGAGACATTCGGGCAATCACATGTAATGTACAAGCATATCTCACTCACGCCAAGTTCAATAAGATCATGGTCTCCCTCTTGGTTGCTTTTTTCAGCATTAGGGCCTCTGGCGACCTACACTGCCCGTGAATTTTCTTTGCCTCGCCAACCTTAGCGGACACTTCTCAGGTTGGGTATAGACCCCGCACAGTGACATGTGTGTGAAGTAATATGTATCGAAAATGGGCTGGACATGTATAAATTGCTACTTGATGACGTATCCTATATCACTGACTCTATCTACTCCGACCTGGGCTTTCTGTATCTTGTCATCGTTGTTTTACGATAAGAAAGCCAGATATCCCCGCCACCAATTCTGTGGATCTTGATGGCCGTCCTTCCTTGACAAATTAAACAAGAAGCATGCTCATTGAAATTAGATAATACCATGTCCGATCAAGTCGAAATAGTCCCTTTCGGTATTACCTAGCTTCTTATGGGGAAGGGAAAAAATAGGCCAGCCGTAGATTCTGTTTATTCCATAGCCGGAATGATGACCAAAAGATGTTTTGTTCTCATTATGTGTTCCAATGGTAGAGCTATAATGAACAAGTAACGGATTGATCTAGATCAATCGTGTGTGTAAAAGTTTGGAAACCCAGGAAATTATTTTGCCAGCAATAGGAGGTTAAACGGGAAATTCACTCAAAAGATAGCATATAGGCGGGCCTAGATTTGACAAGGGTATTCTAATTAACTTGAACTTTGCAATTAGATCACAGCTTCTGAGCCTACTTTCTTAGACTCATTGGAGGGCACTCAATACGGGATCTGTATACAGTAATGTTGTTTGAAGCTCTGGAACTGACTCGTAATATCTATTTCTAGTACTACTGGGTGATTCTTTTGAGAAGACTACCGGAGTTCAACATTCCAAATTACAAATGATTAGATCAGAAGAACCAGCTAGAAGTAGGCTTTGCAACTATTTAAGTAACCTGTCTCTCTGATACTAAGAAGACATCCTGTTTGTGTCACACACACCGACAAGTTCTTACTATTTCACTCTTCTCAGCAAATAATCTCTATCATGACAAAAAGACGGGATGTGTTGGTATTGGGGAGAACTCGCTTTGATTTATTCAGATTCGAACATGAAAATAATAATTATCTCCAAGGCCTTCAGGCTGGTCCACGTCTCTTGCATCAGTTCTTATGCGATTTGCGTCCGTCGTTATGTTATCTTGAGGACACAACCGAATCCATCCGGAACCCTCAGACTGAAGTGCCCTTCAATATGATTGAGCTATCTGTTGTTGACGGAAATTATGGAGTCTCCCGTCAACAAGCCCGTGGACCTCTCTTTATACTCCAAAAAGAGCTGATTCCTCTTTGTGTTCACATCCCAGAAAAGCCATTGAACTATCTCACAAATAAGAAAAAAGCAGTCGAGATAATTGTTGTCGATGACCCTGATGGTACTCTGCTCGAAACAAAGAAAGAGCTTCTGCGAAAAGCTCATTTGGTCTTCTACCAAACACATTCCCCCAGAAATCTATTGAACGACAACGGACTTGCTATATTAACTGAATTCTTTGAAAACGGACTGCAAGAGTTTATTGTTGTCCTCGATGTTAACGAACTTCGAGAAAATGAATTCACAAAAAGCTCATATTCGTGGGAGCAAGCAGCTGCTAACACTGTGGAATTTTTTAATACAAGTCAAGAAGAAGCACAGAAATTCTGTTCTCTCAATAAATTTAAGATGAAGTGGATTATTCGTTTCGGCTACGTTGGTGCAGTTGTATTGAGGACAGAACAGTATCGGCCTCCTGAAAAGAATAGTGTTTATTTTGACTGTGACAAGGGGGAGGGAGAATATATTGAGAAACATGCCCTCCATCAAGAAGCAATTGAAGCAGCATTCCTTAGTGGTTTGGTATCAACTATGATAGATACCAACTGCGACAAGGTATCAACTATGATAGATACCAACTGCGACAAGGTATCAACTATGATAGATACCAACTGCGACAAGGACGCGATCAAGAACGGCTTGAGTTGTGCCCGCCAGCTTGCGCGTGATGGCATCATCCCCACTTCCGGAGACAACATAAACCCTGGAGACAATACAAAAATTCATTACCCGACGTTGCAGAGACATGATCCTAATCATGATTTTAAATTTCAAGATGCCAACGTCCCGCCAAATCAGCTCGGCACCTGGTCAATTTTGAGAGACTTCTGCGACCAGAAAGGATTGGGTGATGATATCATGAAGAAAGCTTTCAATATTGGAAAAGATATTATTAAGACCGGACCTGAAGCGAGCTTATCAGCTGTTCCTATTGCCAAATTTGGCAGCATTCGGACAGCGGATAGATCAGAAATCGAAGATTTTCATCGCATTTCTGAAAAAATCAAAAAGTATCTCCAGAGCGCAGAGAACTATTATACCATCTCTAAGGAGGGAGATGCTGATCTTAATCCAGCACTCATTCAGCCACTATCGATTGCTGTTTTTGGAGCCCCCGGCTCGGGAAAATCGTTTGTTGTGAAGCAGATCCTTGAAAAGGTTACTGAAAAGATGACAACTCCTAAGAAGCTTACAAAATATCCAGTCCTGGAGTACAACCTTTCGCAATTTATTGACATCACTAATCTTCAGTTTGCTTTTCAGGAAGCTCGGGATGCAACAGTGTCGGGTCGAATTCCTCTTGTTATATTTGATGAATTTGATACCACTTTGAATGGGGAACTGGGATGGTTGAAGTTTTTTCTAGCTCCTATGCAGGACGGACAGTTCTTTGACCAAGGAAAATACAGGCCTATCGGCCACGCTGTTTTCATCTTCATTGGCGGCACCAGGTCAACATTTGCTAAATTCCAGGACGACAAGATTCAGCTGGTCAACGTTGCAACCGTCGATTCCGAGCCAGTCACAAACAATGGAAAGTTTACCAACCAGTTTCAGGATACTTCTTGGCGACGAGACAGCTTCTCTGAGTACTATGAAGCCAAGCACGAACGTGCTGAGAGGGCTGTCAAAAAGCCAGATTTTGTGACCAGGTTGCAGGATCATTTGGATATTCGGGGCTACCAGATGCCGTCTAAAAAGGACTCTGATCCTAAATTTCTCATTCGACGGGCAATCCTCATCAGGAATAAATTAGAGCAATTGTCCAAATCAGGGAGAAGAACAATTACTCTTGATGATGCTGCAATTGGATTCCTGCTGAAGGATGAGATATTTACACACGGGGCCCGAACACTTGACAATAAGTTCAAAAATGGAAAAATTCTGAATGACAAGCTCTCCATTGATCTGAACTCTTCAGAATCATCAGACGAAGGTAGTCGTTCCTCCGGGAACAATGGCTCTCCAGACCATGAACGGGGGCCTTCTCCTACCTCGGGATCCCGGACGAATAGAAGTCCCTCTGAAAGGGAAATGCAGCAAAATGGATCGCTTCCTGGGTCAATGGTCCCAGCACCACAAGACAGAATCATGGGATGGGTTCGTGTTTGTTTCGATGATCTTAGGCAAGGCTCCAATCAAAACTCTTCCCAGGCAGGAATATCATCTTCCTTGCCTTCGCCAGCTCAGGATTCGTCTTCGGCAAATGGAAGTTCATGACACAAGTTTTGAAATATGGAAAAGTATTTTTACTGCTTATATTTGTCAAATACTGAGAAAGTTACAAATTGTGAAAGGTTGAATATCTAGGATTAATATTCTAATCAACAGGGGTTGGCCGAATGTACCTTTATTCAGATTAAATTAGGACTTAGATGGGGCTGTACTAGCCACCTAATTAGTTGGCACAACCAACAAAAACTATATATATTTATATTATTCTTAAATATATATTTATATTAAAATCTACAAGCCAAATCCTTTTAAAATTTATATATTAATAAATAATATAATTATTTTTATATATATCTATTTTAAAGCTTAAGTAACAGTTAAATTATATTCTAATAACTCTTAATAATATAAGTAGGTTTACTAGTTAGCTGTTTTACTAGTTATTTATTTTAATTACTAGTTGCCTGCCTAATCTATAGGGGTTGGCTAAATATATTTTAATTTATATTAAATTAAAATATAAGTAGGACTATATTAGCTAGTTAATCAGTTACTATAATTAATAATTTATATATATTTATATTAAAATCTACCGGCTAAATCTCTGGAAATTTATAAATTAATAGATAATATATCTGTTTTTATATATATCTATTTCAAAGCTAAAGTAATAGTTAAATAATACTTTTTAAAATAATTAGACTTTATTATAATAAAAAATATTAAACTTATATTAGGGTTTTAAATTATTTTAAAAAAATAAAAAACTAAAAATATAAGAATATAAAATAATAAAAAGTAAAAGTAATATTAAAGATAGTAGTAAAAAACAAATAAAAAATAAAATAATGTTATGGGATGGATGGATTATGCTAATTGAAACGTGCCTTAGAACAAGAAGAAATAGCTGAGAAGCTATTTTATCTGTTTGTACAAAATTCTTTTATATGTGTGCTAAGCTAGTGCTAGTTTAGTACTTAGTATATAAGATTTTAGATATTAATTAATATCTAAAGCCGAGCTTTATAATAGGGCCTTAGTTTTATAATAAAAGCCCCTTCTTTTCTTCTTGGTGTCTTTTGCGGCTTCTATTTATATAAACAGCTGTTTAGAATCTAGAGTAATAGTTTTGTACTTCGGCCTCTTTTAGATAATATTATAGCTGGTTAGTAGGTAGTATATATATAAATAAGACCTATATTACTTATTATAGCTTTTTTTTTTATATAAACCCCTTCTATCTAGTAAATACAGCAGTTTTTTAGTAAATAAAGTTTTTTCTTTCTGTATGTTTCTTTTTTATTTAGTAAATAGAATCTTTTTTTATACTATTTATATAACTGGTTTTAAGATTATGGTCAGGCTTAGCTACTAGTATTATATATAAAAACTACTCCCCCCTTTTTTTAGCTTTTTTTTTTATATATCTTTTTCTTATTCTTTTTATTACTAATCTGTTTTTTTTTTATTTATATAATTCCTATTATTTCCTTTGCTTATTAATATTATATCTTTTTCTTTTAATACTAGGGCTGATAAGTCTGATTATCCAAATAATATACTAGTTTTTATTTATTATAATTCTTTTTAGATTTCTTCTACTTTTGCTAACTGTAATTTGCTTTTTTTATTTATATAATATACAACTACTTATAATTTCTATATTAGTAATATAAAATATTAGATTACTATATAATTAATAGTATATAGTAATAAAGTCTTACTTTAACTTTACTATACTTTAGATTAGCAGTATATTTAGCATTTTTCTTACTATAAATTTAAAATAAAAATTAGTGCTTTTACTATAGTTTAGATAAAAAAATCTAATAATATTTTTATATAAAATACTAATAAAGTTAGATATATACCAGATACTTTTTTTATATTAACAGCCTTCTAATTATATCTTATAGTTTAGTAATACTATATTATTATAAATATAATAATTAAATAAAGTTTTAGCAGATTATATAGCTGTTTAAATAGTAGAATAAAGCTTATATAAACTGTAAATTTAAAAATTATAGTATATATTATAGCTACTATAATCTAAATAAGTCTAAATATAAGCCCGCAGCAATTGCTGCTTTTTTTTAAAATATTATTAAAAAATTAGTAGATTAAATTAGTATATAAGCTGAATTTGGTATAGTAGTATCCAATTCTTTTATTAGATTAAGTACAGCTTTCTTTAGTTAGTTTTAAAAAATTAAAAGAGGGCTTTCCTTTTTTTTTTTTTATTTCTTTTTTTTTTTTATTTTAGATTTGTACGAACCAAAGCTGAGGGGGAAGAGTATTAGTATTAAGTTTTTTTTTATTCCAGCTTTTATTTATCTAATAGTTAGTTAGAGTTTGGCTGGGGCTGCAGCTGCTATTATACAGCTACTTTTATATTATTAAATATTAAAACTAGTTTTTAGATTGGTTTTATATAGTTTTTTTATTTAATAAAATACTATAATTAGCTCTTCCAGCCTTTTATTATATACTGTTTATTAAAAATTTTTTTAACTTTGTATTTTTCTTTACTGTTAACTATTATAGGCGGTGGTTGTAAGTTTTTTTTATTTTATAACAGTAATATATTATCAGCTGTCGGACGAAGTAGGTTGATATAAAATATAGAATAAATACTTTTTAATATATTAAATTATATAGTATATAATTCTATTCTTTTTAAAATAGTATATTTTATATTTTTTTAATCTAGCTTCTTACTAGAGTAATTTATACAGATATTCTGTAGGCTTAACTATATCTAGTTGCCCTTTTAGTATAATAAAGCAGCTTGTTAGGATTAATTAGCCTATTTTTTAATATTTTATTATATATAGACTATAATACTTTGGACCTAGTTTAAGATATTATATATTTTTTATATAATTATATTTTTTTATTAGATAAAGCTGGAGGCAGCAACCTCTGGATCTGTATTTTAAACTATTTTCTAACTATTTAGATTTAACTTATAACTATAGTTTAAAAAAAATAGTAAAAATTTTATAGCTGTACTTATACAGCTGTTAATTACTAATTTTACTAAAAATAGTAGATTTATCTAATTTTTTTAGTTATAGTTTATATAAGCTTTTAAATATACTTTAACAGTACTATTTGTATATTCTATTATTTTATCTATTTAAAAATAATAGGCTATAAATAGTCTTCTAGTAATCTTTAGTAGGTTCTATACTTTTTTTTATATATAATTTATAAACTGGGTGTCTTAATCTAAGACTATAGTTTTTAAAGGGCTGTATTATTTAAAAACTATTTTAACTAAAGCTTTAGCTGTAGTTTTAATAGTAATCTTTTTTATTATATAAAATATTACTTTTTTTATTAGTCTATTTATAATTACTAGAATATTTATATATAACTTGCTTTTGGGTAAGTTAGTAATAAAATTTATTATTAGTTTTTATTAAAATTAATCTAATATTAACAGTAGCTTTAATTATCTGTACTTTAATTTTTTTTTACATTAGGGTTTACATTAGGGTTTACATTAGGGTT